TGTTCATTTTTTTCACGTTTTTTGGCGCCACGGGACATTTGGTGTAACCCTTTGTCTGGCACCGCCAGGTTTTAACCAGCTAAATTTCGTGTATAAGAGCCCCCCCCCCCCCCCCCCCCAAATCACGACATCAGGTATATTAAGCAGTATTGGAGGATCATATGGTCCAGCAAACATTGTATTGGCATGGAAATGGCTAGAGGATATGGATAAGATGATTTACGAGGACAATATGTTGGGGGAAAAAGAAGGGGAAAAAAAAACAAGGAGCTGGGGGGTTTCGAACGCCTGCCTTCAGACGTCACCCAGAGGTGGCTGTCGTAGGTGAGTCGGTCAGCATCGAGTCCAAACCCAGTACACCAACTCCTTGTATTGTACCAGCTCTGTTAATTTGTTTATCAACCCTTGGTATGCATGCCGAGGGTCGGGGCTATTCATGGGAGGGAAGGTGAAAGAAATCTGAGGGGGGAGGTGACGAAGACAAGAACACAACGGAATGAACCGTAGAATTGACGAGTGGTAATCAGACAGAGCCATAGACAGACCAGCCATACACAAAAAGAAACCACTCCCCAGGGAGGTAAACAAACAACTACACACATTCTGCCTGTAGAGCAGCGTCTAAGCAGTAAAGAAGCCGCAACGGAGACCCAGATTTTCATCCAGCTCACACGATTTTCCTATATAAAATGAACTTTAGATATGTACCCATACTCCCTCTGATTTCTCTCTTTACATGCGGCGAAACGAGCTCGTGCGCACCCCCATGCGTCCGCATATCGTCCCATTCGGCCGCTTAGTCCTTGATCAGCAGACTCCCCCTACTTCCGCCCGTTTTTACAAGCACTTGCTGCTACTCTATACGGGAACGCACATAGCCCGTTTTAAGGTATGGTACAGTATATCAGGTTGTCGCTGCACCTAATATACAGGAACCCGGAGATGGTCCGATGTCAATTATTCTGGACAGTACCAGTAACTTCAACTATATGGAGGACCGAGACGACGTCAAATGCGGCATCTCGCAGGCTTACAAAGAAGCCACAAAAATGGTAGGTTCTCTTGAGTTGGGCCTAAACAGCTGTTTTTATGTCAGTGTCAGCCAGCAACACTACCTTTGTCCTCAAGGCAACGTCAAGAGCAACACTCGCTGCCTGAGATATACTTGAGATGCTAGATGGAGAGAAGGCTAGTGTGAACCGCAGAAGGTGCACAACAACCTGAGTATATCAGATCCAAGTAGGCACATATTGGTCTTCCAAACGCCCCCGACTGATAAAATAAGCTTTGAATTATTTAGAGTTTCGAGCCCGCCGGCTTGGTCTCCGAAGAAGCGCGCTAAGCCGTCATCGTCACATGCAAGACGTCACTCGTCCCTTGGGCCGAGCCCTGGGGACGGGTCTTATCAGCTGTCACTTATGGTGTCGGGCAGCCACCCCGTGCCACCAGGGTCCTCGCCCCACTTTCTCATTGCCTTGCTGGTCTCTCTCTGCCTTGGTCTTGCGTAAATTTAGCAAACAGAACGGACCCAAGAAATGAAGGACAGTCGATGATAGTAGGATGAAGATCCCATCCAGGTGTTGAGGCTAAGGACCTCGATTCTACTAGTGGGCTTGTCATGCTATGTGTGGTGTCGAAGACTTCCATGCAAGTTCGAGCTTCGATTTCCGTTCCGCCGGCTAGGTACCTCAGTTGCAACTTCTTGTGTTATCAGCAGGGTCCTCCATGTAGACTTACCACTATTTTAAGCAGCTAGTATACTTATGGAATACTGGCTGGATAACGCCTGGTGGACGTTCCCGTGTTTTGCTTACTAGGTTAAGTTAGGTACGCAGTAGCTAGCATCCACTCAGGCGTCCTGCGGAGCGGCAACGCAGCCACGGCATGGAAGTTCGAGAACTGCGGTAGATAGGGAGCCTAGTCGAGACTAAAAAAAGAGTAGACGGAAACGCCCACGAAACTCGTGATCCCCTTCCTCTGGGGACATTACCAAAGGGCACCTAGCACGCATTTGATTACAGGCTGACTTGCATCCTGTCATCTGTGGTCAGGAAATAGATTCCCAGTTCCCAGCTTATCATATTGTTCACTGTCACAACGCGTTTGGGCCAAGTGGATACAGCTGGTCACTCGCATTGTATGTGTAGGAATCGCGTGCCTCGTCCCCGCGCCCAACCGCATCCACTGGTCCGAAGACCACCCCAGGCTCGACTTTTTGAAGCAAGTGGGAGTGGGCCCAGCTGGGGGGAGCCTGGAACTTCAAGCCTCCCCACCCAGGGTCTTGTGGGGCCGCCTGCCCGAGTGGCTTTTTACCTCCAACGTCATTTCCGCCCGCCCAGTTGCTCTCGTCGCCTTAGTTTCTTGCCACGGAGCCCGTCGAGCGACTAGTCAGCCACGGGAAGGAAGCGATTGAGAGACAGCGTACATAGAAGAGAGTGAGCATGACACTTAGCTAACGCAACCTGATGGCCCCGATTGAGCTGATGTGATAAACGCCTCTGTTCAAAGCCGGCGTACCAGTGCTCTCAGCACGCGCGCTCTCGTCAACTTTCTTGCCGCTTCCATCTCGAATACATCTGCCTGCTTGAACCTCAAAGGCCGACTTTAAAGCTATCATATATCAGCTCGGGCCGAACGGGGGTCGTGTCGTATTGCTTCTCGCTTTTTGCTTTGGGTATGTACAATACATCTCTCCTGATTTCTTAATCCAGGATTCGTCGACAGGTCTCGGCAGATTGTTCAAAAATGCACCCATATTGTTCACTCGGTCCTACGGAGGAGTTTCAAACCCACCCACACGGCCACGTCCAATCACCCCATGCTCCCCTCTTGAGCCTGCCTTAGACCTACCTTTCCTCGTCCGGAAATTCAAACCAACAGGTAGTCTAGTACCCACCTGGCAGCCGAACTGCCCCGAGACCTTCCATCCGGTCCTGTGGGTTTGTGGTTGGTGGTCTACCCTCTCTCTCTCTCTCTCTGTCGCTATCCCCCTGGTCCTACCGTCACCTCCCTTCCTATATATCTAAGAGTGTCGCTCCGGATCCCGGAGTCGTCTTGGCTCTCCTCTCCCTGTTCCATGACCCCCCTTCTCCCTTTCCTCAAGAGGCACTCTAAGCACTCCAGTGGGATGCCGGCCTACTGCCTTCAAGATTGCCACTACTTCTACCGCACAGCTCTGCGCGGGCTGAACATCAGCACCAACGTCTCGCCTCTTTATGCATAAGGCTGCGCGGGCTGCCTGCTAACTGAAACATGCCTACCCAAGTCCGTATCTTTACTATGCCAAGGTCTCTCGGCGAGACCCTAGCAGTACAACCACCAGTTCCAGCACGAGAGGTCCCCCGGTCTATTCCAGAGCTTCCCAATAGAGCCAGGTCCCCCGCCATCTCCACCCACAAACCAAACGGCCACTTTCACGCCATGTCTGTGCATGACGAGAAGCCCAAGGGTGGCGTTACCTTTGCCTACCAGGACAAGCTTCCGAAGCTCCCTATCCCCGAGCTCGCCGAATCATGCCAGAAGTACCTTACTGCCCTGAAGCCCCTGCAATCTCCGCGAGAGCATGCAGAGACCAAGCATGCAGTTCAGGAGTTCCTCAAGCACGATGGTAATGAGCTACAGGAGAAGTTGAGGAGGTACGCTGAGGGGAGGACAAGCTACATTGAGCAGTTTTGTTAGTTATCCTTCTCTGCCCCCCGCCCATACGCCACTATACTGACCTCAGAAGGGTATGACTCGTACTTGAACTTTGACAATCCCGTTGTCTTGAACCTGAACCCGTTCTTCCTGCTTGAAGATGATCCGACTCCCGCCAGGGGCAATCAGATCACCCGGGCGGCATCACTCGTGGTATCTTCACTGGAGTTTGTGAGGGCTGTGCGCAAGGAGGAGCTGCCTCCTGACATGGTTAAGGGCATCCCGCTCGACATGTACCAATACGCTAGGCTCTTTGGTACTGCCAGGGTGCCCACCGAGTCCGGGTGCCAGATTGAACAGGATCCCGAGTCCAAGCACATAATCGTCATGTGCCACGGGCAGTTCTACTGGTTCGACGTATTGGACGACGACTCCGATCTGATCATGTCAGAGAAGGACATCGCCATCAACCTGCAGACCATTATCGACGATGCAACCCAGACCCCGATCCAGGAGGCCGCCAAGGGCGCCCTCGGTGTATTGAGCACGGAGAACCGGAAGGTTTGGTCTGGGCTGAGAGATGTCCTGACCAGGGAAGAGGGGTCCAACAATGCCGACTGCCTGAATATTGTCGATTCAGCTCTCTTTGTCCTGTGCCTGGATTACGCGGAGCCGGCCAACGTGGGAGACCTCTGTCAGAACATGCTGTGCGGGACGAGCGAGATCGAGAAGGGAGTCCAGATTGGCACCTGTACCAACCGCTGGTACGACAAGCTTCAGATTATTGTGTGCAAGAACGGAAGTGCCGGCATCAACTTCGAACACACCGGCGTGGATGGCCATACCGTTCTCCGATTTGCTAGCGATGTCTACACCGATACCATCCTTCGATTTGCGCGCACAATCAACGGACAGGCGCCGACTCTGTGGGCATCTACAAGCCCGGATCCTTCGAAGAGGGACCCCGAGAGCTTCGGGGAAGTCTATACGATGCCGCACAAGCTTGAATGGGATATAACCCCGGAGCTCACCATCGCGGTCCGCTTTGCCGAGACCAGGTTGGCCGACCTGATCGAGCAGAACGAGTTCGAGTGTCTCGATTTCGGCGCCTATGGTAAGAACTTCATGACGTCGATGGGTTTCTCTCCCGACGCATTCGTGCAGATGGCGTTCCAGGCCGCCTACTACGGGCTGTACGGCCGGATCGAGTGCACGTACGAGCCGGCCATGACCAAGATGTACCTGCACGGGCGGACCGAGGCCATCCGGACGGTCAGCGACGAATCCCTGAATTTCGTGCAGACCTTCTGGGCCGACCATCCCGCCGAGCAGAAGGTCGACGCCCTGCGCAAGGCATGCCAGCGGCACGTCAACACGACCAAGGATTGTGCCAAGGCCCGAGGCTGCGACCGCCATCTGTACGCGCTCTTCTGTCTGTGGCAGAGGCTGGTGGACGACGAGGGGGCGAGCAGCATAGGGAGCAACGGATATTGGAGTCCGTCGGACGGCAACTCGGAGCGCGGCGGGTCGGTCATCGGCAGCCCCGGAAAGGACTCGGTCCTGGTTGCCGATTGCGAGAACGGGCCAACCTCGACCCGGCCGCGCGGGGAGAGCGCGTCGTCGTCCCGGAACGGGAGCCACCACCAGCTGCCCATGATCTTTGCGGACCCGGGCTGGGACAAGATCAACACGACCATCATCTCGACGTCTAACTGCGGCAACCCGTGCCTGAGGCAGTTCGGCTTCGGGCCCGTGTCGGGCGACGGCTTCGGCATCGGGTACATCATCAAGGACGACCGCATCTCCATCTGCGTGTCGAGCAAGCACCGGCAGACGCGGCGCTTCGTGGACACCCTGGAGAGCTATCTGCTGGAGATCCGCCGCATCCTGAGGATCACGTCCAGGAAGTCCATGTCCGCCAAGCAGACCCGCGCCCGCGAGATTGACGAGCTCCGTCCCAAGGCGGTCCACCACAAGCCCAAGTGGAGGGGCCGTCCCATCCAGGCCCCCGAGACGCTCAAGTCGCAGAAATCAATCACGGACAGCGCGTCGCCCACTGAGGGGAGCGTCGTGACCAGTGATGATGACGAGCTGGGTGGTTGTAAGTTCACTACCCCCAATGGCCCTTGTTCCCGCAATATGTACAAGTTACTGACCGAGCCTGTGATAGATGGATTCTTCGATGCCGGCATGCTACTCCAGGCGCTGAAGGCTCGAGGCGGGGCCCTCGACATCGGCGAGACCAAGCCGTCGGAGCGGGCTGCCGTCCAGGCGCGGAGGCGCGAGGTCGGCAAGAAGCTGCGGCTGATCGATTACTGATCGTGCCTCTAGTCTAGAGCCGATCAGGGGAGGCAGCAGGAAATCGCCGTGTAGTTAGCGGTGGGGGGGATCTGTTCTTTGTGATGGGGGTGTCCATATGTGGCGCGGGATAACTGGGAAAGGTGGGAAGAATGGAAGCAAGTGTTTAGGTCGTCGATATACCAGGAAGCGGGTTGGAAATACTTATGGGAGGTCCTTCGCTGAGCATGTTACAGTCTTGTTATACCAGAATGCTTTTTAGTAGGTATATATGAATCTCTATAAGCGATGGCTCGTTTCTCGTCTCTTTGCATCCCGTACTCAGAGTGTCTTCCCCTTTCCGAGTCCCATATGTGTCTACAACAGCCAGACATAAACTGGTTTGTAGCCTCGGAAGAAACTAGGGGCTGAAGAGGTTTAGAGACCACTGGTCTCTGACCCAGGCCACCCTCATTACAACAAATACTCAAGGGCAATGGCATCGACTAGGTGGATATGGCACGGATAAGGCAAGAACTAAGGAAAACCAGAGAAAGCCTGTCGAATCAAGATGAGTCCCAGGGCTCTGGGATTGATTCACTTGATCAAAGGGAATCCGAACTTTAGACGGGGAAACAATACCTCTTACGGCAGCTCCATCCCAGCCGTTGCCCACCTGCCGTCCGTTCGAGGTTGGTCAGGTTCGAGGACTACTGTACATAATTAGTATGACAGGGCATCTAGACAAGTGGTCGTGTTACAGTTCCAGGGAATCGCAATAAGTAATGGAAGAGAATTACATCGAGAGCCCGCAATCATATTTTTCTTTACTCGATAGGGTGACCAGGGACGTTGGTGAACTAGTGCATATATGCTTTTATATCGGTGTTATGCAACTAAATCGAAAGAAATTTGGCAATATTGTTATGTAGGTTCCTGATCGCTATACGCGACACACCCACACGTCACCCCACTACCTCGCGACACGCTTTTATCAACGACCTTTCCAACGCGCAGCAACTCCCCCGACAGGCTCGCAGATGTATCTCCATGACAGATCTTCTATGCGTCCTGCCGCACTTCCCGATTGGCCAATATGCTAGCCTCGTGCCCGCATTGGAGAGGCATCAGTTGACCACGAGCGATCTTCTCACCCTCGATGTCACCGACATAGGCAAACGCACCCAGTTGCCCCTCCTCGACGTCAAGCGGCTGTGCAATGCAGTCCTGGACGCCCTCCACCGCGACCTTGGCGTCGCACCGAACGACGCGCAGGATCCAACTCCCCGGCAAAACAAGCATGTCCGGGACGACCCAAGGCCTGCAGCCGGCCCGGCCTACCAGCTGAGACACACGCACGCGTCCCTCGCGGCGCAGTGGCAGACAATCAGCACGCTCGACCCGGCGCTGGACCGCGCCCTCGGCGGCGGCGTCCCCGCCGGCTACGTCACCGAGGTGACGGGCGAGTCGGGCGCCGGCAAGACGCAGCTCCTGCTCTCGCTGCTCCTCGCCGTGCAGCTCCCGCCGCCCCGCGGCCTCGGCCGGCAGGCCCTGTACATCAGCACCGAGGCCCCGCTGTCGACCCGCCGCCTGGCCCAGATCCTGGCGAACAACCCCGCCCTGCAGGCGGCCTCCTCGGCCGCCTCCTCCTCTGGCCAGACGGGACCTCCGCCGTCGCTGGACAACATCATCAGCGCCTCGACGCCGGACCTCGAGAGCCAGGACCACATCCTCAGCTTCCAGGTACCCGTCGAGGTGGAGCGGCGCAACGTCGGGCTCGTTGTCCTCGACAGCGTGGCGGCCAACTACCGCGCCGAGTTCGAGCGCGGCGGCGGCCGAGGGGGGGGCTCTAACATGGCCGCCCGCTCCGCCGACCTCGTCCGCCTGGGCTCCCTGCTGCGCGACCTGGCCCGCCGTCACAACCTCGCCGTCGTAGTGTCCAACCAGGTCGCCGACCGCTTCGGCGCGGTCAGGAGCCCCGCCCCGCCTGCCCCCTGGACCACCGCCATGGCCGCCGCCACCCAGGATAGCAACAGCAACAGCAGCCCCCTCGCGTCCCGCAGCCGCGCCGCCGCTGAGCCGCTGCAGATACCGTCATCCTCCTCCCTGGCCGAGCCGGGTTTCCCGCGGTCGAGCATGCCCGACCACCACCACAACCACCACAACCAGCAGCCTCCGGCCGCCCCCCCCGTCCTCCTCCTGGACCACCAGCAGCGCTGGTTCTCGGGCTGGGGCGACGACCCGCCCGGGGTCGTCGACGACGACGACGACGGGGCGCAGCAGCAGCTCAAGACGCCCTCGCTGGGCCTCGTCTGGAGCACGCAGGTCGCGGCGCGGGTGGCGCTGGTCAAGCGCCCTGCGTACGGCGGCGGGCGGCGGGCGCGGTACCGGGTCGGGGAGGAAGGGGAAGGGGAAGGGGGTGTGCCGGTGTTGAGAAGCTGGCGGCGGTGGATGAAGGTTGTTTTTGCGCCGCATGTTGGGGGGACTGGGCCGGGGGTTGAGGGGGCTGTGGAGTTTGAGGTTACGGCGGGGGGGTTGACGGGGGTGGGGAAGGGGGAGGAGGAGGGGGAGGAGGGGGAGGAGGCCGAAGAAGAAGTTGGGGGGGCGGGGGGGAGGAGTCTTAGGTTGAGGGGATGGCTGGGTTGAGAGGTCTGTTAGGTCTACGAGGCAAAATCAAGTTGGTTCTCTGTCTGCCTCCCTCGAGGTGCGGGCTGTTCGTGAGATTTGTGGAGACGCGTTTTGAGAATGCGTCCAGGTAGTTGGATTGACATGAATACGTGGCATGAAGACACGCGGTTAGATATGGATTAGAGAGGATGAGTCTACATGTGGTCTGCAGATATGATGCGTGATCACCATCGCTTTACCTGGGCAATTACAACAGAAGTGCCAGCAAGTGAATCAAGTCGTTATGATAACGCGGGAACCAAATACTATTGGCACCCACTTTTCTCCTTTCCTTCGTTTTGTTTTGCTCCACCCTCTATATCGTCTACCAGTCGAAAATGCGCCAACGCTCCCAATGCACGGTAGCTAGAGTACAACAACAGCAGCAGCAACAAGAAACAGCCACGGAAACCTCCCGGACCACACCACAGCCAAGCTACCTGGGGTGGGGGAATTCGTCCTCCAGCTGCAGGCGCACGCCAACGTTCATGCTGATGAGCTCCTGGACGAGCAGCTTTGCGGCGTACGGCATGGTCATCTGTGTGACCTCGCGGGTGCTCTTGCAGGTCTGGCAGAAGCCCTTGTAGCCGAACAGGCCGCAGCGCTGGCAGATGTCGAGGGTGACGGCATCGGAGCTGATCATGAGGCGCTCAAGCAGGAGCTGGGAGGCGCCGTAGGCGATGAGGCAGTCGCGCTCCATCTCGCCGAGGCGCAGGCCGCCGTCGCGCGACCGACCCTCGGTCGGCTGGCGCGTGAGCACGGCACGCGGGCCGCGCGACCGCGAGTGCATCTTGTCCTGTACCATGTGCTTGAGCCGCTGGTAGAAGATGGGCCCGTTGAAGATGTAGGCCTCGAGCGGCTCGCCCGTGATGCCCGACGTGAAGTAGTCCTTGCCCTCCCACGAGAAACCGTGGTCTACAAGCACCTTGCTCATCTCCTCGAGCGGGTGCGAGCGGAACGCGTCGCCGAAGCCGTAGCCCTTGCGGCCGTGGACGATGCTTGCCTTGCCGGTGAGACACTCCAAGAGCTTCCCGACGGTCATACGGGAGGGGAAACCGTGTGGGTTCATGATGATGTCCGGTACCAGGCCCGTGTCGGAGAAGGGCATGTCCTCGTGGTCTACGATGATCCCGACCACACCCTTTTGGCCGTGGCGGGACGAGAACTTGTCGCCGAGTTCCGGCCGGCGTGTCTGCCTAGTCTGCACCTTGACGATCCTGTGGTCCCGTTCCGTGGCGGAGATCATGACCTTGTCGATATACGCGGGGTCGGGAATGCGGTAGGAGACGGACGCGTCGCGGTACTCGTCAGGGCCCCGGTCTGAGCCGATGCCGGTCGAGCCCGAGTCGATGGGCGTCTCCTTCTTGATCATCGCCTCTCCGGAATGGACCTTGTAGCCGACGACGGCGAGTCCATCCTCATCCAGGATCTCGTGCTTGGCTATCCTTTTCCCCGTTTGGGGGTCAATCGACGGGCCTCCAACGATGTCCCGACGCCCGTTTGCGTACGTCTGTAGTTCGGCTGTGTACTTGCGGAAGACTTGGCAGCGACCGAAACCCCTGTCACAGGACGCCTTGTTCAGGACGAGAGCATCTTCGATATCGTAGCCAGAAAACGACATGACCACGACAGTCGCGTTCTGTCCTGCGGGGAGCTTGTCATAATGTATAAGCTGGATGGTTTTGGTGATAACCATGGGGCGCTGGGGGTAAACTAGGGTGTATAGGAGCGTGTCGATTCGGTTGAACTGGTTGTATGCGATAGCACCAATTGCTTGTTTACCCATGGCACACTGGTAGGTATTACGCGGGGACTGGTTGTGGTGCGGGAAAGGAATCAGCCCGGCTACGGCCCCGAGAATGGTGAAGGGTTCGATTTCCATGTGAGTTGAGGTTTGTGTAACGTCGGTCTCGTAGAGGGCGATTAGCGCATCGTTTTCCTCGTTGACATCGAGATACTCGACAATGCCGTGTGTCAGGAAATCATCAAAGGTTGCCTTGCCCTGCTGGAGCAGACGCAAATGCTCCGGCTTGAGCTTCGGCGCTCCGTTTTTCACGATGATATAGGGTCGGCAAATCCGCCCCTCGTCCGTCGCGACATGGACAGCCGAGAAGTGGGTGTTGAGGTTAATGCTCACGAATGGAGATATCCAGCCTCGGCGCCGCATCGTCCGGAACTTGGCGGCGAACCGTTTCGGGTATCGAGTCAAGGCGAACGGCGTGCCGTTGATGTGGATCATGAAAGTACCGTCCCTGTGCATCTCTGTCCCCGAGAAGTTTCGAAGCGGCTCCACGCCCGTATCGACACTGAAGATCCATTTCTTCACGGGCTCCTCGTCGACGTGTGTGGTGATGTGGGTCATCAAGGCCAAGTTCTTCACCAGACCGCAGGCTTCTCCTTCGGGGGTATCCGAAGGACACAGCATGCCCCATTGCGATGGCTGGAGGGCTCGCGGCCCGCTGACCTTCCTCGTTTTCTCGAACTGACTGTTAATCCGCGTCATCATACCAAGAGCACTGATATAACTCAGCCGGCTCAGCACGTGAGTGACGCCCGCCCGATTCATGTGAAATCGCTTGACACTCCAGTTTCCTGTTTGGATTGCCCTGTTCAGCCCCTGCGTGATATGTAGCCCACAGCCATTAATTGTCCCAACCGGGTCAAAGGGGGAAGTCCGATTTGGCTTCTTGAAGATCTTGTCTATGTTCATCCTGACCAGCCCAACGAAACTCTTGAACAGGTCCTCGAAGAGAAGTGACAAGAGCTGGCCGGCCAGTTCTAGTCGCTTGTTTCCAACAAAGTCGCGGTCGTCGACGAGTTTCGGGTCGTGAGCCGCCATCAGAACTCGGCGGACCATCATGGCAATGTAGACAGCCTTGGGGTAGAAGTCCAGACCCTCAATGGGCACGTGGGCGATGATGAGGTTGGCGAGAGCGTCGAGACCTTCCTCGACATTGTTTCGGCGAGGCGCCCCGCCGAACTGGAACTTTCCCTTCGAACCCATCTTGACTCGGGCGCCAATGTACTCGAGTGCCTGCTGCTGGGTATAGACTCCGACCTTGGCGGCTTCGTCGAAGTTGACGATGAAATCGTCCTGGTATCGCCCGTCACGTCCTGCCACAAGTTCGATGATCTCGTAGTCCGACAAGCCTCCAAAGGCCTTGAGGACGATGACAATCGGGATGCCCTCCACCAGAACGTTGTGTTGTAGAGTGATGCGGTCCTTCTTGAGGGTGACGTACGTCTTCGACTTCCTCTCATGGGTGGAACTTGTGACCGAGGCGGTGACTTCGTTGTTCTTCTTGTCAGCCTCCACAATGACTCGATTCTTGCTCAGCTGCTCCTGGATGAGAATGACCTTCTCCGTCCCGTTGATGATGAAGTAGCCGCCCGGGTCGAGAGGGCACTCGTTCATAATTTCCATCTGGGCATTGTTGGCACGCCGCAGACTGCATTTCGAGCTCTTCAGCATGACTGGGATCCGGCCAAGCACGATATCCTTGCGCACGACCTTCTTCCTGTCCCGAGTATAGACGATATCGACGATTAACGGGGCCGAATAGGTCATGTCACGGAGCCGACACTCCATGGGGGTGACATCGTTGCGAGCTTTGAAGTCGCTGTAGTCCTGGCGATTCGGGGTGCCAACACGGATATCGGTAAATTCGAGCCAGAAGCTGCTCTCGACCTCGCTTCTCACGGTCCTGTTTGTCTTTACAATCTCCTTGATCTCGGTGTCGACGAAGAAGTTGTACGAGTCGATATGCCTGCGCCCCAAATGTCAGTCATATTGGAGGGTCCAGGGTGGCAACAGCTTATTGGCGGGATATGTATGTACTCACTGTTTCACCAAACCTATAGAAGAAGAACAGTGTCAGTGCTTGCTGCGAATCATACGAGATTGGTGCGGGGACTCGTTGGTTTCCCTCACCTTTGACTTTAAGGAAGGCTGGCAAAAGCTGATATTTGTCCTCCTTGGTGGAGATGGGATCTGTGAGCTTCTTGCCGTTGTAGAACGGCTCCAGCAGGGCCTCGAATCCATCGTCGATCAGCGGCATCCTGGCGCGGTTTGCATGCTCTTCTTAAGAATCAGATGCGTCCGAAATTTTGTTTGCGCCCCGCGAGAGTCAAGCGATAAGGAATGCGATAAGACGTGGCGTTGCTAGCAGCAGTCGCGATGCAGTCAATGGTGGGGGACGAGGCTGATTGTGGCTAAAAAGCCGTAGCCTTGTACACTAGTAGGTCTGCGCGGGCAGGGGCATTTGCTGTTTTGGAGCAGGATAGGCTGTCCATGATGTTTGTTTGTTTGCTATTGCTAAACAGCAGTCACTGTATCAGTATCCCTGTCGCAATTGCTGTCACTGTCACTGTCACTGGCGCCATCGCTATTGCAATTGCTGCTGCTATTGCCATAATAAAGGAGGATTGACTTTGTTATTACTATTACTATTGCTAGAGCGCTCTCGCGTTCGGTGGTGTTCTCCATGCTCCACCTGTCAAAAAAGAAATTGGCAGCCTGGAGCCCCTGCCCGCATACTCGTAGACGACCTCGCGATAAATATAAATATACCCATCCGTATAGTGTAGTAAGGGCTTTGCCAAGTCTTTGCTAGTGCTCCCCGCTCAACTGCAGGGTCTTTATTTACATAGTACATGCGTGCGGATGACTGTCCTATACAACGTATGTAAGTGTACGTGTAGTATTCGCACTTTCCAACGGGGCAACTAATGACAGGGTTCTGATGTAAGTGATGGCAAGGGGTATTGAGTCAATCTGAGTTGGTCGCGGGCTGCATCCCTGTTGTGCTGTATGTACTGCACCTGGTAAGGCTACTCCTATGATATTGGAGAGTAGGTAGGTTGTTGCCGCACTTTTCTCCCACATCCCCGCGCAGCAGAAAAATGAGCGGCTGCGTCGCCTGCATCCGGGTGGCTTGCTTCGCTGGCAGCCAGCACCAATTTAGGAAATATAGCTGCTGAGAACCTTGGCCAAGCCATCCACTTTATAAATACCTCCAATCCAAGCATTGTAACCCCGCCCCCACCCTGGGGAGGTCCTTTAGTTGTTTCATGAAACGGGAAGGCTCGCTCTCTCTCCATAATTGCCCTTCTCTACGCATACAGGAACCAGGCATTGGCTCAACGACTTTCGAGGTGAGGGCAAGAATATTGTCTACAGTATTTTGCACGCGTTTGGCATGCGTCTTGGGGGTAATTCATGTGACTTTGATTTGATTAGTCTACATATTTCGTTGGGCTACGGGTAATTCACGACCATGTCCAAGGCGAACGAATTACGGATGGAGGTTGTATTGGAGGAGGAGGAGTGAGGAGGGAGGAGGGAGGCTATCAATATTCAATATGAACTAAAAACTTGTTAGTCTAGCTTGTGAAAACGCCCCTCACAACTAGATCCCTCTCACCGACTTTTCGTTTGATACTCAGTAGACGAAGCCGCAGTGCCACTGTGAGGACCGAAGAGGCTGAGTTAGGTGAGTGGTCGAGGAAACCCCTCTTCAAGGTGACAAGTCATTCGTCTCTTCTCAAGGCGATCTGCAGGCCAAAAAAGAGTGCATGCAGTTCGCCACCTTAATATTATTGCCGTCTTGAGGGATGCTCACCTGGAAGACCATGCTTCATCTGATATGAGGCTGTTTTAAACTGTGCAGACTTGATCAGTGGATCAAGGTGGAGAGCAGGCGCGCTAAGGAGGGGAAAGCCAACGAGGAAAGTCTCTGCTGTTCTGTCTTCTCGAACTTTTCCCGCCCCCTTTTTTCAATGTTATGTACATACGATACAATGGACAAGTGCGAGGTTCAGATTGCGCGTTCTTGGAAGTAGTGATCGTCCGCTTTCGAAGCCTTGCCGGTCAGAAGACCACTGCCGAAGCCCCCGTTGGTTGCCTGATCTACCGATCCTGGCAGGTGTACGGCCGTGTAAACAGGTCGTTGGCTGAGAAGTGAGCACGACGGCGGAAACAGAGCTCCCCATGTTTGATATTCGGCTTCCCATCGTCATGGTTCCTCCGTCTTTTAGGAAACCCATGGCCGGGTAAATGCGCACACAGCCTTTCCGCCGCCCCATTCCGGCGCTTGTGGACTTGGGGGAGTTGCTGGAAAGTCCACCATTGTCTTCGCCCGGGTTTTCTACTTCATGCTCATTCATTGCCCTGGAGTCTGGATTATGGGGGCTGGGAAACATGGGGCCCCCAAGGCTTATTCAAAGTTCAGCCAATTGCGCTTTGAAACGCCATGTCTGAGAAGGTCGGACAGCCTACACAGGTGTGACTCTCGGCGTGTGGGGGAGAGACGAGATACCTCTCGCCTTTCCTTGAAACCATGGGTATCTGCAATGTTTCACGCCGTCCTTGTCTTTGCCGCTGCCAACGGCACTGCCTGGCATGCGCGCCTGCAGTCCGCACCATGTATTACCGTAGTTAGCACCGGGAGTACACATAGAACGACCTTGCCTTGGGACTGCCAATTCATCGGACCTTTTTTTTTTTTTTTTTTTGGACGGGATCGACTGCAAGGAGAGATGGGAACGCTGCACGCACAGGGGGGGTGGGGTCTGGGCCCCAGGTACGGGAATCCCAAAGCTCAGAATTCGACGACTTGATTGATCGATTGGGGAGGGGAGAGGGTGGTTGGTTTCTCTTGGACGATGTGCCCACTGGCCGCGTATCGGCGTTGCTTCACCGCCGCTTTCTGCAGGGCGAGCGTCTTTGGACCCTCCCGATGGCGGGGGGTCGCCTGTACAGAAGAGGTACCTTCGAAGCGATGTAGACGACCGCCCAAACTTCCGGGCCACAATCCAGGTCCCATGCCTTTTAAGGTTCAAGTCCGTCGGAAAAGAATCAGACAAGAGCATATCGTACCGTGCATTCCCTGACGGAAGCTGGCAGATAGTTTCCAAAGCCACCTCCTCCAGCCTGATGGGTTGCGAATGGGTTGGCGATTGTCAAAAAGACCCGTGCTCTCACTCGGGCATCCCTGGCTGGGTGCCGCCGCATTAGGTTATTGGATCAATCCAACGCAAGGTAGGCAGTTCTGGGTTGTCGAGCAAGCCGCCCCAGCAGCGTTTAGCGCAGGCCACCTTCGTGGAGCCGGGCCTCCTCACTGGCCAGCACTTGTTGCATTGTTGCGGTCCAGCCCACCGATATCCCGCCAGGGGTTTCTCACTCCAAAACCCATCCAACCTCCACCCAAATGAGGCCCATTGCCATTCTCTTCGTTCCCACTCGCGTTCTTTTCCTTGCACTGCTTTCCTTCTCGCTCTGCTGCTGCTCCTGGTTCCCAGGGCGCATCGTGTGCCAACATATTTGTATTCAAGGTCAGTCCAACTGTGTGTGTCTGTGTGTGTCTCTGTGCCTGCCTTTCTAGGTACCCTCTTCGCAAACACCCCCCTCTCGCTGGTCCGCGCTGCGAATGGCGTCCTGTGCCCACAGTTTGTGGCTGGTGGGAAGACGAGAGCACGCACACAATCTCTGGTCCCAGCCCTGTGCGCCCATGCCACACAAACCCCGCCCCGGGCAGCTGTCCAACGTCGTCAATCCCAATTATACCCCCCCTTTTTCGGTGAAGCTGTTTGAGTGGAAGCTCTCTGACACAAAGTCCGGACCTTGCAGACGTATAGAGGACCCGAAGTTGGCGGTCAATCCGTTTCCTGTACGAAAAGTGTTGTTCTAAATGACGATGGACGATTTCTTCCGATCCCAACAAAGCCCTCGAGGCGACTCGCAGCTGAACTCGTCGGCCTTTGTCTCGCCTCCCCGAAATGGCCCTATGCTGCCACGCCGGTTCACCACCGACTCCAGCCGTGTACCAACACTGTCTGCCATCACAACTCAGCGCGCCCCTGAACCCCAAGAGTTCCCCGGAACAACGGTATGTCTGCCCGGTCGGGGTAGCAACTTCGTTGGCCCTGTTATTTGGATATCTGTCGACCATGGGAGTTTTGGCTAACTCTGACCTCGGTATAGGCCCTGCACAAGGTTCAATTGGTATGCGGCCTCTCCCCCCACTCGGATGCGGATGTCGAGCCCCAGGGTGCAGCTGCCGATGCTCAGCACTCGTTGAGCCTCAGCTTCAACCCCCCAATCTCGGGATATTCTCTCTGGATGTTCCCAGCCTGGGCTCTGGCGATTGTTGTTGCGGGCGAATGCTAACTGCCGGTGCAGCTAGAGAAGAAGAGGCTGGAATATGAGAGGCTTCGTGAGCAGAAGAGGCGGTTCGAGGCCGAGATGCATAAATTAGACGCCCAGCAGCGTCAGGAAGAGCGGGAGCTTGCGCAGATGCAGGAAGACCTTGGCCGTTTTGGTGGAAACGGTCTGGCCGGACATCAGTCGGAACCCACCACCCCTCCCGAGTATCGAGAGACCTCGTCCGGATTCCCTACCATGTTCTCACGCCCGAACCGCTACTCAACCTCGAGCCTGACGTCTCCACCGGGCCTGTACAACCGCCCAGGAAGGTCCGGCTCGCAGCTTGCCTCTCCCCCAGCCGGTATCATGCAGTCTCGATTTGCTTTCGACGACCAACTGCCGTCCCGCTCCGTTCCAGGATCGCGGAGAAACAGTGACGAGGACGAAAAGGAGGAAGCTGTCCGCCAGGACCCCACAAGTCATAGATCGACGAACGCGTAAGTTTTTGTTTTCCACGTTAGATGCAGTCTCAACCCATGACTACTCTTGCGAGTGAGGTCGATACCTACTTCCCAAGTGGATAACTGAACTGGAAGGCGCCTTCTGATGGTCCAGATGTCTCTAGTCGATTCACTGGTTCCAAGTTGAGATCCATCCTCTCACAATCCCCTTATCTTGCTCTCCTTTAGAGGTTTAGCCCGTATTCTTGCTGTCTGTAGTTCATTCAGCCATTCATTGACTTGGCCGATTCATCACTCTGCGGCCAAGTCCTTCAACCTTCATTAACACACCCTACCCTCTCTGCACAATAGCCATTGTTCTTTTGCAGACCTACCACTTCACTCCCGAGGGTTAAATTCTTTACCTTTCCACCTGGGGTTCTACACATTATCCTCCACATCACCTCATGATTTCGTCTCAGCACCCCAAAATTCCATTTCATACCACGGAGAGAAGCATCCCAACTTAGGACTTGACCTCAAATCGTCCTCTCCGCCCTCCCTCCTCTTCTTCTCCATACTTCGAATATATTTCGACGGATGGAGAGAAGTATCTAATTCCGAACCTGCCCTCGCACTGGCCTTTCCATCTTTGTTCGTCTTCGTACTCTCTCTCCCAGTATTGAGAGAAGATCCACACCTAGAACCTGACTTCACATCTCCCTCTCTATCCCTCTTCATCTCACACTTATCTGCCTACAAAATTCTTGCAAGCCTGGCCATCTTGATATCCCGATATCATTGATCTCCGAGTTTCAAACCTACACTTTGCCAACGTATTACAACCACTAGTTTGAGAAAGCCGGCCTTGTCACTGACGGTGGATGACTCCAGCTTGAACCGCTACTCTATGCCAGTCACTCGATCCCGGAGCTACATGGCTGAACTAAACATCGACAACGGCCTTGACGGCAACAACACCACCGGTTTCCTGTTTGGGGACGAGGACTCCAACAATACTGCCGAGAACAAGAACTTCCACCAGGCTAGCAACATGGACAACTTCCCTACCTTGGTTCGACGAGAGGGCTTTCCCACTATGGTGAGCTTGTTTCCCTTGTTTCCCTTGCTTTGTCGTCCCTTCTTTGGTCGTATGCTGTGTGTGCAGACTGGTGTTTGCTTCACATACTTTTCACAACCTTATCAGAATTCTTCCTGCCTGCTTTGCTCGACTCCCCTGAAATTTCTGCACTTCGCCGGCAGGTACCTTTGTATTCGAATGTCCTTGTATCTTTCTTTCCGCTCCTTTTTTTTCTCTCCCTTGTCCTTTTCCCCGACCCTGTGGTACCTTTCTTCTCCCGGTTCCGATTTCTCTTGTCTATTTTGCAGATCCAGACGTGCTCCCCTCCTCCACTACTTCAAACTACAACACATCCTCCCTCACATCTCGTCGTCTTGTGCACCCCAACGAGACGACTTCCCCCTTCCTCTGCCACTTTTGTGTTAACGTTTTCCGTTAAAGTTGTCTGCGTCCTCTGCTGCCCTGGACCTTGCTCAGTCCCAAACCCCAAACACCACTGAGCAGCAGCCTTCTACCAACGGCTGGAACACCAACATTAACCGTCATCGACCTCGGCAGAGCCTCTCCACTCCTACCTCGACCCAGCTTAACGGGCCTAGCTCTGTTAGCTCTGGTCAGTCCAGCGAGGTCTCTACCATTGGCAGTCGCTCCTCAACAATCAGGCACTCATTGGACATGAAGTACTTCCCGGAAAACGCGTCAAACGCGTCTGACACCACGGCCTCCATGGTGTCACCCTCTGGCAGCCATATCATGGCCACCCCGCCCAAGCTGCAGCAGTCTTTCTCGGCCAATGATATCCCTACCGTTAAGAACAGCAATGGTACATCGGCCCTCACTGCCAATGCCAACAATCATGCCCAGCAGCACTTCCACAATCACAATGCCAGCCTCGGCCGCATTCCTGCTGGTGCAGTGCCCAACCGCCATAGCCGGGAGCTGTCCAATGACAACACCATGGCAGCTTCACGTGACACCTCAAACTATCCCTCCATTGGTTCAGCCTTGCACGCGAATGCTGCTCCATTTGGCCCCCCATCGACTCATGCCCAATCCAGTGCGCCATCTGTTCCTGCTGTGGCCTCGCACGCTGCGTCTGTTCCCTTCCAGTACTACAATGGAGGAAACTACAATGGTGCCAATGGCAATGGTCCCAACTATGGCATGCCAATGCTTGCTATGGCCATGCAGGGTCTCTCGGTCAATGGTGGCAACAGCCCGGCAACCATGTACCCTCCCCAGAACTACACTGGCTACAACCCCCTCTACAACCAAGCTCCTCGTGTCCACCAGGACAGTCAGGCCCGGGTCATCCAGAATCGTCGTCAGATGGACAATGAAGGTAAGGACATGGCCATCCAAGAACCCCTTTGTCTTTCTTTTCTCCACTCTTAATCAAGGTTTGCTAACGGGTTTGACTTAGCCATGAGCCGGTACGTAAACTTGCCGCTCGAATCGGTCGGTGGCACCATCTACCAGCTCTGCAAGGACCAGCATGGCTGCCGGTACCTCCAGAAGCAGCTGGAGAACCGCCTTCCCGATCAGATCCACATGATCTGGCTGGAGACCAACCAGCATGTGGTCGAGCTCATGACCGACCCTTTTGGCAACTACTTGTGCCAGAAGCTGCTGGAGTATTGCAACGATGAGGAGCGCACTGTCCTCATCCAGAACGCTGCCCAGGATATGGTCCGGGTTGCTTTGAACCAGCATGGCACTCGGGCCTTGCAGAAGATGATTGAGTTTGTCTCTTCTCCGACCCAGATTGAGATCATCGTCGATGCCCTTCGCTTCCGCGTTGTAGAGCTGATCCAGGATCTCAACGGCAATCACGTCATCCAGAAGTGCCTCAACAAGCTGAGCCCTGCTGATGCCCAGTTCATCTTCGACGCTGTTGGCACCAACTGCGTGGATGTTGGCACCCATCGTCATGGCTGCTGTGTCCTGCAGCGCTGCATCGACCATGCCTCTGGCGACCAGAAAATCTGGCTCATCCAGAAGATTACGGAGAACGCCGTTGCCCTCGTCCAGGATCCTTTCGGAAACTACGTGGTCCAGTACATCATCGATCTCAACGAGCCTGCCTTCACCGAACCTCTAGTCTCCACCTTCCGTGGCCGCATCGGTGCCCTGTCTCGTCACAAGTTCAGCTCCAACGTGGTTGAGAAGTGCCTCCGCTGTGCTCAGGATCCTTCCAAGGACTTGATTGTCGACGAGCTCCTTGTGCCTGGCGAGATGGATCGTCTGTTGCGCGATTCTTTCGCCAACTACGTCATCCAGACCGCCCTAGAGTATGCCACTCACTACATGAAGCATCGCCTGGTGGAGGTTATTCGCCCCAGCCTACCCGGCATTCGATCCACTCCCTATGGTCGTCGGATTCAGGCCAAGGTCCAGGCCTACGACTCTCGCAGTGGTGCCAGTACGAGTGGCCAGGTCACTCCATCTGATGCCTCCCAGGGCCAGATCCCCATTCGCCCCGGCCACAGCCGTGCCATGTCCAATAACACGTCCATTCTGGCCCCAGGTGGCTACGCCAATGGCATGAATGGCGTTGCCAACCATGCCCCTGGCTCGGCCTATCCGGCTAGCAACATCCTGACGGTGCCTCCTCCGCAGCCCCAGCGGGCCCATCAGTACCCGCCTACTTTCCCTCGCCCTGGTGTCCAAACCGAGAACGGCGAGTCGCAGTGGCTCTGAGTCTTTTCCTCGCAACTTCACGCCGCCATGCTTGTAACGGTATGACATGATCTGAGGCTCGAAATGGGTTTCTACACCCAGTTTTGGACTCTCTGGCGGCACTCGTCAATTTGCGGTTTCATTACTTCTTCTGCTACATTAGGCACGAAACGGAAACGACCTGCACGATAGTCACGATCATTATTTCCTAATAATCCCTGCGACGATCGACACGGCTTTTCATTCCACGACGACGACCATCGAGCATAAGCAAGCTTTCCCCCTGAGACGGGCTCTGTCTGGGAAACTGCTTTGTTGTACACTATCCGCTCGATATGACTCGATAAGTCTCGGGAAACAAAAAAGGAAGAAGAAAAGAAGATCTCTCTCTCTCTCAGGGCATCTTGCATCCCCTGGAAACAGCCATCCTAGGAAATCATGGGCAACCAAGATGGGGGAGGGGGGGACATGAAAGCATCATCACGTTTTATTCGTGCATTCGGCTTTCGCCCAGACCACATCGGTATGGCATGGCATGGCATGGCATAGATCTTCTTTCCGCTCAGCTTCCTTCTCACCGCATTTTTCCTTTTTTTTCTCTTTTCCTTTCAGCACCAAAAAAAAAAACGCATTCCGGCATCCGCGAATTTCTGCGGAAAGCTTGGGGAGAGATGTTCGTTCTCCCCCGTCAAACCGAGATTCGCAAAACCCAATCTCTCTCATATGAGTGGGTCGATTTTCCCCCTTATTTTCTACGCGCCCCACCACGCAATAGCCACCAGGGGCTAGAGAAGGAAAGGGGGGGGGGGGGGGGGAAGGCAGGCAAGGCATGGCATACTGAGAGCCCTGTCTTTTCTTCTTCTGATCTGGGCCTTTGCGCCTGACCTTTTGCGCTCCGTTATGGATGAAATGGATGCGGAACTTCTCCCCCCAAATGGCTCACATAGTCAGAACTTCTTTCTCGATGGGGCCTTTTTCCTGCCCCCTCGCCTGTATTTAGATGGGCCGAAAATTCTAAGAAAATTCTACAAAAATCGTTGCTTAGTTTGATGAAGTGATGCTTGTGATTTACCGTAACAATGCGTTGGTCCCTTATGAGGGAATATAAGACCAGATTCCCCATCAGAAAGGCAATGTGCCAGCGAGGAATCGAGCAAGGGCTTATGGGTTTCCCTTTTGCAAAGATATCAAGCCGGTAGGCATGTCTTGCTCAAGGGTCGATCGCATGTCACAAAGCGAGGCAGTCAAGGTCAGATAGGTAGTAGAAACGGACTTCCTTGTCCATTTTGCATTTTGCATTTTGATTGTTTTATGCTATCACGAAACTCCCATGCCAACGTCCGTCCGTCCAAGGGCAGTAGGTGTGCGGGGAATCCATCGCAAAGCTTATCATAGCCCAGTCCATCATCCTTCGCAAAGCAGCCCCAGCCCAGAACCACCAGAAGAACCAAACCCCGGTCACCACCACCACCGTTGTTACGGCGTCTACCGGTAGCGCCAGAGCGAGAGGGTGTTGTGGCGCTTCCAGGTCTTTCTGCGGCCGGCCTGGGTCTTGTTGTAGCGGTGGCCCTTGTTGAGGCCGCGGGAGCGCTTGCCGGTGGCGGTGAGGCCGCGGGCCTCGCGGTGCTTATGCACCGGGTTGACGATCCAGTTGATGCGCGGGTCGCGGCGGATGGCCTTGTGCTGGGGGTCGACCAGGATAACCTCGTAGTACTTGTAGGTCGAGTCCTGGTTAACCCAGTACGAGTTGAGCACGCGGAGGTTGGAGCACCGGCGGCCGACACGCTCCTCGGCGGTGGCGCGGAGGGATCGGCGGTACTTCAGCTGGTTGACACCGTGGTTGGTGGGCTTGCCTGTTTGTCGAGGAGAGGGGTGGTTAGCATATGTTGTTGCGAGTAGCCTGACGGATATTCAAAAAAGAGGGATTCCGTACCATAAGTGGCACCCTTGGGGACGGGCTTCTTGCGGCCACCACGGCGGACTCTAACGCGGTAGACAACGTAGCCCTGCTTGGCCTTGTATCCCAGGCGGCGGGCCTTGTCGGGGCGGGAAGGCCGGGAGGCACGGTGGATGACATTCAATTGACGGAGCTATATTGATGCACTCTCAGCAAATGTTCAACGAGTGTATAGCAAGGCACGGTGAGAGGACATGTTTCTTCCGGCGCAGAGGCCCAAAGAACCAGCCCTGCTCTCCGTCCACATGTTTTATCGATTGAATGGTTTCAACATACTTCCCAGCATCGGACTCGGAGGAGGAATCGCAGAACATCGGACTGCTTCTTCTTCTGAAGCTCTTCGACGTACTTGAGGGCACCCATTTTGGCTAGATGGCGACAAGATAGAGGTCAGTAAACTGAGCAGGTAATCGAAATGAACTCGACGACGGGTCGGAGAGGAAATGGAGGAGACAAACCGGCTTGGACGTGTTTTTTACCCTGCCCTGGTTAGTAGTGAGATGGTCGTGGGAGATAAAGTTCTTGCGAATTTCGAGGCTGAAGATCCTGGTGGACTTTTCGAAAGAATTGAGCCCTAATGCTAAACGAGACGCTAAGCTAGAAGCGGACTAGCGGAATTGGTGTTTTCAGGTACTTTTGGGGCCCGTGCGTCCTGACCCCTAGATTCTCTCGGGGAATTTCCAGAGGCCTTCTCTCAGCCAAATCAGAGACCAAGCCGAAGAAGCCCCCGATGCTCGTCGAGGGACTAGGTTTGGCAAGATATTTTTAGCCAAGATAATCCAACTACGTCTCTTTCCTCGACCAAAAACTGTCACATTTCATGCAATGTAGCCGAGAGCGTGTTAACTGCCTAGAAGGATAGGGAAAACTAGCCCCTTTCAAACCCCGAGGAACGAGCTCCCTCGCATAACTCCTAAAACTCCATGGCTATCTACCTCACAAAGACGCGCATTTATTTAACCTTGCTCATGATCGTCTCCGGACCCCTCACCACGTTCATCTGCGCGGCACGAGCCTTTACGGCGTTCAGCATGCTCCGCTCAAAGTCATCCCTCGATCTTAGGACAGCCTCAACCCAGCTGATCTGCAGGTCCCAGTAGGCACTCTTGAACGACTCGAAGGCGTCCGGCACGGCTTCTTTGTCGGCCGAGAGGAGCTGTAAGAACGGCTCGGACACTCTCCAGGTTTCCTTGATCGAGTTCCCCACGTCTGGATTCGGCACGTTGCTGAAGAAGTCGAACGCGGTGGACAGGTCGTCAAATATCTTGTCCTGGTACTGGTCCGTCCGCCGGAACTTGGCTCCCTTGTTCCGGACCGACGAGAGATAGCGGACCAGCAGTTCCTCGGCGAAGATCTCGATGAAGATGTCCACCAGCGAATGGTGCAGCACCTGCCGGTAGTCGGCCACGTACTCCTCGAAAGTCGCAATCATCCTGCTCATAGAGGTGTTGGTGTACCATTTGGCAGTGAAGAACTCGGGCATCACGGCCTTGAAGTCGACGACAAATACGAGCCGTGCAAACTTAGCCATACACCAAGTACTGAAATCCACGTAGCCGTCACGCAACGCCGTGACCTCTGTCTCCGCACGCTCCATGTACTGCTGCGATACAATGGGCTCGAACTTCTGCTTGAAGTCCGAGAGGTACGCGAAGCGGTTTTCCTCCTCGTTATCGTCGATACAGGCGATCTGATCGTTTGCCGTGGCGACAAGCCAGTCCTGCAACGACTGGAAACCCTCAAGCTCGGCGGCATTGGCGGCCTCGTATCTCGACGCCTCTTCCTCCAGCATCTTCTGCCATGACTGCTGCCGCGATCTGAGCCTCAGGAACATGGCATCGATGACACCCTCCACGACATCGGCCCTCTGGGAGTTTGCAGCCGCATCGATCTGTTCCCGGAGCATCCTCCACATATCCACGAGGTTCTTAGTCCGGAAGTAACCGTACTCGTCCTGGTCCAAGTTTGAGCCCTCGGCGTTCCGATCGGCAAAGTCTTTCTGTTCCTGCTTAAATATCCGGTCGATCCACTCGTCGAGGAACTTGATTATGAGGGCGCGGAAGTCTCTGACAAGTTCAGTCTCCCGGTTGTCGATGACGTGTGGGGTGAGCTCATCCTGCTTGAAGCCCAGCTTGTTCATCTTCCTGTAGTATTTCTCTGGCCACCCGATGATCTCCAGGGTGTGTGAGGAGCTGCTGTCGGGGTCATCGATGAGGCCCACGAGGAAATCATGCATAAGGCCGTGATAGGTGTTGGTGTAAGTTTTATAGATCTTCCACTTCTTGGGCATCAGTGGGACCATGCCGACCCTAACGGCATTGAGATCATTGAAGTACCACTTCAAGAGCTTCTCAAGCCTTGACGGATCTGCCAGGAACTCTTCCCGAGTGGCTGTGAACTGCGCATCTGCAAATGCCTTGATAGCCTGCAGGAACTTCTCTTTATAGCCTCGTACTGCCTTGGCTCCGTCCGTAATGCTCTGAAATCTTGTTGCGATTTCCTTATGGTCCTTCAATGCCTCTTGCAGGGCAAGCACCCGCTGGTCACTCTTCTCCTCAGACTCAATGACCAATGCGAACCGCACCACCAGGGAATTATTATCGGATGTCACTAGGTTGACCAGGCTCATTGCTATCAAGCCCACGTGTTCGTCGAACCAGTCGATTGCCCCATCCAGCCTCTCGAAGTAATCTTCCAAGGTCGACTGCAGACTCAAATCATCCCCTCGCTGTATTTGTTCCATCGCATCGTCTCGAATATTCCGTAGCTGGGTGAGCTCGTAGTGGATTGGCAGCAGGTTGGGCATGTTCTCCGCATCGGCATCATCCTGCCGCAGCATGTCCTCGACCACGTTCAGTCGGTCATTGAAGGTCTCGAGATTCTTGCGCATGGTCTCGACAGCCCCGAAGTTCCGATGAGCCTGCGATACCAGATTTATCGTTGTAAAGTCCTTGATCATGTTCTGCGACTCGGAGCACAGTTTGTCGATCTTGATCATCTCCTCCTTGATCTGCTGGACCGTCTTCTGGCCGTCTGTCAGGCCAGTCATGCCTGACTGTGTCATCTCCAGCTGGTCATGCAGGCCAGCCCGTAGCTGTAAGTCCACAGCAGCCTTCTTGCGCGTGAATTCCTGCTTCAGCGCCGTGATCTTGTCGAGGTCATCCGGATGGCGGAGGAGCTCCGAGAGATTGACTGGTGGCGCGTCCATGGTGATTGCTGGTTTGTTTGCCTCGGCGGCAGCTTGCCCATTTATACCATGGCACAGGAAATGGTAGGGACAGCTCCGATATCTGTACGGAATGCCAGAGACGCTCCGTTTTGACTTGGGCCAATGCTGGGTATCGATAGGTAGAAGTGCTAGGGGCAAGGTAAATGCTGAGGTACAGGCTCGATGTTGATTCCATCACTTGCAGGGATGCAGCCATTTTGCATTAGCGGGATGATGGTCCGTGCATTGGGATAAGGTTACAGGGTTCCCTCTTGAGCCGCAACCTCCTTGGATCAATTCAGGGGAACAACATGAAGGCCAAAACAGCAAACTCAGGGGCAAAAGACACATAGCCCAGACTTGCAATGGAAATGATTCTTAAAACATGGGCACACAAAGCTAAAGAGAGCATATTGCTCAGAGGGCCAGTATGGTGGCCGTTCCCAGTGAGCAGACACCTTTTTCAACTACTAAGTGTACTTACACCAGCTCCCTACTTTAAAGACGGGAATTTCTCTGCGGGCATGCGCCATTCGCTCTGCAGGCAGGTGGCAAGTTGGCAACAGCTGAATTGCTGTCACTATTGGCTGTCACTATTATTATTTCTAGAAACGACAATAGCGATGGACAGCAACGGCAAGAGTGACAGGAGTGACAGCAATAGTAACAGACAGCAACAGCAAGAGCGATAGACAGCAATGGCAATAGCAATAGACAGCGACAGAAATAGGGAACAGCAAAAGCAACTGCCCTGCGATGCACTAACCGCCTGCCCGCGGAGCAAATAGCGCATGCCCCTGGAGAAACTCTCTTAAAGACGGGCTTTGAGTATATACATCTAGGTAGGCACGAATATCAAAAGCCCAAATGCGTCTATTTCAAGCATGGTAGCTAGCCTCCAGGCCCTTCATTTACCTCCATAGATTTAAAGAAAGCTGTCATGCTGAAACACACGAAAGTGTCGGAATGATTCTAGAGAGCTGTAGCTTATAACCAAGCAAACTATAAATCAAAGAGACGAAATGGAAGCCATCAGCCCCTTTCTGACACATACCACAATGGCTTGTGCGATTCAGCCAACAACCATCCTTTTGGGGACGTCATTGCTCCAGTGACAAAGGGTTAAAATCGATCAGGAACATCCTCGAGTATTAGTCATATAGCTATGGTAATCTCGTTATTCCTACCTCGTCATCAAAGAAGAGGAGACTTGTGGCTTGGACTACTAAACAATGCCCGGAGAAAGACACTTACAGAACTCGCCCTTACAATAGCGGTGGAGGTATGCCGCAGCCAAATCCCTTGGTGAGCCCCAGGACTGGGTTAAAGGGGAAGACAGGAGGTCGTCGAGACTCGTCACAGGTATGGACAAGAGGAACTTCCGCACAGCTTGAGCTAACCGCTCAGCAGTATGCCTGGATACTTGGAAGGGCTGACTCTAAAAGAAGTGTCGGCACTGACTCCCATCCTACTTCGGGAAGCACAAGGGCCTGATTGCCTAACATGTTTTATGAATAGGACAAATGATCTTCTAGTCTAGATGCCGTGCCAGGATCGCAAGGCTCATGAGTCTGGGCCGTGAATAGAGAACAGACCTCACAACCTCTTACATGATTCACACGACTCCCACGACTCCCACGACAATTAAATTAAAGATTATCCTTTCAAATCGTCCCTCGATTGTCTCTCACTTGGATTGGTGAGCCATAGTGAAGCCCACCAGGCACAGGCCATCCCTTCCCTTCCTCACTTCTTCACGTACAACCCCAGTTGATCAACACCAATCCTCCTACCAGGCCACTTTGATATCTGGATGCCAAAAGGGCGAGTGTAAGCGCGGTTGCCTTCTCTCCAGCTACCCTTTCTTGATTTACTTCCGGCCGTACGTCCAACCTCCGCCTTCCGGGTCAGCAGGGAGCTCTCTCTAAGGAGAGTCCCCAAGCACCTATCTCTCCAAGAAACCCAACAGGTACGCAGAAACCACCCCGGGCAGGGACCCGGGGCTGCCAGGCTCCGCCTCATCAACCTCGGGACCAAACACTCACACTGACCCACGTCCCAGCATCAACATCATGGGGGCCCTCATCCATCCCCAGAGGCAGGAAGCCACCTCGCGCACCTCCATGGCCCCAGGCCTCGACGAGTCCACACCGAGATCCTGGCCAGCCTTCGACCTTCTCTTCGCACCAATCCACTTCAAATGCCCGTTCACGATCCAGTGCAACGAGTGCAGCCACTACCTCGGCAAGGGCCACGTCGTCGAGGGCTACAGGGAGCGAGTCGGCCACTTCCCCCACCGGCCCCGACGCACGCGGCCCTGACCCGCCACCTTCCCATCTACGTCGTCGGCTTCGACTGTCCGGCCTGCCGCGACGAGATCCGCGTCAGGACGCACCCGCACCGGGGCTATGAGTACGTCTGCGAGGAAGGGGGCCGCAGGGCCGAGGAGCCGTTCGGACCCATCGGGACGGGGTACAACATCGCCGTGCGGGTCGGGCCCGACGGGTGGGTGGAGTTCGTGTACGATAGATGCCTCACGGGGTCCCTGTGCGGGGAGGGAGAGGAGGACGAGACTACGGAACCGGCGCCCAGGTCCGCTCGGTATCGGCGGGTGGCGCAGCTTGTTGGCGAGGAGGGGAAGAGGGGAAGTGTAAGATCTCGCGTCTCGGGAAACTAGACTAATACTTATATACTGACGGATATGAACTTCTCTTGCAGAGTCAAAGGCCCAAGGGAGGGGTGCGGAAGAGGCTCATCGCCTACCAGGCCAAGGTGGCCATTAAGACGCCTCAGTCGAGGCTATCCACAGAGCTAGATTCCTAGAATGATGGAGCTGGTGGCTATGGATTGTACATGTAAGTGTTGAATTCTGTTTTATGACAGATATGATGGGAATAGACTGTATGTACGAGTATGCACAGGCACGGTATAAAGTGTAATGATAGGTCTGCCGGATACATGCAGGTCACAACGCAGGAGTCATCCCCATGAATAGGGGCACTGTTTCGTCTGAACTTGAATCTTGCAAGGAAGCACGAGTCCAGCTTTTGTTTCGACTTAATGCATTCCCACGCCTCAATCAGCGTATATGGTCAAGAGGCTGGCCATGAATTATGCAGCAAATGCAGTCACAAGATATTGTTCCCTCTCGGAGCAAACGTCGTTTGCCAGTTTGTGCATGATGCTTGATAGCTCGGCTCAGTCGCAATGATCGACGCAGCGCGATCTATTCACGCCAAACACCACATGTCATCACTCATCAGCCTGCCAGAAGCAATCCATTTGGATCCAAATACGCCCTTGTAAGTTGTACCCAAGGTAGGTAGCTAGAAAGGGAAGTCATTGTGCCGACCGCAAGAGCTGGTGCTGGCGAGAGCTTCTCTCGATTGTAAGCGCTTGTGTCAATGGTGAGAGCTGTGAGAGCCTGTGTCGACGGCAAGAGCATTGCACAACACACGACCTACGTAAAACACCCATAGAACTTGACCGTGCACATAGATCAGGCCATGGCCAACCGAGGCGTTTGTCAAAAAGTCAGATCCCAGGTACGGTTACAATATCTTAGATTCCTACAACTCAGGGTATCTTGCCATTCTGTTCCACCAAGCCATCTAAAGACTGGTGACCAGATCTAGAAGCATTCAGTTTGCGGAGAAAGCACCAGCACCCGCGAGATACCTCCCCAATTACCTATCCCTCTATTTCTAATCCAACACAGCATTTACCTCCCCCTCATTTCAGGGTGACCAGCTCCTCGGCGCTGGTGGGGTGGATGGCGACGCAGCTGTCAAAGTCGGCCTTGGTGGCGCCCATCTTGATGGCGACGCCGAAGCCTTGCAGCATCTCGCCGCTGCCGAGGCCGAGGATGTGCAGGCCGACGACCTTCTCATCGGGCCCGGCGCAGATCAGCTTGTAGCTCGTCGGGCCCTTCTGGTCCGGCTCCATCATGGCGTAGTACATGGCCGTGAAGGCCGTCTTGTAGATCTTGAGATTGTCGCGCCCGTACTTCTCCACCGCCTGCGGCTCCGACAGCCCGATCGAGCCCACCTCGGGGTGCGAGAACACCACCGACGGGATGTTGCCGTAGTCGAGCTTCAGCGCCTTGAACTCGGGCGGGCCGAACAGGCGGGCTGCGAGCCTCCGGCCCGCCGCGATGGCCACGGGGGTGAGGTCGACGGGCCCCGTGGCGTCGCCGAGGGAGTAGATGTTATCGACCGACGTGTTCTGGTACTCGTCCACGATGACGTGGCCCTTGCTGCCGAGCTTGACGCCGGCCTCCTCGAGGCCGATGTTCTGGGTCGCCGCCGTCCGGCCGATGGCCCAGATGAGGTGGTCGACGTCGCCCAGCACGCCCTCGCCGCCGGCGTCCTTGTAGTGGATGCTCAGCTTGCCCGTCTGCGCGTCCTTCTCGACCCTGCTCTGGCTCGAGTTCTTGTGCAGGATGACGCCGAGGCGCTCGTACTCGTTCGTCACGGCCTCCTGGATCATGGGGTCGAAGGAGCGCAGGAAGTGCTCGTGCCGGATGAAGAGGTGGGTCTCGACGCCGAGCGCGTTGAACATGCCCGCGAACTCGACGGCGATGTAGCCCGCGCCAACGAGGGCCACCTTCTTGGGCAGGGTCTCGATGTCGAAGAAGCCGTCGCTGTCGATGCCGTGCTCGTGGCCGGGGATGTTGGCCGGCCCCGCGGTCGGGTTGCCGCCCACGGCGAGGAGGATCTTCTTCGCCCGCACGATCGACTTTTCGCCGTCGTCCGTCGTCACCTCGACCTCGTTCTTGGACACCAGCCTCGCCCAGCCGCGGACGTACTCGACCTTGTCGTTGACCAGGTTGCGCTCGTAGATGCCGTTTAGCCGCTTGACGTAAGCGTCGCGCTTGTGCTTGAAGGTCGTCCAGTCGAAGGGGGCCGTCTCCTGCACCCGGAAGCCGTAGTCCTTGGCTTGGTGGATGGTCTCAGCGATGAAGGCGGCATTGTAGGTCACCTTCTTGGGGACACAGCTGCGGGGAAGGTTAGCTTCGGAGTGTCCAAGACTGGGAAGCAGTCCCGTTGTTCCTGAGACTTACCCGACATTGACACAGGTGCCTCCCAGACGTTTGGACTCAACAACCATAGTCTTGGTGCCGAACTTGGCGCTGGCTGCCCGCGCCGAGGCAAGACCTCCGCTCCCGCCTCCAATGACCAGATAGTCGGCCTCCTTGCTTATGGGAGCCATGATGGTGGGTGTGGTGGATAAGTGACGGGATATAGATGCAAGTCGTCTCGTAGTTGTTCTCGCCGAAGTCAGAGGAGTGGCTCGCACGAGGACCGGGAGAGCGAGCATGGACGGCTGGTGTCTTTGATGGAAACCAGAGGGGCAATCGGAGTGGGGGAGGGGTAGGAGGGGTTGACGTGCTTATATGTATAAGGTGATTACCTATGCAAGCAAGACTCTAGAGTGCGTATGTGGATGGTTCGGGTGTTATCTTTATCAATTATTTCCCAAGCTACGTCAATTGAGATGCGCTAAATCGGCGCGAGATTCTGAATTGATTGAAAATGCTTGCCCCTCCAAAAACTCTATTCCAAATACCGGACCGGGAATCGCGAGTTGGCCCGTGCCTATCATTATCATCGCCAGACCAGCCCGATGAACATGGAAGTATGCTGGACAACCTCGTGATTTAGTCTTTCTTAAAAACCCAGTACAGTTACCACAGTAAATAGCATGTGCCCGCTGTATCTTCTTACAGGTAGGAGTGTAAGAACTACTTCGATCGTAGGAATCTTCCAACTCCCGAGGTTGGCGGCGGCTTAGCTAAGCGCTAATCCATGCGCGCGCGCCATTGCAGGGGTTGTTTTGGCAATTTGAGAACGGGCAGCGCCCCCTTTTCACATGGCGGACTTCCGGATTTCTAATCATCAGACAGCAGAAACAAAAATTCAGACAGGATGATGCCTAGAGCGGCATAGTCCACTCATCCTTCCGGGCGACACCAGCGGGCTCGGGCAGCAGGTCATTGGCTTTTGCTGACAGACATGACAACCGGGTTGACCAAGCTGTCCCTGGGCCAATTGCGGAACCTGACCTTGCAATGCGGGATCAACAGGTCCGGCACCAAGGGCGTGCTTATTCAGCGCCTCGACCAGACGCTGCGCGACCACCGGCCCCTGGGGCCCGACGCCCGCGTGCTGAGCATCGACCTCGGCATTCGGAATCTGGCCTATAGCCTGCTGTCCCCACCGCTTGCCCGCCCAAGCCGTGCCCAGCGGGGATCCAAGGCTGGCCCCGCCGTGCACGCCTGGCGCCCGCTCTCGCTCGCCCCGGCACCCGGCGCCGCAGCGGGGGACCAGGACCAAGGGCCCGCCGACGGCGCCGACGAGGCTCTCGCGGCGGACTTCAGCCCCGCGTCCCTCTCGAGGATCGCCCTCCGCCTGGTCCAGGAGCGGTTGCTCCCGCTGCGGCCGACGCATGTGCTGATCGAGAGGCAGCGCTTCCGCTCCGGCGGCGGGTCGGCCGTGTACGAGTGGACTGTCCGCGTCAACTCGCTGGAGGCCATGCTCTATGCCACCTTCGCCACCCTGCAGGCCCTCGGCCACTGGGATGGTGTTGTTCTCCCCATAGACCCGAAGCGTGTATCCACGTTTCTGCTGGAGGACCAGAAAGTTGTCGGCGATGACGGCGTCGAGCGGGGCGGGGAAGATCCGGACTGTGTGCCGGGCGCGAAGAAGGCCGGAGGAAAGGCACGGAAGGATGCCACGGGGGCGGAGGTAAAAAGTAGCGGGAGAGTCGCCAGGGAGAACAAGAAGCGGAAGATCGACCTCGTGGGAAATTGGTTGGTGCACCACAAGCTCGCAATGGCCGGCGTGGAGGCCACGGCCATGAGGATAGCATTCTTGGAGAAGTGGTTGCCGAAGGAGCATCTGGGAAAGCGGAGCGCCGAAGGTTTGGCGCTGAAGGGGACAGCGGAGAGCATAAGGAAGCTCGACGACGTGGCTGACAGCCTCTTGCAAGGGGTTGCCTGGTTGAGGTGGGAAGAGAATAAGACGAAATTAAGACAGGGGCATCAATTTGACCTTGTGGGGGTGCAGCAGGAGTCATCAGCTTAACAGCCAGCTCGGCCCTTGGTCCTGTCATATTTCCGTAGGACCAGACGTTGCATAGATGGGTATCATATTGGTCTAAAGCGCCATACTACCTAGTCACTCCAGTAGTCGTCATACCTGCCCTCTTCCCTCTGAGTACTGACCCACTCCTCACTGGCTAGACCCCTCGCTATTCTCCTCTTGAGACCCTGGGCGTCCTTGTGCCAGTCGCAAGCATAGTCACACACAGGCTCGACCGCCTCGCCGAAGTACTTGCACACGGCAGCGTGCCGACACCCGTTCGTATCCTCGCAGTACGCAACCAACCTCATCAAGCTCTCCTGCCGCGCCTGCCTGTTCGGCCTGTTGGGCCCGTCCTTGGGCATGTCCCGCGTCACCATGTTGCAGACGCGGTCCCGGTCCTCCCGGCTGTAGTACAGGAAGCAGTAGCTGGCGTTACCGTCCCGCCCCGCCCGCCCGGCCTCCTGGTAGTAGCCCTCGAACGACTTAGGTAAGCGCCAGTGCACGACGAAGCGGACGTTGTCCTTGTCGATGCCCATGCCGAATGCCGTCGTGGCCACGATGATGTCGTACCCGGGCTCGTTTGCGATCCAGCGCGCCAGCGTCTCCTCCTTGATGTCCTTGCTCAGCTTGGCGTGGAACGGCCGCGCGCCGATGCCCTCCTGGCGCAGGGCCGCCGCCAGCATCTCGCACTCGTCCCTCGAGATGGTGTAGATGATCCCCGGGACGTTGTCGACGCGCTGACCGGCGGCTTCCAGCTCATTCCGCCGCTCGGCCGTCCGCCGCCGCTCGTAGACGCCCTGGAGCCAGTCCACAAAGTCGGAGAAGCGGTCGTCGGCCTCGTCACTTGTGAACCGGATCTCCAGGTGCAGGTTCGGGCGGTGGGCCGTCGTGGCGAAGGTCCTGAGGTTGTCAGGGTTCCTGTCCAGCCCTAGGGTCGAGAGCACGTCCTTGCGCACCTGCTCGTTAGCCGTGGCGGTCATGCACATGATGGGCACGTCCGGGAGCGTCTCGCGGAACCACGACAGGCGCTTGAAGTCCTTCCGGAAGTCGTGGCCCCATTCCGAGATGCAGTGGGCCTCGTCGACGACAACGCGGGCGAGCTGCTTCTGCTCGTACACGAGCCTCAGCCGCTTCCGGAAGTTGTCGGTAGAGCATAGCTCCGGGGTCACATAGAGCAGACGCGTGCGCGGGTGGCCGGATGCGAGGTCCACGTAGATGGAGTCTCGGTCCGATAGCGGCGTATTGCTGTTCAGACTACGGGCATCGACATTTGCTGCTCTGAGGGCCTCAACTTGGTTCATCTAGAGCGGCTCAGCTCATGCTACCCTTGGGGTAAAGGGGGGATCAGGGCGTACCATGAGACTCAAGAGTGGTGAGACGACAATGGTAACTAACAACGAGGTCAGAGCGAGCAACAACTTGGAAGACAAGGCGGACAGCGTGACCTACTCCCAGAGTCTATCACCGCAGGCAGCTGGAAGCACAGGCTCTTCCCGAACGAGGTCGCGGCCTGAACGAAGACATCTTTCTTTTCGAGAGCAGCAAGGATGATTTCCCTCTGAAAGGGCCTGGACGTGTCAGAGAGAATAAGACTAGAGGCTGGGCAGGTAGGGAAATTAACCTAAACGCGGTCTTGTTGAACTGGCGGCGGAGGGTGAAGTCGATGTCCTGATAGGAGTTGCTTCTCAAGAGTGGCATGGTGGGGGTGGCTTCACTCGAGACATGGATGCCGATAATCCCACTGCCGCTGGCAAGGCTGCTGGGTTCCGGGTTGCGTATTCCGGTGATTTACAACAGCATGGCGACGCGATTGCTAGTTGGTGGGTTGGTTCAGGTCTTGACGCGTTAATGGGGTTTGAATGTTTACTCTCGGATTTAAGCTGCCAAAACAAAACGTCACCGTTCAGCAAGCACTCGTCTAACAAGGCTAAGCCTGCCCATTACCATAAATTTACACAAAGAGCTGAAGATGCCCTCCTTATCTTGAAAGATATCTAATCCCAGCAGTAAGCTTTGGAGGCTCAGTCTTCTCTGCCCACTGAAGCTTGTGTCCTTACTGTATGCGTTTCTTGTAGACAACGCAATTCGTAGCACACATCTTTTACCTTATAACAACTTTTCAAGTCAGGATTTGAGGTATCTGAAAGGATGCGCAAGTGCGAAGGCCTTATATAAATCATCGTCGATCTTTTTTTGGCCTCTTCCGTACGGTTTACATAGTATTTGGTTCATTAATAATACCGAGGGAGAAGTCCAATGTTAACCTCTAACCCCAGTGTGCTGTGTGGATTTGGGTTCAGCTCACATTACATCATCTCGCAGGCACTTAAGCTCAATGTTCAATTTCCAATCCAGGGGTCCAACACCCCGAAGTCGATTCACAAAATGAGCAGCAGCCGTCCAACGTCGCCGACACGGCCATCGCGGCCCGGCATGCTCAATCCACACCAACCGACACCCGCGGCCGCATCATCGCAGGCGCCGCAACCTCTCCGCAACACACCATCATCATCATCATCGTCGTCCGCCACACTATTTCCCTCCCGGCCGCCGCCCCTCCACCTGACCGTCCGCTTCAGCACCTCAGTCCCGGACCTCCACCTCGACGTCCCCAACCCCGACCGCACCACCGTCGCCGCCCTCAAGCACCTGATCCGCCCCCGCCTCCCGGCCCCGCACTCCGCCCGCCGCCTCCGCTTCATCCACGGCGGCAAGATCCTCCCCGACGATGCCGTCCTGAGCTCCATCCTCAGGGCGCCGCCGCCGCCCCCGCGCAGCAGCGCGGCGCGCGACCACAACAGGGACAGGGAAAGGGATAAGGGCAAAGGCAAGGCCGTCGTCGAGGGGTCCCCCGCCGCCGCCGCCGCAGCAGCAGCAGCAGCGGATCGCGTCTACGTCAACTGCAGCATCGGCGACGTCCTCCCCGACGCAGACCTCGCCGCCGAGGCCCGCGCGGCCGCCCGCCCGGTCGCGGACCCCAAGGTGGCGGCGGCGGCTACTACTACTGGTGGCAAGGACGACGGCGGCCGTGGCTCCCAGACGAAGGCGACAGCGGCGACGATGGCGACGACGACGGGGTCATCTACAAGGGCGGGCGGCGGCGGCGGCGACGGCACCCTGGCGGCGCGGCGCAGCACGCCCCGCGGGTTCGACCGGCTCCTGACGGCCGGGTTCTCGGGCGCCGAGGTCAACCAGCTGCGGCTGCAGTTCCGGTCGATCCAGGCGTCGCGGCACACGCCCGACACGATGCCGTCGCCCGACACGCTGCGGGGCATGGAGGATGCGTGGATCGACAACAACAACGATGCCGGGACCGGGACCGGCGCGGGCGGCGCGGCAGCAGGAGGAGGAGGTGGGGATGGCGGTGCTGGGGATGCGGATGAGGGGTTCGGTATGGCTGGCCTCGTGGACGTGCTGGTCAAGGGTATGGTCATCGGGTTCATGTTCCCGCTTGGGAGCGTCGGGTGGCTGATTCGCGAGGAGGGGCTGTGGTCTAGTCGGTGGCAGGTCTTTGTGTCGTTCGGGTTCATCCTGAGCTTGACCATTGGCTTGATAAGAGCCATCTCAAGCGGGTGAAGCCGGCCGGGTTTGCTTGTTCCTTGTATCATATAGCAGTCCTGTATGTAGATAGATACCCGCAATAGGCGGTGAGCCTTGTTTACATGTTGTTCTCGAATAGGCTGGCCTGTTCTAGCTGTATTTATGTCTGATGATGGTATATATATATGGATACTACCGTTGATTCACGGACCTGCTCCCATTAGACTCGGAGGTGTTGGAGACGTGAGACTCCCTATCAGACCATCAATTCTCAATGGATCGTTCATTCCGTTTATCTATCTATCAGACCATATAAAGACATCAGGAGTTTTATCTGAACAAGTCAACCTCAGACAATGCAAGCCTGGTATTATTCCTTCCCAACGCCATAAACGATGCAGAGATCCTACCGAGACAAACTCCCAGGAATGTCTCCGTGTACGACGCAAGACGGCCCATAATACTCTACAGATATAGACTGTTGAAGGAGACAATGTCTCTCCGGATCTTCGCCAAGCTGGTCTCAAACTTCTCCGTCAGTTCCTCGCTCCCCATCACCTTTCCGGCTTGGGCCATCTGCCGGAGAAGTTCTTCGAGACGACGGAAGAGTCGAATCAGGGATCCTTCGTATGCGTTCGTCATTTTGCTATAACAGTGTTAGCTGGCGAGTGGCTATTATTGCGCGCACATGGGGAAGAGGGAACATACCAAACCTCGGCAAAGGGCTTCCCGTTAGCCCATGCATAAACGGTATCCATCAGCTGCCACTTGAAGCCCTGCACGTACTCCTCCTCATTCACGGGCAACTTGCTCTCGGCGCTGACCTTTGCGACAATCCTCGCTTGCGCCTGGACGTCGCGGAACGGCTTGGCAAGCTCCTCCTTGAGGGGCGTGGCCTCGACTTTCTCGTCGAAGATGAAGCAGCTGAGCACAGCGGCGCAGACCTCGGGGGACAGCTCGTTGAAGTAGCGGTTGAACAGGAGCTCGGCCAAGACGAGTTCGTGTCCCTCAGTGGACGAGATTTCGCAAGCGACACGCGCCTTCATCTCAACCACTTCGGCCTCGTTGATGAAACCGAGTCGTCGCAGCACTCGCTTCCGGGCCTTCAGCTCGTCCAGCTGTGCGACGGTGTGCGCTTTCGCGATGACCTTCTTCTTCTCCTTGATCTTGTCCGCCAAGGCCACCTTCTTGGAGTACTTCTCCCACAGATCAGGGAGCAGCGGCGAGTTGTGGAGCGGGTTGGCGACGAGTCGGGATTCGAGTACCTCGATCTTCCGCATGAGCTTCTTGAAGGACTCGTCCTGGATACCCATCGCCTCCAGAGGATCGAGTGGCGGGACACCGTCGGGAAAACGTCGCTCCACCTCTTCGACATGTCTGCCCACTTGGTATTTCTCATCGGAGGACTTGACTCTGGGAGGAATAAAGACCCGGATTTGGCTCAACGCGCTTAAGCAAGTCAACAGGCACGGGACTACCTCCCATTTACTACCCCCATTCCCGGCCGGAAGCAGGCCCTGTGGCACAACGCCGGACTTGGTTTCCGGGTTAAACGTCGCGCTCTTGGGCGATATCCTGAGGCAGACATCCATAAAGAAGGACTCCTGCGGCGGATATTGGGCGTCCCCTGACTTCGGGGCTTGCCGAGGTACAAATGTTAGGACGACGCCCCAACCATAGTCTATCCCGCTCGGGGTCTTGACGCGCACCAGACGGCCCGGCTGGAGGAACTCGAGGCAGTAAGTCGGCAGCTGGATGACTGAAACCATGTCCTTGGTGTATTCGTCGAGCTGGTTGCGAAGGGTGTAGTAGTCCTTGACCGTGCTCTCGTCGGCAATAATCATGCCGTCCCGCTCCTGCTGCAGACTGGCGAGCTGCTTTTCCAATTCGGGAACGCTGGCAGCGTTCTGGAACTGGAAGAAACACCGCTCCAACATATACTCTGGGGAAACTGCCTCGATTCGCAATAAGTTCAGAACCATGTTGTATCCCAAGTAGAAGGCCGAGTTGAGCTTGTCTTGGTGCCCCACCACGATGGATCTTGCCGTCTCCGGTTCTAACTTGTCATCGACCATCATGATGACAATTCCCCGGTCGTCGAGACCTCTACGACCAGCCCGTCCCGCCATCTGGACGTACTCTGACGAAGTCAAGGGCCGCACTCGGACGCCGTCAAACTTGGTGACCTGGGTGAAGACGACGGTTCTCGCAGGCATGTTCAGGCCGATCGAGAAGGTCTCTGTCGCGAAGAGAACCTTGATGAGATTTTCCTGGAACAGGATCTCGATGGTCTCCTTCAGGATTGGCAAGAGGCCCGAGTGGTGGATACCGATCCCCTTCCTCAGCAATGGGAGGATATGTTGTATCTGAGGAAGCTGGCGGTCCTCATCGGAGAGCTGCTGGAGGGCGTTTTCGAAGACCTTGTCGACCATGGCTTTCTCGTCAGGTGCGTTGAACGCCATTTGCGAGGCTGTCAGAGCCAGCGTCTCACACTCGCGCTTGCTGAAGTTGAACACGATGACAGGGTGGAAGTTCTTCTTCATGATCATTCTGATGATCTTTGTAATGTCGGAGCCCTCATTAGGGCCGCCACCCTTGTTGGTCTTCTTGTTTTTGCCCTTGCCCTTTTGTTTTGCCGCCCAGTCGGCAGGGTCGGCTCCCTTCCTTTCCTCGATCATAGCCATTGCAGCGTTGAAATTGCTCTCTTTGAAGACGCTGTTCTCGTCGACGATCAAGTAGATGCCGTTGCCACCAGCCGGGAAGAAGTAATTTTGCAGAGGCGTGGGCCGGAAATCGGTATACACGACGTGGCAGGCCTGTCGGTGGATCTTGGCGATCCATTCGGCAAACTGGAAGGCATTGGGAATGGTGGCGGAAAGGAAAACGTATCGGACCTTGTCCGGGAGCAGGATGATGGTCTCCTCCCAGACCACACCGCGGTTCTTATCTCGCATGTAGTGGATCTCGTCGAAGATGACCCATGCGACCTCGCGCATGATCTCAGAGCCTCTGTACAGCATCGAACGGAGAATCTCGGTCGTCATGACGAGGCAGCTTGCGGTCGGGTTGATGGTGACATCTCCTGTCATCAGGCCGACGTCGCCAAACTCGGCTTGGAAATCTCGGTACTTCTGATTGCTAAGTGCCTTGATCGGGCTGGTATAGATGACTCTCTGGTTCCGCTTCAGGCATTGGGCAATTGCATATTCGGCAACGACAGTCTTGCCGGCACTGGTGTGCGCGGAAACGAGCACACTCTCATCTCTCTCGATCGACGCAACCGACAAACTCTGGAAGGGATCGAGCTTGAATGGATAGACTCGGGCAGGCTCCTCTGGAGGCTTGTGTTCTGACAGAGGAATGTACTCGTAATCCAGATCGGGGGGCAATGCGACCTGATGCTGGATGTTGTGGGACAGGACGAGAGATTCGGCTCCTGGTGCGGCCGCAAACCCCTCAGCAGCGGCAATCTCTCTGGATTCAGCGGTCTGGAATGAATCTGCGAGGACGGGTTCAGCTTCTCCCTCCTTCCTTCGGCGCTTGCTATCTTGTGGCTGGCCCGCTAGAGGGGGCTCCTCTGCAACTTCCTCATCGTTAGGATTCGGCTGGTCGCCGTCGGTTACTTCGACATTCGCCTTGCGTTTCTTTGGAGCTCTAGGCTGCTCCTCGAAGACGTCAAAGAGCTCGTCCATTGTGTGCCGATACCGCAGTTGAGGGGGTGGCAGTCGGCGTCGAGTTGAGCTATCAAAGTTTATCGCTGAATTTGACCAGCGGAAAAAAGAAAATCGCAGCTTCAGAAGTGGAACATGCGGCAGAAAATAATTGTTTGGAGGCGGTGAGTTGTACGGACTTGTACCTACCTGGTCTGTGCGCAGCCAGCCTTAAGGCCAAATTTTGATGGGGGAGTTCTAAGGGATGACATACCTGTTTTCTAACAATTTCAACACTCCCAACCTATCCCTCCCAACACAACCTGTAAAGGCTGTCCTTCAGACTCTGTGCCTACGATCGAGGCACTGAATACTCAGGAAGGGCACAGTGGCCAGGACCCAGAGCCAGGACACAATTGCATCCAGCCTCGTTTCAAGACCCAAAAGAAACCATACATTGGACGAGCATTCACAATGAAGTCCACGATATCACTGACGCTTGCCAACCGATGTAGGCACCATTTTCCCTTCCTATATACTTGTTTATTGGGATCTCTCTCTGACTTGACCTTCCGTTCAGCTCCGAAACAGCCCATCAGGAAGCTGCCTCCTTCCATTGAGATTCCCGACGATGCCACAGTTGAGGATGCCAAGATCATAGTTGCACGGCAAGCTGGAATTAGAGACTACAATCGCATTGGCCTCTTCGATTCTACCACCAAGAAGATCCTCAAGAACCGGAAGGCTTTGGTGCGAGACCACGAAACAGTTCTCTCATCTGGCCAACTCTTGGTAAAAGACCTTGGTTCGTGCCTTTTGCCAGTCGCAAGCAACACAATATGACATGTCTAACCTGCATTACAGGACCCCAAATCGCCTGGCGGACAGTGTATCTTGTCGAGTATTTTGGACCCATTCTATTCCACTTCCTCATCGTCGCCATTCGGCCATATATCTACCGGATTCCGCCGTATGTCTACAAGAGTGAGGCCGAAACCCCAGTCACACAGGTCCAATGGCTCCTATTTGCCATGTTCCAGCTTCATTTTGCCAAGCGTGAGCTAGAGACCATGTTTCTTCACAAGTTCTCAGCAAATACAATGCCTGCCAGGAACATATTCCGCAACTCGGCTTTCTACTGGCTCCTCGCCGGCTTGTTGTCGGCGTTTGACATTTATGCGCCGCAATCACTTTCTGCTCGGCAGGAGCTTGGCCCCATAGACTATCTGGGTATTGCCCTCTACGTCTATGGCGAGGTGTGCAACTTCCTCGTCCACAAGCACCTCGCCAGCTTGCGGTCGCAGGGCGGAACCGAGAAGGGCATTCCAAACTGCATTGGCAGCAATCTCGTAACGTGCCCGAACTACATGTTCGAAGTCGTCGCCTGGACTGGTGTCATTTTGGTCAGTCGCAGTTGGGCGGTTGTCGTGTTTATCGCTGCTGGCACCACCTACATGCGCGGCTGGTCCAAGGACAAGGAGAAGGCTCTGCGGCAACACTTTGGCGACAAGTACAAGAAGAAGAGGTACACGATGCTTCCTGGACTGATCTAAGCATCGCAGGGACGTCCTATCTTTGTCGGTACGACCGGCTATCTGAACTCGTGCCTGGCATCATCATGTCGAGAGGAGCGTATGTGTGACCGACTCGAGTCATGACCAAGAGCTTATGGAGCTTGTATTACTAGCATAGTCAACTATTGTAATAAGAGCCGAAGGGCACTATGAGCAAAGCATGAACCTGTTCGCCTGGTAGACCGTCCAAACCGTTGAATACCTAACCGTTTCTCGTGATATCTCATACATCATTAACATCATGCTTCGAAACAGCGAGAAGGCATGGATCATCATGAAGAACCCATCGACAGCGCTGCTTCCTCTACGATCGGCTGGTCCATTGCGCTTCTCAGCTCGACCTCGAGACTCGTGTTCGACAGCTCCTTCCCAGGAATATCCAGCCTGGGAGCCGTTGGCGGTACATCCACGTCCGGATTGCCGATTGTGGAAGTGTCTGCAGTCGCTCCGGCTGTTTTCAGACTGTCCAATACAGGCACATCCACATCCATACTGTCACCAAGGTCCGTCTCCTTAGCCTTGCCCTTGTCGACCCGCTCGGCATTCCCACTGTCCTGAACGACCGGATCCTCCATCCCGACATCCCCATCTCGGTCTCCCCGTCCACCCCCCTCACCGCGCCCCGCAACGCTCCCCTCCCGACTCCCCTCCCCGCTCCCCGACCAGCTCCCCCGACTACTCCCCGACCAGCTACCGCTACCACTCCCCTCCCCGGCCACCAGGCGCAGCGTCTCCTCGAGCACGAGGAAGTCCCGCTCCAGCACCTCGGCCCAATTCTGCACGTTGCCGAGCTCCTTGACGCCGCGGGCGGCGTCGGCGGCCACGCGCGCGAGCCGGTCGTTGTCGCGGCGCAGCGCCTCGGCGGCGCGCGCCACGTCGCGCTCCTGCCGCGCGATCGCCGCGTCGTTGGCGTGCAGGATCGCCGCGCGGCCACGCAGCTCCGAGTCGAGCATGTTGCCGATCGAGGCGACCAGCGCGGCGCGCGCCTCGGCTACTTGCCGCTGGGCGGAGGGGGAGGGGAGGGTTGGGTTCAGGTGCTGGTGGTGGTGCGGGGGCGGCGCCGCGGCGGCGGAGGAGGAGGAGGAGGATGAGGGGATTGGGGCTGGGGGGTGGAGGTGGGCATGGTGGTGGAAGGGCGGGCCGGGGACGGCGGCGGACGGGGTGGAGACGGAGGATGCGGTGGACGGGACGGGCGGTGAGATGGTGCTTGATTGATTGGTGGTTGCGGGAGAGGAGGTGGATGCCGCTGATGGCGCGACGGAGGCCGATGAAGGCGGGGGTGGGTTGATTGAAGGGGATGCGGACGACATGATGGTTTGTTGCGCTCACGGCTGGGCGCTGTCGATGGAAAGTGTCGCAAGACGGTCTGGATTAGATTGTTCCTTTATGCCATTAGGAGCTGTTTGGCTACTGAGAGAGCACGGGATCTACATATCATGCAGGCTGGATTTCTCATGCTTCATGGTGGGGTAGAGTACCCGCTTGGTAGGCGGGCAGCTTCATCCTGCATGGGAGCTCTCCGAGCTCCCTTGAAGACATTAGCTTGGGCCATTGCAAGTGTAATGGTGAGTCTCTGTGTTAGTGGAGGTATAATCATGCAAGGTTATAAACAAGCTTAAGGCCATGGTCTAGTCTAAGGGTGCGAAGGTACAGTACATGTCACCGATCTGACCCCCGCCGAGAACTCAATTGTACCCCACCTTTCCGGACATCATCCGGCCGTGGAGATCGGATCGGGCCGCTCCCAAGGCGGGGCATCGGCATTTTCGTGAACATCCTCAACCCATTATGAGGGTATTCTAGGTGTACATTCATATTCACAGTATTCTATCTAGCCTGGGGTTCAGTCTCTCTAAGATGATGAAGGTCACCAATATCATTCTTCCCGAGAAGGGGCCGATGCAGGACCTGTGCCACGCCGGGACGGGCGGCGGATGGCGGGGGTTGCTGTATGGGTGCGTCGCCGGCGTGGCGCCAGGCGGGGCTATCGTGATAGTTAATGGATGCGGGGGAAGGGGCGGGGGGATGCTCCTGGTGGAGAATAGGCGTTGGATCGAGGTTCCGGTTGCTGCTGTTGCTGCGGGAGGGGAGCCGGGTGATGAGAGTTCCAGCGAGGCAGCAGCTGAGCATTAGGGATGTGGTGTGGGATCCTCCGGAGATTGAACTTCGGAGGTTTGTATCATAAGAGGTCGGGAATATACCTCTGCTCCGACATCCGTCATCACATATACGAGTCAACTCCATGCAGAGGCCACAGGGAAGACTTCCTCTCTTCTCGTTTTACAGATCGATTATACTCAGATGCTCATCGTGTACATAGTTTGGCCAAAATCTCATGCAAGAACCATGTGCCAGCCCATCAGCCCAACTCCGCATCCATGCAATGCATCCCGACACCTGATAAGGGGGGCCTAGAGTGCGAAAAGTTTGTCTAGCATATTACATTTAGACCAATTCCCTTGCCAACTGTAAAATCCGCCCCCCGTAAAACCTCACTGTATGAAACATCCCACAACTTGGAAACACCTATAAACGGACCAAACACACCAAATATATATATATATGCCAAGCTTGCGACGAGAAAACTCGAGGCCGATCGCTGGCAGGCGGGATAGAAGCACAGATGTTCGGTTCCTTTGCCTAGAAGGCAACTTTGCTGCCATTGTTGAGCCGGAACGGGAGAGGGCCCAAAGGACCAGGTCCGGGACCAGGGCTGAGCATCATCGAGGGAGGTAAGCTGCTATCTTGAGACGACAATGCGCTGCTGATAGAGTGAAGGCTCGCCGTGGATGTTGAATTCATAGTCGTCGTGCGAGACATGGAGAAGCCACCCAGGGAGATGAGGGCGTCGGCACGCTCAAAGACACTGCCGTTGAAGGCCGTGGAGAATGAGGCACTCTGTGGAGTGGAGGGAACTGTAGCCTGTACAGCTGGGCCTAGCGCAGCACTCTGTGGCGTCATGGGCAGCGGGAATGGGTTCCCAGACTGTGACCCATCAGGGCTCATCATGGACTGGCCAGAGCCGGACTGACGGGGGAAGAAGTCTGACCATGGAGATGATAAGATTAGGGTGGTGGTTTCCTTGATTGTTTGCTGGATTGGGCGCAGTCGCGTTTTCATGTCAAAGGGTAAGGCCACGACATGCATCAGCTCCTTCATCTGGGTGCCCAGGCTGCCCCAGGATTCAAGGAACCTCTTGCATATGGCCCAGAATGTGGCCTGGGTTCTAATGCCAGGCTCCTTAAGTTTGATCTGGGATAGGCGGTTCCTCAGTGTCTCGGTCTGCTGAATTGCTGTGCTGCACTCGGCAACCAGTATCTTCCAGCATCCGATGATCTTGTCGGGTGCTCGCTGGGTCATGGCATTCCGGAGGGCATCGGTGAACTGGATATTAAGGTTCGGCAGAGCTCGTATGACCAGCTCAGACGATGTTTGAAGGGATAGGAATATCCTCTCGAACATGCGGTCCTCGTCTGCGAAATCGGACGAGAGACCGAGACCACCCGTTGTGCTTGAGGATACGAAGGATTCCCCTGACCGAGGAGTAGCAGACATGATGGTTGCTGTCCGGCCAGTGCCATTGATGTACGGCATGGGCACTGGAACATCAGTTGCCACCCTGAGGCTGCTTAGGTTGTGAACTAGATTCCCATTCCGACCCCTGACGTTGTTGATTCCTGGTCTATCAGCGGTCGGTGTGATGGTATTGTTCTCTCGGGGGTATGCTCGGATGGTGTTGTCAATGGCCGCGCGACCCACTGCTCTCCTGTATCCGTCATCAGGGGGAGGGGCAGAGGCAGGGGTAACTTGGGTACACGTCACACGCAGCTCCATGATGCTATTATAGAGCTGAGTGAGCAGAGTCCGGATGTACCGCGGGTCGCCGTTATCGATGAAGAGATCGACATTGCTCGCAAGTAGTGAGCAGACATGGGCATAGGCATTGACCAGGGTGACACATGCACTCTGAACGTTCTCGTTCTCCTGCGGTCCGTAGCCATCCTGGAGGGCGGGATCATGCTTCTGTATCTCCAGCTCCAGCTCCTCGACTTGGGTATTTGTGTTGTAGAAGACGAGTTCTAGGCTCGAGCGCTTAGCTGTGCCGTCGTTGGTGAGACTCAACAACATCTGAATCATGGGGTGGATCTGGAAGACCGAATATAGGATTCCCTTGGCCGCTTCCAGCACTGGATCAAAAATCTTGGACTCGCCCCTTCGCTCGGGCAAGACGGAGAGCCGGCGGACATAGACTGGCCGCTGCAGGAACGGCTCAGCCGGGCTCGCAGGGCTCTTGGCTGCCATGCTTGCTGCACCTGGACCCTGCATGGCCGAACCGTGGCTCAAGCCTCTGTAATGGCTAAATCTGTTGTTTGCCTGGGTTTCGTCCAGGGTCCCCAGCTCGGAAGCCATTTTAGAAACTACTCCCATCCGACGGGACCTGCTTTCCGGTCGTTCTGCTCTCGACGCCTGGAGAAGAGTTTCCGAGTTGCTACGGAGACGCTCGTTGACGTTGCCGATCGTCAGTGGCATGACGCCAGGCCGTCGCGTGTTTTGCTGTGATAAGCCGCGATAGTGAGACCGGGTAGGGATTGGTGGCGGGCGGGAAATGTTTGGAGAGCGCATGTCGGACGCATCGGGCCCATTTGGCACTTTGATCGGGAAGCGGCCACTCATGACGCGCTTTATCGGCGGTCGAGGAGTCTCAGTGCCTTCACTAGACTCGTCCCCAGTCGTGTCGCCTTCAAGTGCGGCAGCCCTCTGCCTCAGGAATTTCTTGACGTGGGCCGTCACTGTCACCTCAGTTACTTCGCTCTCCTTCAGGAACCCTTCATTTGGCGGACTTGCTGCCTGAATCTGCAGCACTTCAGGCGGGGGGAAGATGATTGGGTTCCCGTCCAATTTGAGGACTTGCAGCGAGGCCATATCAGCCAAACAGAGGGGCAGTTCCGAGATCATGTTTTTCTGGACGGCAAACACCTTCAACGACGAGAGTTTGATGATATCCGGCGGCAGGACTCTCAGCTTGTTCCGTCCGAGGTCCAGAATCTCGAGAGACCTAAGATCGCAAAGCTAAGGCAAACGCACATTAGATCATTTCCTTCGAGACCACCGTCAGCAGGGTACGTGCGTGCTTACTGAGAGCGGGAACTCCTTGATCTTGTTCTGTCTGACATTGAGATATCGCAGCGAGGTACACTCGCCAAACCTAGCCGGAAAGCCCTGGAGGAAATTGTGCGAGAGGGCAAGTCTATTGTGGGAAACGACGTCAGCAGAGGCGGACTGGGTGAAAGATCCTCCGATTCGCCTTACCGTTCTAATTCATTCTTTATTATATCGACCACCTCATCTGGTAGGGACTGGATGTTCTTTCGGCTCAGGTCAATCGTCAGGCCTGGGCGAAGGTCGTTGCTGACTCCACTGGCCTCGGCAGCCTGCGTATCGCTCTCATTGAGGGCAGCCCTCATTGCCTCCATCGCCAGGCCAATGACCTGGCCGGGCGAGAGAGTAGCGGATGCCGAAAGGGACGGATTCGACGAGGCATGACGGAAGGGAGGGACGGGAGGTAGGGAGACGTTCAATGCCGCCACAGCGGCGGCTCGTCGGGCCTGGGCTGGGTTCTCGGGCAATCCTCGCGGACGCTCCATTATCGAGGAAGACGGCTGTTCGATTCTACCAGCGTCGTGTCGAAGCTGTGATTCGAATGGGGAGGAAAAGTCGTGGAGTAGTATAACGAGTCGTGGGAATCGTGCAAGTCGTGGAAGACGTGGGTTTCAGGAAGCCGTGCCGTGAACTTTTGCAATTGGAAGACTGCTTCGAAACAGATGAGCCGGGAAATTTAGGCCGATTGGTGTGGGTGTGGGTGGTGGTCGGGGGGTCTTAGACAAGACTCATGGCGAGGCCGTCATGTTGGTCCAGGCGCCTCGATGTGTTCAGGCAGAGCACAGATGCGACAAGGGAACGGACGCGACGGAGCGGTGAGGTACAGCGCACGGAGGCCAATACAGGTAATTGGCAAAAGCTGCTGTGATGCGAACTCTTGAGTTTCGAGACGGTGGCAACGGGTAGACGGACAGAGTGGACTCCAAAAAAGCACAATATAGCATGAGATCGATAAAAACCTCTCTTGCTTCTGGCTCTTTCCGCGGCGCCCACGAGACAGCAGCCAAGAAAAGGGGGCTGTAGATACACACCTGCACCTGGGGTGTGTTTTAGGTTGGGCTTTTTGCCAGGGGTCCGATGGTGCCTGGACGGAAAAGCACGATCATTTGGACCCCACCAGCTTCTCCGCGGGCCCTCGCGGAGTCGCGGGTGATGCAGGGGGTGTGGGTGTAGTCGGCTTGGGAAGCTCCTGCCTTGTGTTACCCAGTAGCCAGTAGTGTGGCCACTACTAATGTGGGGCTCAAAACGCCATATCCGTACACACCTGCAGCCTTTCGATATCACAACTTTGAACTTCTCTAGCCGTCCAGCCTATCTTGATATGGGAGGCTTTGCACTGCCGACCATTGTTCTGCCCACGACGTTGCTTCGCCTATCCTCTTCGCCGGCTTTGGAATCCTCAGTCGAGAAAAATCTTGAACTGTCGGCAGGGACAAGACTGGCTCCGCGCTGATATGATGGATGGGCATTTGCTCGTGGCTGAATCTTGGACACCTATTGAAGATAAAGACTGCCACATGATAATTGAAGAGCTAAAAGGTGAAATAAAAAATAAAAACATAGCGAAAGAGGTCCAAAAGGCCAGCCACAATCTCTCCTGCCTCCACTACGAAGCCGCCAGTCGCGCGGCCCATTCGGAGTTGAAAATTAGCCTGCAAACTGGTCCGCCATAATCACCCAAGTGCTGCGAGTCTGGATTTGGAGAATGACGTCTGAGCTCCCCAAGGCTCAGGAACTGCCTGTGGAAACTATATTCCGATCTCAATATTGAAGCGGACGGCGGCCTCGAGCGTGGAACGATAGGCCAGGCAGGCAGCTGACGCTGGCGCGGGTGTAATTGTTGCTAGTAGTGCGGTGTTTGTTGCCAGACCTGACGAAGGCTTTTCTTCCTGCGCCGTCACATTACGAGAGGCTGTAGACAAGAACTGGGAGTACGGGGGATGAGACCCTGCAGTTGGAGAAAGGCTTATCAGATGCTCTACCTGCACAGGATGCCGCTAGAACGTCGTTGGCGATGATTGGTAGATTCTCAAATCGCCAATCCTGTCAATGAAACGAAACAGTTCCCATTGCAGTAACGGCTCGCCTACGTCTCGCCTGCAGGTCACCGGGTTCTAGATCAGCGCATCTTGGCGCTGCTGCCAGGGAGTTCGTTGAGGCTGCGCGGGGTTTTCCTCGTTCACTTTACCCTTCCTGTTTCCTCGCCCATGACTCGAGCCGACATCTTGGCCCGGTTGCTCGTCTTCGAATTGCCTTCATACTCGCTAACAATAGCGAAGCGCAGCAGCTGTTCCCATTGGTAAGCATCGAGACCGGGGCCAATGTACCAGGACTATTTAAACTGCGGAATGAAACAACGAAACGGGAAGACGAGGGGAGGTTGAGAAAGGTGGTGCCTGGGGGCGAAAGCGAGAAAAAGTATCAAAACCGTCGTCGTCTCCTTCGTCTCTTTCGTTGGCGCGGCAACGAGGAGGGGCAGCAGGCATCATATGATGGGATCTTTGCGGGACTTGGCGATCATACGTAAGACGTGGTAATTGACGAGTCCCGCGGTATTCTGCTCGGGTGGAACCGGTGACCTGTACAATGTCAGTATCGGATCGCATCGCGAGCTAACTGGCGGAGGGGACTTACTTTCTAGGATCTCCGCTGCCTCGGCTGGAGATATATTGCGTAGAAGAAGATTGGATGATCAGGTAAGGAGGTGCAAGATAGGGGTCAAGTTTTAGGGAGCGAAGGGCAGGGCAGGGCAGGGCATTTGGAGTAAAATGCAGTTCTATCTAGGAATAGGCCCGGCGATCCTTTAGGGGTGAATGTGCCAATCTCGACTCCCGATCCTAGCAGAGAGATGTCCGATATCCAACATTCTTAGCACCGGAATTCATCTTCGTTGTCCCTTTTTATGGATGCCAATGGTCAAGGACAAAGTGTCTGCCATCAATGCATTCATCGAATATATTTCTCACCTGAGCGAGCGGCATGAGGCGATTCTCGAACACGAGATTACTGTGATTTCGTTTGAGCGAGATCAAACGAGAGCGGGGACCGGCGAGGTAGGGCGAGGTAGGGAAAGGGGAGGGATTGACAGTGACAATGGCGGAGTGGTACCTCGCTATGGCGACTTGGTTAGGATATGGCAGATACAAGCCGACAGACTTGCCTTTATCACGGGAGGCTCGACATCGCAGCTGGTGGACTTGGGGCTTTTGTGTACATACTCTACAAATGACGTGAGCAGAAACCAACCGCCCGAAATTGCGGTTACTTGGGTGCATTTGACCTTGCACCCCTATGCCCTGCTCCCTGGGCAAAAGGCCCTCATCCCCTTGCCCTACCAAAGGGATAATGGTAGCAAAGAAGAAAATAAAAAAGCAGCAAAACGGGGGTCTGCCCCAGCGAGAGCGACACTTCCCAACGCAACAACGGAAGCAGCAAGCAGAAAAAGCCCCAGCACCAGCACCAGCCCAAGTCCAAAACGGCCCTCCCCTCCCAACCCCTCCCTCCCCTCCCTCCCCTGTCCAGCCCCCTCCAGCACCGCACCCCCATGAGCCTCCCTACCTCCACCTCTCAGGGCAGGTTCGTGGGGTGGCCGCAGAGAAGCCAGGAGACGCGTCGGCCCGTGTCCTTGGCGAACTCCTTGGCCTTCTCGCGGCGGACGCGCTCGGCCCGGCGCCGGTCCTCGCGCGCCCGGTGCTGGAGGGCCAGACGGGCGACGTCCCGGAACATGTCCTGGACCCCGTCGCCCGTCTTGCCGGAGCACTCGAAATAGGCCTCCGCGCCTATTTGGAGCGCCGCCTTCTCTCCCTGTGGGTGGTGGGGGGTTGTGTTAGCTTGGGTTTGCTTGTTGGGTTGGTGGGAGGGGTTTGGAGGGCGGATACTTGGCAGGGGAGGGCGGGTGCTATGCAGGGGAGGGAGATGGCGGGTGCTATGGGGGAAAGATGGCGGGTGCTATGGGAGACATGGCGAGTGCTCTGGAGAAGGATGGCGAGTGCTCTGGAGGGAATGGCGGGTGCTATAGGGGACATGGCATGTGCCATGATGAATGGAATGGCAGGTGCTAGGGGGATGATGGCGGGAGCTATGGAGGGGATGGCGAGTACTATGAGGCGGAATGGCGGGTGCTATGAAAGGGACATGGCGGGTGCTATGAGGTAGAATGGCGAGTGCTATGGAGGTGAATGGCGGGAGCTATTGAAGGAAATGGCGGGTGCTAGGGGGGAAATGGCGGGAGCTATGGAAGAAGGATGGCGGGAGCTAGGGAGAGGATGGCGAGTGCTATGAGGAGGATAGGGCGGGTGCTATTCGGGTGAAAGGCGGGTGCTATGAGGTGAAATGGCGGGTGCTACTAGGGTGAAAGGCGGGTGCTATCGAAGAGAAAGGCGGGTGCTATGGGGATGATGGCGAGGACGGCGAAGTAAGAGTACCAACAAAGGAAGGAGGGCACAGTGAGCAAAGGTGTGAGACTTGTAGTGCTGCAGTACAAGAGAGTGAACTTGACCTACCTCGTCATGCGAAACGGGGATGGCTTCATTGAGGAAGCGAAGGCGCAGGGTTGGGCAGGTGGGGCGGAGGTCACGCTTCAGTCCGGCGACAAAACAAGGTGCTTCGACAAGGTTGGCACGTAGTTCGCCGGGCCACTAGGTACCAGGTTGGTTAGCAGCTGCTATAAGTCTCTTTGCCTTGGTAGATTCGTTTTAACATTACTTACTTGGCGGATCATGGACTGAAGGCTGGCATCACTCTCCAGACTAAAGCAGAGCACGGAGGCATGGAAGAAGGCCCCCATCAGTGGGCTAGACTCCTCAGGATCAAGGTCGCCGGGTATGTCCCAGAGCTCTAGCAGGTAGGTTGTTCCGTCAATGTCAATGGGATGACGGTCCAGATAGTAAGAGGGAGATGGCTCAGTCTAGACAATTTGTTAGGTTGTTCTAGGATTTCACCCTCAAAGAGGTATGAAGTATTTGTTCCATATTTACCTCCACGAACAAGTCAGTCCGAAGGCGCCTGTAGACTTGTTAGCATGATTCGCCGGGCAGATGAAGAGAAATGGACGCTTACTTGACCAAGGTCGTCTTTCCCGTAGACCTATCACCAATGAGGCAGATCCGGATCCTCTGGAATGCGCTTGGGCTTAGGCTAGGAGTTGCACCAAGGAATGGATTCTTGACGCCAGTCTTATTGAAGAACCCCATGACACTGCTTCGGACAGTTGCGGTAGACTTTTGTCCTCCATTCGACTCCGATAGTGCTCCAGAGAGCCTACGCTTGATGGAGCCGATAACCCGGGCTCTCTTTGATGGGTGGCCATTGGCAGATGGGGTCTCCAGGGGTGTCTCCTAATCCAAGGGGTCAGTGTCGATCTCCAATGTTAGACGAATGGTAGAGTGTTAATGCCACTTACAGCAGGCCTCTTCTTGTTGTTCACTTCCTTTGCGCTGAGAGGTGGCTGGAGTAGTCGCTCCATCCGGCTGGTCAGCTCGTCCACACGTGCCTGCTTCTTGCTCATGTAGTCCATCCAAGCCATTTCGAGTGTATGAAGGGATTCCAGAGGAGTAGGGTATTCTTTGGCTTCGCCCCTCTTCCTTTTAAGCTGGCGGTCCTCTTCCTCTGGCTTGGCATATTTTCTGTGGCCACCATTCCGAAGCCACTGGTGAAAGAAATCGTCTTGCTCGGTGCAGAGACAGGCATCCCCAAGCCAGTCATTGAAGCGCTGCGTGGGGTTAAACTTGCCCTGGCCAAATTCATTGATGAGGATATGGCCATAGAGTGGTCTCGACTGAGGCAGACCCCGAATTTTCGCAACCTGGCGATACATTTCTCGCATGTCATGAGTACCCTGCATGGGATGGGCACCCTGCATGGGATGGGCACCCTGCATGGGATGGGCATCTGGCATGGGATGGTCTTCAGCTAGCTGTGGCTGGACTCCAGTTTGCAAACCGCCATCTTGCATGTGATACTCTCGGGCTGGCACCGGGTGAGCTCGGAGTGTGTTGACAGGGGGGCCAGCAGGTCTGGGGTTCGGGAGACAGTCTTCAGCCGACACTGGGTGAGCTCCAAGTGGGTTGCAAGGAGGGCAAGAAGGTCTAGGGTTTACCATCTTGTAGTCCTCAGGTGACACCGGGTGAGACCGAAGTGGGTTGGGATGAGGCTGGGGATAGGAAGGTCCAGGGTTCCGAACGTTAAAGGAATGAGGGGCATGACCTCCAGGCTGCTCAGGCTGGCTCCCAAAGCAGAATGGGGTAGGGATGCGGTCACGGACAGGACGGCCGTTGGGAGAAGCTGGGCCAAAGATAGGAGTGGAGGGCTGAAGGGGAGTACCAGCAAGCACCTCGTCCCTTCTGTAACGTCCAGGGACCGCACGGGTTTTGATAGGGATAAAAAACCGCCGTTCTTTATTTTCCTCCATTTTTGCACTTGTGGCTCTCAAAGTTGGAGGTTGGCCGATGCTTTCTTTAGAATATCGCGGTGCTGGAAGGTAGTTGTTGCTGCGAGGTGATTGTTGATACCTAGTGACGCCGACGCGACTGGGTGGTTAGTTAACGCACCTCAAGGAGAGAATTGACAGGAAAAGGTGATATTTTTGCTTACCTTGTTTTACGGTAAGAAGGCCATGTCGTAAAGGATATGGAAGAGCTTTACCAAGGTCAGGAGTGATCGGAGCAGGATTCAGATTGAGGCGATCCTGGATATTTCATCTGCGGAGGAGAGGGATATGGGTTTAGAGGGGTCCGCAAAGCGAAGAGAATATGTGAGGAATGTACGAGTGCACTAGGATAAGGTAGAGGAAATGAAGGATAAAGGGTCAAGGATGGAGGTCGGAGGATATGAGGGAAGGAGGTGTGAGGCACATGCGAAATTCGGTAGCTGGGAATGGGGCTTGGCCTAGCAACCAGTTGCCCAGAGAGAATACGTACCAGAAAAGTAGAGGAAAATGAAGATGTGAGCATGACAAGTGAGTCGATTGTGCGGGCGGTGAGTAAATATGTCCTGGAGAATGTCAGGATACGGTAAGGCGTCCGGCTGACCTGACCTATGAGAAGGACTAGCTCAACAGGGCGATGACAAGAGTGCCTACCTTTGTGTCCTGCAGAAGCGATGAACTAGAGTGAGTGAGTGCAAAGGTGAATATATCGTACGAATGGCCCGGCCAGACTTGGGTTTGGCGAGTCACGAAGCTGGAGTTGTGAGTACGACGTACTCGACGTGAGCTGTCAGATAAATATTTGGCAGGAAGAAGGAAGAGAGAGATGGGTTGGAATTAATGTAGAAGATGTGGAGAAGAGAAGACGACGCGGGAAAAGGCGATATGGAGAGTTGAAGGGTGAGGTCAGGAAGAAAGACAGGTCGGGAAGAAAGATGGGTCGTGAGGTGGATGGTGGTCAAGGAAGAAGCCCCAGCCCTTGGCAGACTCCTTGATGGTGATAAGAATATCAGCTAGCCGCAGCCTTGACTTCAGATATTGGAAAGATTTCCTCTTTCCTAGGCTCCTCGGTCTATTATTCAGCCTCATCTCACCTAGAAGGAGAACAGGGTTTGCTAGCCAGCAATATCAGCATCAACGTCAACAAGCTGACACAGGTTCTCTACCAGGGCCAATGCCACGCGCATCCACAACAATCGATTCATAATATGGCAGAAGTACCGTGATACAATGGAGAGACAAAGAGTGACTGAAGTGTGCACTCATTGAGTTGCTCCATGAAATCATCCCTAGAGACGCGCTAAACTCATGGGCAGCCAATGTTTACATTCTACCCCTGAATCAATCACTGCTCCCAAAAAACACAACCACATCATCGACAGACACTACCATGTCCAGAAGATGGCCTAATATTTGCCTTAACAGCAGCGACAGTACATAACACTGCATCCATCCAAGTGGTCAAGACATAATCCCAGCTGGAAAAAGCGTGCATGTACAAGCCAGTGGTAGAAGAGCCCCTTTCTCTATCCCAATCTGCTTGCTATCAATACTCACCCGAACAACTAATAAATATCCCCATCAGCTTCAATTTCTAAACAATTTCTAAACCTGTCCTACAGCTCACAAAGGAATGTATGCAAGAAAGCAGAACCCCAGAGCCAAACCGCCGCCAGACATCCATCCCTGCCCCTCAATACGCCGCCCCCAGTCGCTCAAGCACCTCCTCCCTCAGCACCGACACCCTGCTCGACCCATCCTCAAACCCCTCACCCACCGACGACACGGACCCGAACTCCCCCCCAGTCCCCCACGTCTCCCTCGGCGAATACACCCCACCCTCCGGCGGGGAGATCGCGATCCCAATCCCCTGCGCCGCGGCCATCTCCCCGGCCCCACCCGCCCCCCCCTCCCAGCTCCCCCAGCTAGGCCCGCGCCCCACCGCCCCAAACCCAACCGTCGTCGCCGCCTGCCTTGCCGCCGCGGCCGGGCCTGACACCACGACCGGCGGCGGCAGCAGTGGCGGTGGCGGCGGCGGTGGTAGGGCCTTGGTAGGCGGCGGCCCCGGCCTGGTCGTGGGCGTGACGAGGTCCGGTATCTCCAGAGGTGTTTCGTGGGGTCTCGGGGGGCGGGTCGGCTGCTGCTGCTGTTGCTGGGACTGGGATTGGCAGAGGGAGAGGGATGACGTGCCCGGGAGGGTCTCGTTCCGCAGCGACGACGACGACTGTGCCGTGGCGGAGATGGAGGTGGCGGATTTTGTCGAGGGGGCGATGCTGCCGCCGCTCAGGCTGCCGCGGGAGCGGCTGTGGGAGGAGCGGGCGGCCTGCTGGTGGTGGTGATGGTGGTTTGTCCTCGGCGCGGGCTCGCGCCGCGGCACCAGCCTGTTGGTGGTGGGCGAGCAGATGGGTGACGAGGGGAAGACGCCGCCGCCGGGGTAGCTGTTGACCGGGGTCAGGGGCGTCAGCGGCGGCGACGGGGGGCGGTTACTGTTGTTGTTGTTGCCGCCGGCCGGCCGCAAGAGGATGGCCGGGAGGAGGAACTTCCTGTCGCGGAGCCGGAGCGGCGGGGTCAGGGCGGAGCGCATGCTGGTCGTCGACTGGGCGGGCGAGATCAGCCGTTGCGGGGAGCTGCCGGGCGGCTGCCGCGGGTCGTCGCGCCAGAGCCGGATCCGGTCCTTGACGCCGGGCGGGCGCGCTGCCTTCCCCCTGTTGCGCCACCGGAGGAGGAATAGGGTGAGGCTTATCAGGGCTAGCAGGCCCAGGCCCGAACATGTTGCGATCGCGGCCTTGGCACCGGTTGAGAGGTCGGCGTTGGGAGCTGCGGTTGGCACCGGCGGGGCGACTGATGAGAAGGGGAGTGTCTGCTCGGCTCCGGAAGGCGCTGTCGGCATCCCGCTCTGTGTTGCGAGGATTGAAACGGCGGGGGTGAATCCTGGGGTGAATTCAGGGGTAGACGCCGAGATGGATGCCGGGGTAGACGTCTTCGATATACTGGCAGAGATAGTTGTCTGTGTCGACCCGTGCAGCTTGCTATGTTTCCCCGTCGCGCCATATGGCGGCTTTGGGTACGTCGAACAGGAGTAATTCGGTGCCGGCGGCCCTGGGTCAATGATGGAATAGTAACCAACGCTATGAAGCAGGTAAGTAAGAAAATGAATATAGTCAAGAATGCTCTGCAGAGCCCGGAGGGGATTTACCTTTGACACTGATTGATGACCAGATCGACATTCGCTGAGAAACAGTCATTGGTTAGTCCGAGACTCGCTCGATGACGCCGGACATCAAACTCACGATCTTGGCCTAGAGGACCATTCCTGTCTATGTATACGCCGCAGAATGTCGAGTCGCACCAGTACAGCGGCCAGAGGCCTTGGTTGGGGCCATCTTTGGTGAGAGGTGCGCACGCCTTGGCGAAGTCCTCGATGTAATCATGCGACACCTGCTCGAGGAACTGCTCTCTGCAGTTCTGTAGACACCTCGGAGGGTCGCTGTGATGGTCTCCGGGGTCCCCCTTAGCCCAACCTCCATTCTCATTCGCCTCCGTCTTGTTAAAGGAGTAGCCACAGTTGCTTGTCTCTTCTACCCTCTCCATGTTCGTCGTCGGCGAGACCGACAGAGGTCTGCTCAGGGTGCGCGGGTGACAGTGTATCCAGAATGAAGGGTGTAGCGAGAGGCATGTTATGAAGCCGCGAGGGCTTTTAGTTCTGGACCTTGATGGACTAGCTGACTGGGCTACAGGGTGAAACGAGCGTCGTGACAAACGAGTGTGTGGACAAACAGGGTGAGCCTGTCTCGGTCCGGGCTGGGAAGTACGTTGGCGACGGAAGGGCTGTTCAGGCCGGCAAAGGAGCACTGGTCATATCCGACAGGTCGCATCCAGCGAGAAAAAGAAGAAGACCTCTCTTCGGGGGGTGCCGCCGCGCCCATAGGCATCCGCTATATAGCCCAGCGCTACGACCGCTCCCCGCTCCCTCTTACACATGGGCATGATGCTGGCGTGGCGACACAGCAGCTGTAGAACACAATGGGGAGGATGACCGGGCAGGAAGAAGGGGGTAGGAGGGGAGGGGGTTGAACTGTTAAGTGACGGTGTGCGACTTGAACAAAGGATCATCTCTGTTACAGCTATATGCGCCTCTCCGTCCGACGAGAATCAAAATACTCGTATGAGAACCCTACAGCAGGGATGAGCATGCCCAGGGAGGGCGAGGGAAGATACATGTACCCGTGTCGGATCTGAGGGGACGACTCTCTGAGGCGGCCGCCCAGCTCAGCTGCAATAGAAGTCATGGAATGCTGCGCAGTTGCAGGGAGAACTTATTAAAGGTACAGCTGCCTCGCAGTCATCATTCGAGTCCTTTTCTGGGGATAGACCCGGGGGAGCTAAGACACAAGCGAAGGAGTTATATGAAGCAACACATAGCAAATTAAGAGCTGAATATCTCATTTCCGCAGAATAGGCCAGACGCTGTTGGGAATGGATATCGCTCACCGTTCGGAGAAGCTGAACTGTAATACAGTACGGCCCTTCTTCGCAGCCCAGACGTATCACTGGGAGAGACAGCCACCGATCCGTGAAGCCAACAGTCCGACAAGCCGGACAAGGCCGACCGAGAGATGATGGTTCTCGGGGGAACCAGGGGACACGATCTGGTTCTACTTTTGTATCTATACAATCCGAAGGCTTGTTGATCCCGTTGGAATCCGTTGGCCGGCAGTGGGATTACGGCACGGTCGGATTGTGAAAACTGAATGGCCAGCGAGGCGAGGCTTTTCGCATGGAACATGCCGCACATGTCCAATGACCTTGTCTCTCTAGCCGAACAGGTACAGTCGGAGGTTGTGGGACTGTGAGGTGGATTTGGCCGAGTGCCCACCTCCTCTTGTTCGGGAAGGGCTCCGAGTCCTACATATTTGTTTGCTCTTCACCCCACGCAGTTTGTTTGTTTCCATGACCACGGTACGTAAACGGGCCAGCACAGGAGCTTAAAGTAGGCCTAAACGCAAAACAAGACGGTCGGCTCAAGTCGACTAATAAGTATGCAGCAACCCTTTTATCGATTGGGGGTAAATATAAAGAAAGAGACTGGCAGTATTCAGTGCTCTGGCTTGGAAGTGGTCACCTGGATGGTGTCGGACTTCCGTGGGATGCCAATCACCTAGTAGAAGCAGAGGTAGAGAGACATGCTTCGACCCGGAGCATGCTGATTTTGAATCCACGGTTCGACCTGTAATCTCCGCCCCAGAGGCAACAAACCACCCGCCCCAATGAACTGGGGATGACTGATACAGCTCTCACCTAGGTTGCAAAGGCGTAGTAAGAGACCCGAGGAGAGCACAGCCGCAAAAGCACTCTCTATACTTCCAGCCTTATCCAACCTACCTGGCAAGGGGATTGAAAGGAGGCGAGGGTAAAGGATGCTTAGATGGCCGTCAATCATCTCGAGAATAGCGTAGTGTATCTCCCAATCTCAACGATCGAGTATGCTTATCGAATCCAATATCACGATCCCACCTAGAGTTCTCGGACTCATGTCGCACGTTGCTCAGCCCGATGACCGTGTCCAATATTTCCTTTCGAGAACATCATCTCAACTTTGCCTCGGGGACGATAAGTCTCCACCGATCTGCCTCTTGGGACCGTTCAGCACCAGCTGTGCCATGTTTTGCATCGCACTCCAGTTCGAGAAGTAACCCCGACCCGATGATTTCGGGACTCGGCCTTAGCACGCCAGGGAGCTCATCCCCGATAAGGGAGTGCTTACCCATTCGCTTGAATGGACGTCGAGAATATCTGGTATTCTCGAAAGCTCAACATGAAGTATCATATGATTGAGGTGCACCCTCGCATCATATTGGGTAATTGTTTGGCATCTACGGATATCGCGACCGAATTTCGTCATGTCACCCTCCATCCCGCTGAGGGCCTCTCCGGCTGTCCTTGGTTACTAATTGATCGGCATTAAATTGTTAACACCGATACGCTTTCTTCGTCTGCGGCGATAAACTTGCCAAGCAGGTGTCGACACCAGCGGCCTTAATGACACCTCCTAAGATCTCCACATAGTCCCCCACGGCCAATTCAATGCGGTGGGGCATCGCGATGGTGGGATATGGTCTGCCGGCGCAGCGCTGCCGGGGGCGAAATGTCGAGCTACATAAATAGGCAGAGAGGTAGCTCTTGCGATTGTAATTGACGTCGCTTGTTTCTTCAGACTATTTTACTAGATTTTAAACTCACCAAAGTAAATATCTTGCAAGATGTCGAAAGTACTGCTCACAGGTATGATAGCTACCCCTCCATAGGTACCCCGCACAACCATCACAGTCCCGGACGCGGAGTTGCTAACATGAGATGCAGGAGGATCTGGCTTCATCGCCGGTAAGTGAGATGCAGCTCTTAACCCCGTGCGCGAAATTCAATTTGGGATGAAAGACAGAGTCGAGTAGTGCTGACCACGGCCATGGCTCCCACACAGCCCACATCCTTGACCAGCTCCTCAAGAAGGGGCACAACGTCGTAACGACAGTCCGGTCAGAGGAGAAGGCGAGCAAGATCCGCGAGGCCTACCCGGACAAGACCCAGCACCAGCTCCACGTTGTCATTGTGCCCGACATTGCCCAGCCGGATGCCTTTGACGAGGTCGTCGAGGTTCCCGGCCTGGAGGTGGTCATCCACACGGCCTCGCCGTTCCACTTCAAGTTCAGTGAGTGACAACGGCGCGCAACAAGCATCCTGTTCAGAGACCCCCGTAACTGACAACTTCTGCCAACCGTAAAGCGGACCCAAAGAAGGACCTCATCGACCCCGCCGTCATCGGCACCACGGGGATCCTCAAGGGCATTGCCCGGTCCGCGCCGGGCGTCAAGCGCGTCGTCGTGACCAGCTCCTTCGCCGCCCTTCTCGACGGCGCGCGCATGAGCGACCCCAACACCACCTTCACCGAAAAGTCGTGGAACCCCGTCACCATCGACCAGATCCACGACGACCCGGGCACCGCGTACCGCGCGTCCAAGACGCTGGCCGAGCGGGCCGCGTGGGACTTTGTCGCCGACAAGAGCAACGGCGCCAAATTCGACATCGTCACCGTCAACCCGCCCCTGGTGTTCGGGCCGCTGGTGCACCACCTCGCCAACCTGAACTCGGTCAACACGAGCAACCAGCGCATCTTGAACTGCATCCAGGGCAAGTGGAAGAGCGAGGTGGAGGCGACGGGCGGGGCGCAGAGCTGGGTGGATGTCAGGGACGTGGCGGCGGCCCACGTCAAGGCGGCCCTGGAGATCCCCGAGGCGGCGGGCCACAGGCTGTTCACCGTCACGGGGTCGTTCTGCAACAGATACGTGCTGGACATCGTGAGGAAGAACTTCCCCGAGTACGCCGACAAGCTGCCCGCGGAGGACGTCAAGGGCGGAGAGCCGGCAGAGAACGTGTACAAGACTGACAACACTGAGACGAAAAAGTTGCTGAATATCCAGTGGACCCCACTGGAGAAGAGCATCGTCGACACGGTCAAGAGCTTGCAGGCATATGGCGCATGAAGCAGCACTGGTGGAAGCCAGGGATAAAAAAAAAGGCTCGCCAGGGTAGTATGAGGCTGTACTCTGGTCGAATAGATTAGTTGAAGTCGAGGCGAGTAAAAAAATTAAACCTTCATCAAAGGAGTGGAAGCGAGGAGCATTGGACAGTTCCTTCTCGGCCAGGGGATTGCGCACCTACTGCTAAGAATCTACCTCCATGGCGTCTGCCCCCCTTTCCAAGTCCTGGATTCTCCCTATTATCCCATCCTTCCAAATCGCATACTCCTTTCTCTTGTGCTCGCTCAAAAAATCATATCGGTCCTGGAACATGATGTCGGCCCGTTTGGCCGGGCCGGACTGGGTATTGTCGGCATCATCATTGCCCTCGCCCCCAGATTCGTCCTCTCGGTCCTTCTGAATCAAGTCCTCAATGCTCTTCGCCCAGTCGCTCTCCAGCCATCCGTGCCGGTTGATCCTCAGCGCGGCATTGTCAATGTCAGCAGCATGGATTTCTTTCCATCCTTCCCAGGCGTCGCCTTCGTCAACCCCTTTGATTGAAATGGTCCGTCTCGCTTTATTCAGCGTCTCCACAATCTCCTTCCGAACATGGACATATCGGGCCTCGTCTACTCCCTCAGGCATGCTCACGCTCCCCCATATGTAGAGGTACAAGGAGCCAAGTAACGACGAGAGGTTTCCCATCACCCATTCATCGCTGGTCGTTCGACCGTGCGGCATCACAATCGACTCCATTCCGGCTACGACGGTTCGGCCGATTTTTGAGTCGTCTAATACTTTGCATAGGAAACCAAGACTTGGCCGAATCCATGGGGGGAGGCCAGTCGTCGACCGTTTGTGTGGCACTGAGCCTATGGGACGTCCAAGTTTTGATGGCGTTCCAGTTTTGTTAGTAGAAGGGCTTCGGGAGGCTGCCAAAGATTGGTCCTTGTTAGGAGTTGCCCTCGATGGAAGAGAGCTACCACCCGGCGAGATGCCCGACTCTCGTAGTTTAGCACTGGGCGTCCTGACGCGGCCCGAAGTTGAGCGAACTCCAGTGGACGAGCTCGGCAAGATATTGTCAAGATGGTTGTACAGCCTCTTGTAAATGCGTGGCGGAACAGGAGGCCGTGGATGAATTGGGGGAAGATTCAGTGAGATCTTCAGCCTGGATATAGGTTAGTAGTCCGGACTAGCAGCAGTATCGTCGGCGGCGGAAATAACCTGTCACAGGCCAGATGAGCACATGCATAGGGCCGCGCAATTTCCTCATCGGATTTCAGAGTGCTTGCCCGATGTCGAGATTGGGCGAGGAGAGACCCTGCCAGGTCAACTAATGGTTGAGGTAGCTCCGCATTGTGAGTCGGGAGGAGAGACAGGAGAGTCTGCTCAATAGATCGATTCATGGTTTTGTAGTTGAAGTGAAGAGCTCCCGACTCTTTCAGATTGTCCAGTTACGAGCTCGAAATTCGGGGGTAGAGCGCGAACTCGCGACTCATGCAGGAGGCGCCTCAGTCAGTCGCGCCCGGTCACGTGAAAATAGATTGAATGAAGAAAGAAAACGGAGAAGGGGAAATGGCTGATACGTCTAAGCCTAATCAGGTAGAGCGTAAGCTAGTTATTACTCTTCATAGTTAGGTGTCTCCAATCCCAGGTCCCCAGGAGGGTCCGGTGATCGGAAAAACTTCCCGCATACGGGTGGAGGATGAAAACCAGGCAGATGAAAATGCAATTACATGACGCATCCGTAGCGCGAATCGAACGACAATCAACTTCGACTCTTTCGTGGCCTCAAGTTCGAAGATTAGGCCGGTCCTTGTTACGTGTCAGAATGTGGACTGGATCGCAGCTCCTGGTGTCAAGCGCGAATTGCCACTAAGAACCAAACCCCACGATCCTCGGGTGACAAATTGAGTGCGCGCCACCCGATCCCTTCGCCTCCGAATACTTTCCGCATCTCAACCAAGTCGTTCCTTCTGATTCTCATATCTGTTTTCTACATCTGGATATCGAGAAGCCATATTCTCGAACACCCCCTGACTGCGTACCTTGTGGTAGCCTGAGGCTGTGTCCAACATGGCTTTCCACGCAAGCGGGCTGCCGGTGAGTGGCTTTCTTGGACCTCTAACTTCGGAACTGTGGCTAATGAAAACACTCAGAACATCGCAGCCGCTACGACCGACCTTTGGCCGTCTATCGCAAATACATTACTGGTACCTTGGAGAGGCGCATCTTCGCCCGGCGCAAGACGGACGGCGCCTTCAAGGCCGACGAATGAAGGAAGCCGCACCACGCCGCCTCAACAAGGAGAACCCTCCCCAACTGTAAGCGCCAACCACACCATGCGGATGCGTCATCCAGGTGCCAGCCCCTTGGAATAATAACAGGATAACTAACGTCTGCGCAGGGTGCAAGATCCAACATTCCCGAGTTCCTCCGCGGCGCTGTGTTGCCTCACCCGCTAACCTCCGGCCCCTTAACAAAACCCACCAATATCCATGCCGAGATCTCGACAATGTCTCCTCGCTCGTTATCTGCGGCAAATCCGCTGATCCGGAGATCGTTTCGGATGTTGATGTCCAAACCCCTAGGAATTGCCGTCCCGTTTCCATCCTCGCACGCACATCAGCCAAGCCATTTCGTCCGCTCATACTCTTGGATAGCAAGCCGTCGGCCGCAACAGCAATATCGAGGCTTCGGGACCGGGGGGATTTCCCGCAGCCTGCTAGCCAGCCGTGAATCGGCGGCGAACAGGAACCCGAGTAGCCCGACTGCCCAGAATGCTTTCTACCAAGCCTTGCTGAAGGCGAACATGCCGGCCATAGTAGTGGAACGGTATCAGTCAGGTCGCTTTGCAGGCAACGAGGCGGCAGACGATGCGTATCAGCGGGCGATCTCGATGATTGGCGGTTCGAGCGCTGGGCAGGTTGGCTCCGGGCTCGCCGGGGCGAACCTTTCCGCGAACAACCCAAGCGGCTTGACACCCAGTCAAATCCAGGCAGTCAGCCAGGCTCTTGCTGCACACTCGCATGGCGGTAACATCGCACTTGCAAAGGGGCCTCAAGGCTCTGGCGCTGGGACTAAGGATGGCCCGATTCATGTCGTTGTCGATGAGTCCATAGGAGGCGCCGTCTTCCGTTGGGTCAAGTTCTTGCTCTGGTTCTGTCTGTTCACGTATCTCAGTTTGGTCCTTGTCACCATGATGATTGAGGGATTGAACACTTTCAAACGCCCTGGATCCAGGGTTGAGAGCAGCGAAGCGAAAGCGGAGAACCAGACAGCCCGTTTCGCGGACGTCCACGGATGTGACGAAGCCAAGGAGGAGCTGCAGGAGTTGGTCGAGTTCTTGCGCAACCCCGACAAGTTTGCTACCCTTGGTGGAAAGCTACCGAAGGGTATTCTGCTCGTGGGACCTCCCGGCACCGGCAAAACCCTGTTGGCTAGGGCTGTCGCTGGCGAGGCTGGCGTGCCGTTCTTCTATATGTCCGGGAGCGAGTTCGACGAGGTCTACGTGGGTGTTGGCGCCAAGCGAGTCCGGGATCTCTTCTCTGCCGCGAAAGCAAAGTCTCCTGCCATCGTCTTCATCGACGAGTTGGACGCTATCGGAGGTCGCCGCAATGCTCGCGATGCCGCCTATGTCAAGCAGACGCTCAACCAGCTTCTCACTGAGCTCGACGGCTTCGAACAGAACAGCGGCGTCATCATCCTGGGAGCTACCAACTTCCCTCAGCTCCTCGATAAAGCACTTACTCGTCCCGGCCGCTTCGATCGCCACGTTGTGGTGCCGCTTCCTGATGTTCGGGGCCGCATGGCGATCCTGAAACACCACGCAATGAAGATCAAGGCCGCACCGAACATCAACCTGCAAGCGATTGCTCTGAGCACCTCGGGCCTTTCCGGCGCCGAGCTTGAGAGCATCGTCAACCAGGCGGCGGTTCATGCCAGCAAGTTGAAGGCGCAGGCGGTCACTCAGCGGGATTTCGATTGGGCCAAGGATAAAGTAATCATGGGTGCGGAGAGAAAGAGCATGGTGATCACGCCCAAGGAGAAGGAGATGACGGCATACCACGAAGCTGGCCATGCGCTCGTCAGCTACTTCGCCAGGGATGCGCCAGCAAGCCTCTACAAGGTTACCATCCTCCCTCGCGGGTCCAGTCTCGGCCACACGTCGGTTCTTCCTGTGATGGACAAGTATTCCTATAGCGTGAGGGATTACCTTGCTCAGATCGAGGTCTGTCTCGGAGGCAAGCTGGCCGAGGAGATTGTCTATGGCAACGAGCTGGTGACCAGCGGTGTCAGCAGCGTAAGCTATCTCCCCCCTTACTGTGACGACGTAGTGGTTAACCATTTGCATTAGGATCTCGAACGAGCCACCAAGATCGCCTGGCAGATGGTCGCCCAGCTGGGCATGTCGGAGAAGCTGGGGCCAATGGAATACCAACAAAGGTTTGACACGCTCAGCTCGGAGACCAAGTCCATGATTGAAGGAGAGGTCAAGAAGACGCTAGACGACGCCTACGAGCGGGCGCGGACTCTGCTTCTATCCAAGAGGAAGGAGCTTGACCTTGTTGCTAAAGCGCTTGTCGAATACGAGACACTGGACAAGTCGGAAGTCGAGAAGATCATGCGGGGCGAAAAGCTCCCGGATCGGCTCCCCGTGCCACCAGGTCCGATGACAATACCAGCACCCTCAAACCCCCTCGAGCCTGGCATCTCGGACCTGCCACCACTTCCTGGAGCGTCTCCTGGTAGCAGCGATGATAACACGAGACCCCCACCGCCTTCTGGTGGTATCGTCGCTGGACAGAATCAAGACCCCCAATGATTCCTCCAGAGCCACATTCAACTCAGGATACTGGACAGGGGCGGCACTGGGACTGGGGAGTATGTCAGAAGGGGCATAAGCAGGCGTTCTTCCTTTGGTTTCACTGTGTACCTATCCCAAACAGCAAATTCTCGTTTGTGGAAGTAAAAGTATCTAGCATAGCTACCTTACCTTAGTAACTCTACAGCGAGAGTATCCCACTCCACGCGGAACGCCCCTGGCTCCTGGCTCCTGGCTCCTGGCTCTTGCCGCCTTGTTGCACCATAAAGTGCTCTGTGCTAGGGTTCGGAATCGTACGAGCATCCTATTTGATACATATGGAATACGAATCGGTAGGGAGGTACGGCCAGTTGGCCCCAGCTGGCCCAACCAATTGGAAGCCACTTATTCATACACAGGCAGGCAGCTTGCCTCCCGTCATCTAATGCCTACCTACCTACCTACCTAAGGTATCTTCACCGAGAGTACTGACACAATTGTGAAAAATTATAAAGATGCCAAGTCAACAATAGGCAGATAAATAACAAATAATTGGGTACCTAGGTACCTACCAAACCTATTTTCTTAGCCTATAATATAGGCGCTTGTATGTACTGCGCGCAGTCGGTAGCCTACAATAGTGTTTATCACTATTGACGTCTATTATGTGGGGGTCCCAGCATCCAAGCTGTCCCTCATTCACATATCCGCATAAATTCCACGCAACCAAGCAGACCTCGGCTTCACCAAAACTAAACACCAAACCCAAACCCAAACCCAAGATATCGCTCGCAGCCCGACCTCCCGCCCCGACCTCTGACCTCATTTGCTTCGGCCATTTATTCCATAACATGCATCTGAAGTAGTCGAGATTGCCGATATCATCAGCATGCCACCTCCGAATACTCCAGAAGAAGGCGTGCCCCTCCGCTCGCAGGGGCACTCCCGGGGGCACTCCCGGAGACAATCGCGACAGGAAAGCCAACAGGGCCATTGGAATCATCCATCTCCGCCATCTTCTGGGCCGTCTCCCACCAGCTCACGGTCTTCCTCAACTAGCCAGAGACCAGCGCCTTTCCTTCACCACATCATTGACATTGACTACCAGTCACTGGAGTACCAGGATCCCCCCGACGAAACCCTTATGTGCCCCATCTGCCGCACCCCATTCCACAAGCCCGTCACCACCAAGAATTGTGGCCACACTTTCTGTGCTACCTGTCTCAGCCGCGCTGTTGAGATCCAGCCTATCTGCCCCATCGACCGCCAGCCACTCACCTACCGCTCAGACGAGCTCTGCAACACCCTCCTCATCACCAGCCAGCTTGACCGCCTCGAGGTGAAGTGCCCGAACAGATCCTGCAAGCACGTAGCACCCAGGGGCTCGATACCGTACCACTACGAACGAGAATGTGAGCACACCATGGTCAACTGCCCCGACCCGACCTGCTCAGACCATGTCGCCCGCGGGGACGCCGGCCCAGAGAGAGGCTGTCTGCACCGCGACGTCCCTTGCCGCTACTGTAGCAAGATGGTGCAGATTGCCGGCCTTGAGGACCACTACGACCGAGACTGCATTGGCCACACTGCCAAGTGCACGCACTGCAACGCAATTGTGGTGAGACACAGGATCCAAGCCCACCTGGCATCAGACTGTCCCGAGGCAGAGATAAGATGCAAGTGGCGCCCATTTGGGTGCACCCTGGCTACAAAGAGGAAGATTGTGCGTGAGCATGAGCGGAATGGCTGTGTCTTTGAAGCCATCGGAACCCTTGTTAAGGAGCGCCTGGAGGACCGCACCATCATCAACCAGCTGACAGACCGGCTGGCGACCATGGAGACCCGCATGCAGCAGATGGAGCTGAGAAGCGAGAGGCGTGCAAGTCGCTCCTCCCCCGGCATGCAGGGCTGGCCCCTATTCCCTGGAGGAAGCACGGGAATCCCAGACCTGAATCTCAACAGTGGCCCTGGCAGCACACATTCCTCGTCTTACCAGTTCGAGTCACCCGATGACTACATGCTGAACCAGTTTGAGCGCCTTGGGTCCAGCATTGAGGTGCTGCGCAAGAAGCTCACTGAGGTGGATGGCCGACACAGCATGATGCTGCTTGAAGAGACGCGGCCGCTGAAGGAGCAGATGGCCGACCTGCGCAGCAACATTGGCATCTTTGGCATGCACACTGCCTGGCTGATGAATGCCTGGCGGAGACAGATGAGCGGACAGGGAGCTGGGCAGAATGGTGCATCTACTGGCGGTGGGGGTGGTGGGGGAGGCAGCGGGGGAGGTAGAGGCGAGGCTGACAATGGGGATGAACGCCATCACTACCGCCCGTCTAGAAGGATGAGTGAGAATCGGGGAGAGCATCGGGGCGAACACCGGAGCGAACACCCGCCTAGACTCTAGACTGGGGCCTGGACGGCTGCATGAGGTTTGGCGAGGGTCTTGATGCCTCTACCACACTAGCCAGGGGATGCTTCTGCTGGATTTTCTGCATTTTTTCTTTCTCTCTGCTTTTCACACAAGTCCCTGCATCTCTCTCCAATGGAAGGGATGAGCAGGATTTTAAAGACTTGCTGGCATTTTTACTGGCTTATCAAGGGCGTTAACACGGTTGGGGGGGATAGGTAACTATCAATTGCCTCATGGGCACAGCAACGGTGGTGAATGGGGTTTGCATGAGGTCGGATTCGGATTGGGGTAATGGCAGGACGGGGATGAGAGCATGAGGGCATGAGAATTGATGAAATGATGACTCGAAGAACAAACGAAACGGCTTCTTCCCACACGATCCCTGATTTAGAGGGCTGAAAGGCGTTTGGCACAAGATACCAAGATATGCTAGACAAATGCGATGATTTTGTATTCACAGAGTGCAGTGGAACACTGGCAGAACCGTGGGACTCATTGAAGACTAAGTACTCCATTCTTGCTCGGCCAGTAAAGCCTTCTCTGGAGCTCCGCAAGGCTCTCTAAAAGGACCCCTTTCCTTTTGCTAGAGGACATCCAGGAGGCCACAACTGCCGGGGCTGATATTCCGGCCAAGCACCAACCAATCGAGCAAAAGGCTGGGCAGCAAGCCATGATAGCCAGCGGGCGCCGCCGAAGGATGGGAGGAGAGGAGCGATGATAGATCTCCCCGACCTTAGCTAGGTAGATAACAGATGAGGCGCCAAGCACCCGGGCGTCATCCCCAGAACCATGTGGGCAGGAGGCGGCTAATATGGGATCCAAATCCCAGCGGGCGGATGGCATGCCTGCATGGCCAGGAACAGCAGTTATACCTACACCACCTATACAACATAGGCACTTATACACCTCTTCGGGCGGGTCGAGATTTGGAGATCGGGCTTCTGTTGCCCCCCTCAATTGCAAGTGGTTGCTATAATTACTGGTCGGGAAGGGGTATCCCTAAAAACAATGATTTTAGCCATATTGCCCAGGAAGCTGTACCTGACAGCAGGATATTTCTGGGATATTGGAGGGGAAGAACTCGGGATGGGCCAGCCAGAGATATATAGTAGAGTTTGATCTGCCCCCTCAGGCGCGACGATGGAGAGATCTGCGTGTGTCCGTCTGTTCAGCATTGCCGAGTTCTAAGCCAACACCCTCAACCTTCGACCTCGGCCGCTACCGAACGAATGCATCTCTCCCCGGCAGCCCTGGCAGCTGCGGCCGCGGCATTGGCCCAGACCGCGACGGCGTCGCCCACCAACCCGGCCGCGCGGCAGGCGGCGTCGACGCTGACGGTCAACCTCGGGCAGCGGTACCAGGAGATGGACGGGTTCGGGTTCAGCGAGGCGTTCCAGCGGGCCTACAACATCTACAACCTGGCCGAGCCGAAGCGGTCGCAGCTCGTCGACCTGCTCTTCAACGCCACCACGGGCGCGGGCTTCACCATTGTGCGCAACGGTATCGGGAGCAGCCCCAGCACCGCGAACGACTGGATGAACACGTTTGAGCCCACCAGCCCCGGGAGCCCCTCCGCCGAGCCAAAGTATGTGTGGGACGGGAAGGACTCGGGCCAGCTCTGGGTCTCGCAGCAGGCTGTAAGTGATGGGCCGGTCCGGTTCGAGAAGAGAGAGATATTTGGCCTACGCGGCAGAGTGCAGAACGGGGCTGACCCTGATGACATCTATAGGTCAAGTACGGCGTCAAGACCTTCTACGGCAATGCATGGAGTGCTCCCGGGTTCATGAAGACGAACGGCAACGATGCGAATGGCGGCTCTCTCTGCGGAGTCTCGGGAGCGACTTGCGCCAGCGGGGACTGGAAGCAGGCGTACGCCGACTACCTGGTCAAGTACATCCAGCTGTATCAGGTGAGAGGGCGCCGAAAATACTGTGCGGAAATGTCTGCAGCGGTAGCTGACAACCCTGCCAGGAGAATGGCGTGGACGTAACTCACCTCGGCTTCGTGAACGAGCCAGATTTGAGCACGAGCTACGCCTCGATGCAGTCGACCGGACAGCAGTCGGCCGACTTCATCAAGGTGCTGCACCCGACGCTAGAGGAGGCCGGCTTCTCCAATGTGAGCATCACCTGCTGCGAGGCGACGGGCTGGAGCGCCCAGAGCACCATGACGTTGGCGCTCAAGAGCGCCGGGGTCGAGGACATAGTCGGCGTCATCACGGGCCACACCTACACCAGCGGCATCAACGGCCCGCAGCCCACGCGCAACAAGGTCTGGGAGACGGAGTGCTCCGACCTCAGTGGCGGCTGGTCGACGGCCTGGTACTCCAACGGCGGTTCCGGCGACGGCTTCACCTGGGCGAACAACATCTACACCGGCCTCACGACCGGCAACGTCAGCGCCTGTAAGTTTTCTTACGACCCCCCCAGCCTCTCCCCGCAGCCAAGCCATTCGCCAGGACAGCTACAGACTAACCACCCGCGCGGCAAAGATCTCTGGTGGGTAGGCACCCAGGACAAGGCGACCAACAATAACAACAACGAGAAGCTGATCCTCGTCGACGGCGGCGACTACGCCGTGTCCAAGCGCTTCTGGGCGTTCGCGCAGTACAGCAGGACGATCCGGCCCAAGGCGGTCCGGGTCGGCATCGCGGGCGGCGGCAGCGGCCTGCGGTCGACGGCCTTTGTCAACGCCGACGGATCCATCGCCGTCAACGTCATCAACTCGGGCGGGTCCGCCGCCGCGCTGTCCGTCGCGGGGACGGGCGCCACTGCCGCCAGGGGGTGGAAGACGGATAACACTAACGATATGACGGAGCTCGATGGCGTCTCCGTCGGGGCGGACGGGACTGTGGCTGGCGTCTCGGTGCCGGCGCGAGGTATGGTCAGTCTTGTTATCTCGACGGGCGATGGTGATGTGGCCGCGGAGGAGGGTGCGGAGGAGTCTGCAGAGTAGTGAGGGCAGCTTATCGGAAATGGCGTGCGAGGTTTGATGGGTGGTTGGTAGAGTGGAACGCGTCCTGCATAACCAACCTCCAACTTCTTCAACATGGAGCAGGGTTACCACTCCTCCCCGCCCAATGACCCCTGTTTAAGGCTGGGTCGGGTCCAAGCGGGACCAATCAGTCGGGCTTGGAAGTGGGCCTCACCCGCGCGCTACAGCCCTGCAGGGCAGTAAGCAAGCCCCTATTCGTGAGAGATGCTCGTGTTGGTGGCTTGTGAGCTTACTGAGACCTAACCTTGACCCCGGCTCCTGTCGTTGATGATTGGGGCATGCGCAGTGGCAGCCTGGGTCACCAATCTGTACTTAAGCAGTGTGAGCTGTCTCGTTTTCATCGTCCTGCCTTACCTTTCATTTTGTCTTGTTCGGATCTGCTCCCTAAGTAGAGAACGGCCCTCTCCAAGCTTACAATCTCAGCGCGCATTGCTTGTAACCTGTGCTCATTCCCGCAGGCTTCCACTTCGTCCGCTCACCCACCCCCAGCAAGATGCCACCCCCACCCCCTCCCCCTCTCCCCCCTCCCATCCCCCTCTCCGGCGCACCGCCCAAGAAGGACCTCACCAAGACCCCGCAGGAGCTGGTGACCGAGTTTTGGGACCGCTTCTTCGCCAGGAAGCCCGGCAAGGTGACCTCCATCTTCCCGCGGGCGCTGTACGCGACCCTGCTGCCGGACAGCCAACCGCGGGGCCTGTCGACGGAGGCGCGCAACGCCGCCGAGAGCTACGAGGCCGCCGCCCGCGAGTGCCGCGACAGGGTCCGCCGCATCGTCCGCGAGTGCGCCCGCACAAATGAGAAGTTCACCGACCCGGACTTCGACATCGAGACGGACCCCCTCAACAACTGCCTGAACGGCCTGGTCCGCGACAACGGCGACGACGACGACGACGACCTATTCGCCGCGGCTGTGGATCCCGCAACTGCCACTCCTCGGCTGGACAGCACCCTCGACGCCCGGGTCCGCACCCGGGACCCCGGCCCGGAACCCCGGCGCCGTGAGTCGGCGGTGATGCGGTTCCCTCCGCGCGGCGGCGTAGGGAGCGGGGAGTACTACAGCCCGGGCTCGGTGCACCGTCTCGACTGGGTGTTCGAGTCGCCGCAGTTCACGGTGGACGGGTTCTCGTCGTCGGACATCAAGCAGGGCGGCAACGGCGACTGCTGGTGGCTCGCGGCGGTGGCAACGATCGCGCACCGGCGCGACCTGATGGCGCGGGTGTGCGTGGCGCGCGACGAGGAGTGCGGCGTGTACGGGTTCGTCTTCCAGCGCGACGGCGAGTGGGTGTGCACCATCGTCGACGACAACCTGTACCTGCGGTCCGAGGACTTTGACTTCTACAGCGACACGTACGACTCGACGGGCCGCCGGGCCCGCGAGCACAGGCGCAAGTACCAGACCGGGTCCGAGGCGCTGTACTTTGCCAAGTGCGCAGACCCCAACGAGACCTGGCTGCCACTCCTCGAGAAGGCGTACGCCAAAGTCCACGGCGACTACGAGGCCATCTCGGGCGGCTGGTCTGGCGAGGGCGTCGAGGACATGACCGGCGGGGTCGCCACCACCATCGCCACCAACAGGGTCCTGAGGAAGGATGCTCTATGGAGGGAGCTGGTCAACTCGGACGGCGACTTCGTCTTCGCCCTGTCGGCCATCGGGACCGGTTGGGACTGGAAGAAAGGCGGCCTCGCCCTCGGCCACGCGTACTCCATCCTTAAGGCTACCGAGGAGGTTGACGAGGATGGTAATAAGGTCAGGCTGGTGCAGATCAGGTATGAATATCCCCACCCCCCTTTTTCATTATTTTCCAGGAATTGCTCTCTTTCCCAGCCCGTCTTCCCCTTTCTATCGCTTGCTCACTAGAATCTCCAAAATCTCAGGAACCCATGGGGTGAGAGAATGTACAACGGGGTAGGAGAATGGAACGGCCCGTGGAGCGACGGGAGCAAGGAGTGGACGCCGTACTGGCTCAAGAAGCTCAACCACCGGTTCGGCGACGACGGCATCTTCTGGATGTCGTACGGCGACATGCTCGACACCTTCCGCTTCCTCCACCGCACGCGCCTCTTCGGCGACAAGTGGACCGTCGTCCAGCGCTGGACCAGCGTCAACGTCGGCTGGGTCACGGGCTACCTCAACACAAAGTTCCTCATCGAGATCAAGAAGGCCGGCAAGGTGGTCATTGTTCTGACCCAGGTTTGTCTCGCCCCCCTTTCCCTTCCCCCCCTTTCCCTTCCCCCCTTTTCCACATCAGTCAAACTCGCCCACCCCGCACCGACGTCTAACAACTCCCCCTACCAGCTCGACGAGCGCTACTTCAAAGGCCTCGAAGGCCAATACGACTTCCAGCTGCACTTCCTCCTCCAGGAGCCCTCCAGCGCCCCCGGCGAGCACATCTGCCGCGTCCGACCCGTGCACCCTTGGGAGTCGCGGTCGGTCAGCTGCGAGGTGGAGCTCTCGCCGGGCGTGTACGAGGTTGTCCCCAAGATCACGGCGTCGCGCTCCGACGGCGGCTGCGGGGGCCACCGCCGCCCCGTCGAGGACGTGGTGCGCGAGCACGCCGCGGGCAACCCGCAGAAGCTGCGGCAGGTCGGCCTGCAGTACGACCTCGCGCACGCAAAGGGCGGGGTGCCGGACGAGGACGAGCTGCTTGTTGCGAGGCGGGAGAGGGAGAAGGCCAAGAGGGAGGCGAAGAGGCGGAGGCAGAGGGCGAGGGAGAAGAGGGAGAGGAGGAGAGGGAGGAGGGGGGGGAAGCTGAGGCTTGTTGTTGAGACGAGGGGGGGGAAGAGTGATGGTGAGGCTGGGAAGGGAGAGGTCAAGGATGGTAAGGATGATGCTGGTAAGAAGAAAAGTGACGATGAAGATGGAGCCCCAGCTGCGAAGAGTGAGGGGAAGGTCGAGAAGAAGGATGGGGCTGAGGCTAAACCCGAAGGCGAGAAAGGCGCTAAGCGTGTGTCGGAGACCAAATCCAGGGAGGAGGATGCCGCCAAGGAAGCCTCCAAGGAAGCCCCTAAGGAAGCTCCCAAGGAAGCCCTCAAGGATGGGTCGGCCAACGAGTCGGCCTCTTCATCCGAAGGCGCGCCGACGCCAAGCACCGAAGCTCCAGGCGAGACACCGGCGGAAGAAAAGAAGGATCCGGTGGCCAATGACGAAGAGGAGGAGGAGAAGGAGAAGGAAGGAGAAGAAGCCGAAGGGGAGAAAGAAGAGGAGGAGTCTGGGTCAGAGTCTGAATCGAGCGAAGACGAGAGCGAAGACGAGCGAGACAAACTGCCGCCCTTGGACGACGACCGCACCACCCCCCCGTGGAACGCGGTGTGCGTCGTGGGTCTGCGCGTGTACGCAAATGACCCGGATGTCACGATCACGCTCGTCAAGCCAAAGGATGCCGAGGAGGCTGCCAGCCTTGCCGTCGATACGACTCCCGCGGGTGCCACTATGTAGACCTGGCCTGAGGACGATGGAAGGCTTTGTAGCGCGTGTACAGATGCAGGGGTTGTGCGTAGGATTTATCAGATTGATCATGTATGTTTCCGGTGCGAGACATTGCATCTGGAACGGGTCATTCCTGTCATTTCTGAGAGTAGCGTAGAGTCTATCTAATGCCATGTTCTAGACGATGGTCCCTCGATGAGAGCTCCCACGCGAGACCAATGTAATCTATGATTAAACTAGTTGGAAATCAACATCTTGGGATTAAATGCACACCTAGTAGACACTTCTCCAAACTCCGAGACCTATGCAGTTTAGTTGCCCTTGTGTGATTTCCTTCCACCGTTGGTTGGAGCAAAAGTGCTCTGGTAAGCCAAAAGGCCATGATGCTTAGTAGAAAACAATGCACAAATGCCTTCTATTTGCGAGACCCCCGTCATTTCACCTGGTTCCTCTGCCTGAGAATACTCACCCCTCGGTGGTGTCCATAACATCGGCAACTGCGTCGGCAACCGCTGCCCTGCGCGCCGCAGTTCGCCCCGCCTTCCAGTTCTCAATCTGCTCGCGCAACTCGACAGCGGGGACGACATCATCGACTGTCATGGGCTGCCGCGTGTATGGGTCCTTGGGGTCCGAGAGCAGATGCTGGACGATGGTGGACCGGTCAACAATGTGCTTCGATGGGAGGATGACCGGGTCGCGCATGATATCTCCCATGATGGGATCCTCGTACTCTGCCGGGATTTCGCCAAGATCTTGCTCCGCCTGATCAAGGATGACCTTGGCCATGGCTATCTTCTTCTTCAGCTCCTCCCAAGCTGCGATCTCCGAGGGGTCCTTCAGCGCCCTGCTACTCAGGATCCGCGAAGTAGCGTCGAAGTTTTCGGGCTTGTATGACCGCCCGTCGGCAGCGACTGCCTCGACAAACGTAGCGCTCGAGCCAAGGTTCAGGTAGATGTCGACAAGCTCTGGGAGGAGCGTTCTCGGGCTGAAGTAATACTTGTCCGGGTTCTCGACCTTGAGGTTTTTGGACTTGGGGCCTGTGAGGATGTCCAAGTTATAATCCAGCATAGCCGCGAGTCGGTGCACTATCTCGGGCATCGTGAAAGATTCGCTCAGTGCGTTGGTGAAGAGTCTCATCATGGCAACGGTCTCGTTGGCCAACTGCATGTAAGACTGGGCTTGGTTCTCGTTCGTCTGTAACTCCTCTTCTTTCTTCTCCCGATCTTGCTGGGAAAGGCTCCTATCCTTCAGCTCCTCCTGGAGTTCGTGGATCTTGGGGAACTTTGTCAGGCCCTCGTCCAACACGTATGTCGCATCGTTCAGCAGCAAGTTGACGAATTGGACGAAGAAAGATCGGTTTGACCTGGTCGAGTTAGCCATGTGAAAATGATAAAATAAAAGGGGGGGCCAGGGGTAGTAGCATGTTGGGTAGGCTTACTTGCTCTGCTGCGTAAGCTGCTGCTTGTACAAGTCGTTCGACCAGATGCACTTGACCACCTGGAATATCTCATATCGGATATTGAATTTATCGTAGAATTGGGTGTGTGCTCCGGTCGACTCGCATTCGATGTAGAACTTCATGACCGCGTGGAGGAGATAGTCGTTGGCAAACTTTGTATTTGTCAAGAGGTCTCCCAAGACGCCCTTTTTCAGATGATAGGTCGGCCAGGTCCCGGAAAAGAGGAGGGAGACGAGCGACGACTTCAGATAGGGGTTCCGGATATACTCGGATGATTCCAGAAACGTGATGCAGAGAGCAATCATCTCGTCTCCAACGGCCGAGAGGATGATCTGGGGAACAAAGCGGAAGACGAATTTGAAATTGTCCACAATGTCCTGGAGCGCATACTCGGGCAGGCAACGGAAGGCCTCTGGTTGATCTGCAGGCAGCGGCAGGCGAAGAGGCTTGTCGGGCGTGTAGTTCGACTGACTGGCCACCCGGAGCAGCCAGACGGCAACGTATCGCATGAACTGAAGCGACCGGCCCTGCATCTTCTCCTCCAGGAGCACGCCTTCGATGGCGTATTTCAGCGACACCGACTTTTCCAGCACATCGGTATGCCTCTTCAGGCTGATCTCGAACAAGGCAAGCTGTTCCGGGCGGTTTGCAAACTTGGCACGCTCCGCCTCCATCGAGGCGATGTGCTTCTCGTAGAACTTGATGTCCTTGTCCAGGTTCCTCATTTTGGAATTCGTGGCCTCGCTACCGTAGTGATGTGCTGCGAGCGTCAAGAAGAACACCTCGGTGATGAAGTTCGGGACGCCGTCTACCTTTTGGGAATAGAAGGCATCGGACTCGGACTGGTCGGCATTCAACTTGGTCTCGTCCTTGATATCAACTCTCGGGTTGGACCGAAAGTAGTTGACGTCGATGCGGTCTACCTTGGAGAAGGTGCTATCCATGAACGGCTCGCAGAGACAATCCAGGATGACCGTAACGTTCATCATGAATCCGTCGGAAGAGACCTCTCGGGGGTCCACCTGTATGGCGCGCCTCTTGTGGTTCGCATTCATGATGTACGCGAACCAGTCCAGCACCTTGTTCCTCGACTCGACGCTTGCCCGAACAAAAGCGTTGATAATGCTCCGCAGATCGGTCTGATATGCTGCAAGGGTGATCTGGAGGGCATTCTGGGCATTTCGGATTGCTCCCTTGTCCATCGTCCTCGGCCCAGAGAAGTAAACCCTAGTAACCTCGGGCTGGAGGGGGGAAATGCGGAAGAAGGGACCCAGTATTGTGTGCTTTTCGATGTTTGGCGCCGAGACAGCCATCTGGAAGCAGGAATTCTGGGCAAGAGCATCCAGTAGTCGCGGGAACTTGGAGTAAGTCAACAGAGCCTATCTGGTCAGTGACAATTCAACTTCCACCGGGCGGGCACACCTCACATTGACGTATGGCTTATAATCATCATTCATATTCATTGTCGAGAGCTTGCTGCTAATTTCGAGCATCGCCTTGGTGAACAGCGGCTCGATTGTGTCGTCTTCATCAAAACGCGAGATTGTTTCCTGGAAGAAATCGAGACATATTCCGTTGTCGTGCTCGATATCTCGAAGAAGATATGGCATGAGGGTATCGTGTTGGGGGTTGGGCTCGCGGCTTAAACAGGGTGATTAGCAAATACTTCCATGGCAAACAGATAAGATATACCTGAACAGCTCTGGCATGGTGAGAGCAAAGATGCAGTTGCTGAAGCAGATCCGCCTCGCCTCCTTGAGAACCTCCTCTTTCTGTGCCGCGGGTCCTCGAAGGAGCTTGATGGCCCGCACTACCCTCTTCCAGCAAGAGAGCAGATAGTCAAGGACCGGCTTGTCGCGGGGCACAGCTGTGGCAGCCTCCAGGATAGCAGAGTCTAGTACGTCGGGGGAGAGCTTCAAGGGCGCACCAGACTCTTGCAAGTCTTGGCTCAAGTTGGGTAAGAAGGTGAGCTTCGGGCCGGCCTTGTTCGCCTCCTGATTCGGGTCCACCGAGACACGGAAGATGTGACTCAACATCCTATGCGAGTAGTCTTCGATCGACTCCTCTTTCGCCGGAGTCTGTTTTCGCGCCGGAGCTGTAGCTGCTGGAAGCAGATCAATGTCTGATGCCGATCTCTTCCTGGGATTTCTAACACTACCTGCAGAGGCTCCTTGTTCATTGTTCGCAGGTTGAGCAGCGGTAAGCCGCGAGAACGGGTTCTCGCCTGTGGGTTGTTGGGCGGGCTTGATGTTGATGGTCGGGCGGGGTTCGGCGGCTGGCTTCTCGGTTTGTTTACTGCTGCCTGGTGACTGCCGGGAGGACGAGGCCTCTGGGGCAGAAGCAGCTTCGTCGGGCTTTGGCGAGCTGGTCGCTGTAGATCCGAGCTTCGCAAGTCGGCGCCTCCGAATCTGCTCCATTTTCTCTTGATCCGGGGCATCCGGAGGAGGCGGGGGTTGAGGGTCCTGGTTAGGATCCATCTCGCCGAAAGGAACTCGAGGGATGTGCTGATCTGCTGCCAAAGGGTGAAATTGGATGTGAGGTTCTGTCCAGGCAGAGGGGCGATGATGAAAGGCGGTCCTGAGCTTTAAATCGGGGTGCACTAGGCACGGTACATACCTTGGGGATGTTACCTGGCGGGGGCTGATAAGGCGGGGTGGAGCTAAACAGTGGTGCAGACCCATGCTGGATTAATTATAGGTATGTAGGTGATTAATGGCTTCAGTGGCTGAAGCCATACTGGAATAAGCAGAAATCCTAGTCCCTCATTAACATGGAAGGCAACTAACTGTTCCTTCTCTAACCCACTGCATTATTCCGTTGTGCACAAAATTGTGGGATTTTATCTGTCAAGAATTTCTATTTGCCTTGGATTCGCGCCTTTCTGCAAAACTACTACGAGTATAGTAGTGTAGTAGTTGTAGATCGAGGTCAACCTTTGGTTTTGGTGGGTCCATTTTATTGCCTGTTTTAGTACGGATCCGTATAGTATGCCAAGCTACCGTTCATCCTACCCCTGGGCAGGCGACAGTTTTCAGCCAACTGCTGATTTGCCAGGTCTTGAAGGAGAGAAGGTGGAAGAATCCATGAGAGCTGGAGCTAGAGAGGCGTGGCATTACTAATCAGGACCTAGATTGAGATAAAATGGGAACCTTCATTCCCTCGAGAAACCGAAGTGCGAAAGTACGTATACTCTCATACCAGCTAAGGTACCTACCTAAGTCACCGTTATGGCTCATTCTCACCTCAGAGTAGGTACATCTCCAGACAGGGAGTAAGGAGGAGCTGACATGAAGATTCTCCTGCGAGTACAACATATACGGAGATGAGCATCCATGTAGTAGGTACCTACCTATGTCCCGGGGCGCTGGAGAACCTCGTGTGTCTTAGGCAAAGTAGCAGATAGCCCGGTGCACAAAGTAGGTAGGTGCATCGTTGCCACAATTTCTATAGTGCTACCGACTCTGTGTAGGTACAGGTAGTGACCTCCCACCACCTCACAATGTAAATCGACAAATTCATCGATGAGCCAAGCCCATGGAGGCTCTTGGGGCCAACTTTAGCGCATGCGCCAGTTGCAAACCCCCTCAGTTTTGCCCCAGCCCCTCCTGCTTATTCCTGGACCATCTTGGTGGGTTGGAGGGGGTACCTAGGTACCTTACTAATAAGCAGGTATGTACATTGCCGGTGGGCCGCAACCACCCGGCAATCCATGTTGCCCTTTGGGCCTTCGCTCACGCGATGACCTGGACAGAGCTAGACCACCTATACTTTTCCTCCTCCACGGCCGTGGACGGTCTGTCTCTCCATCCGACGATACTCACAGTGCGATTGATTTCGTCGACCTCCCGGATATTCGATCCGTACAGTTGCGAAGGCTCCAAGTGCGTCTCCAACTCATACTAGCGACGAGGAACCTCGGGACGGGCGTCGAATCGTCTTGAGGGTCTGCAAAAAGCCGCGGGCCTTGCTCAAATGAGCCACAAACTCGACGTCCATTGCGTAACCACGAGGCCCAATGGGAGCCGAGTCCGCTGAGCGGCCAGAATAGAGAAGAAGCCATGGAGGGAAAGAACGGGATCGAGTCCAATGCCTCCGAGTCTGGGAGAGAGACCAAGCTGAAGGATCGCCATGCGCCCGCTCCCGACAACGCCATCAAGACCCCCAAGAAGAGGCGCAAGGTCAACCATGGTGATTTGGTCCCCTCCCCTCCACCGCCCTCGCCCCTTTCCCCCTTTCAGCTCTGATCCTGTCGTTCACGAGCTAATGCCCGTCACCGCGTTCCTACAGCCTGCGTGTATTGCCGACGATCTGTAAGTGCTCTACCGACGCCCAGCTATTGGCTCCCTACCCCCTTCCCCCCTGATGGCTGCGAACTATTGCCCCTAGCGAGGGCATTGGCATTGCAGTGCGATTCTCGGGTGCCGCATACATACATATGTATATATATATATTGGAGGAACTGTACTGACTGACCTTGGGCGACTTTGTCTGGTTCCAGCACATGACGTGTGATCTCGTATGTAAGCTCCTCCCCTTGCGCGGGTATTGCTCGTCGACCACGAACAGGCGTTGACCCGAATCTCCTCCCCCCTCCCCTCCCACCAACAGGAGAGACCATGTACGAGATGTGTTAAGCGCGACATTGGGCACCTATGCCACGATGAGCCGCGAGACCCCGAGTCCAAGAAGTCCAAGAGTATACCGGGGGCATCGACCGTCGACGAATCGGAGACCCAGTCGGAAATGGGCCACAACTCAGTCGACCAGACAACAAATAGCATGAGGCCGCCCTCGTTCGACGGTAGCCTGACTGCTGGTCCCGGGCAGACCACAAAGTCTACTACCTTCAATGCACGCTCGCTAGCCCGGGCCAACTCCCTACAGCTTGTGCAACCCACGCCAGTCCCTGGCATCCAGGGAAATGCCTTGAGCAGCAACATGAATGAATGTAGGTCTCGTAACTCCGTCCGACGTACTCACCGCACAGCAGCTGAGGTTACGATCCATAGTCGCTGGTTTCCCTGATGCGTTGCTGTCAGCCCAAAACCACTTTCACGACATGCACAGCTACCACCCCAACTACATGATTGTGCCCGAGGTCACGAATGAGTTCAACCTTTTGAACGATTTCTTACATAGTAGCATGCTTGATGACGCCGCACTGTTACCGGATGACCAGAACCAGCTCCTCGGGAACCAGCCTGATGTCGTATCGGATTTCGTCAACAACAGTGCCAGCAGCAACGCCGCCGCCGGAGCCAGCAGCAACAGCGGCCTTCTCGCCCAGAGCGCCATGCAGACAAGATCCATGCCCCCGCCGAGCACCAGCGCCGATCAGGGCAAGGCCATCTCGCGCCCGTCGAGCGTCATCCCCGTCGACAAGGCTCGCGAATACTACCTACAGGCGGCCGACCCGTCCGGCAACGACACGCCCGAGGAGCGGATGCAGCGTGTCCTGAAGGCCAAGTACGACGCAGGGCTGCTGAAGCCCTTCAACTACATCAAGGGTTATGCGCGGCTCTCGACATACCTCGAGACCAATGTCGCCCCGGCCTCTAGGCAAAAGATCCTCCGGCAGCTCGACCGGTTCAGACCAAAGTTCCGCGAAAAGTCGCAAGCCCTGACGGACATGGACCTCGTCATTGTTGAGATGTGGTTTGAGAAGACGCTCCTCGAGTACGACCGAGTGTTTGCTAGCATGGCGGTTCCCGCCTGCTGCTGGAGGAGGACAGGAGAGATCTTCAGGGGCAATAAGGAGATGGCAGAGTTGATCAACGTGCCCGTCGAGACATTGCGCGGCGTAAGCTACCCACCCAAATGCTGGTCTTCCAAGACGCTCACCGTTAATCCACCACAGGGCAAGATTGCGTTACACGAGATCCTGACTGAGGACTCTGTGGTGCGGTACTGGGAAGAATTCGGGACGATAGCGTTTGACCCATCGCACGATACCCTCTTGACAGCATGCTCTCTCAAGAGTCCCAACGATCCGTCAAATCGCCCCATCGTCAACTGCTGTTTCTCCTTCATGATCCGGAGGGACGAACACAAAATGTAATGTCTAGACCGTACTCCTCTCCCCCCTGACTTGCTTGCTGACAACTAGCCCCAGTCCTTGTCTAATCGTAGGAAACTTCCTGCCCCACGATCCCAAATAACATTTTAGATGAGCTATGCATATATATATTCCGGAACACGGAGCATAGCTTGCCCTATTAGACGGTGCTGGACATGCCAGACCACGCAACACTTGGAGCCGGGCAGCAAGAGAAGGCGAACCGTCCTGCTATCGTTATCTGGGCTATGTATGGGATCTTCTCTCCTCAGCAACACGTTTTCCGCATTCTCCACTCGGCGCTCATGGGATATCTCGGACAAGAAAATGGAGTCTTGGCGGTTTGGTAGGTAGGGAACAGGGTGGCATACGGGGATAGAGGGGCGGGCATTCGATAGGGTCATCGATCGCACCTTCCACAGCCAGAAGGGACCTTCAGTTTTCTAATTCCCAACAGAAATCAGAAATTCGACTTATCTTACCTACCACCTAACCTGCCTGTACTCTTCAGAATCATATGCTGCACTTCTAGATCCCCAGATTCTCACCCATTCCCCACCCGAGGGGTTAGTATCTTACCTAGAGCCCATTCTGTCGATGTTCGGAGCATCTCCATCACCGAGCGCACCCTGAAGCAGCTTCCGCAAAGTCCAGGTCGAGAAAGGAAAAAAGATCAAGTTGGTGATTGACCTGCCAAAAGACCGAAGCCCCTTCAGACAATGACACCCGATGCCGCTGCGCCGCATGCAGCTCATCCTAAGGTCCTAGGGGCCAAAGGGAAGCGCATCAAAACCATTGCTGGTAGGTGGCCCACCTAAGACATTTACGATAGACCATCACTCAGCCCTCTCCCAGCCTCCGCCGTCAACCTCCAAGGGCGACTATTGAGCGATCCACTTGGCGCAGCCGAAGACAATCAACTACTTGACGAACTCCGAGGCCACATACGGTCCCTACACTCCCACTCGCAGAGAAGCAAGCCGGGTTCAGCCGGAGACAGCGAGCTCGATCGGGCCGGGACAGTATTGTGGAATCTCTGCACCCGCCTTAGGCGAGAGTCCGATGCTCAACCTCGCTCGACGAACAAGCGGAAGTTGTTTCTTCTCGGCCGCGTCTTCGCCTTCCATCTCCTCGGCGCCGCGCAGTGTACAGAGAATGCTGACGCCGCAGCCGTCGTCCGGCTCCTGAGGCTCGCGCTCAAGGCCGGGAGGAGTTGTATTGGTATGAGACAGCGATCAATGATGAGACCAAGTTTCTTACCTCTTGACAAGCAGATGATTCTGAGTTTGGGTTTGCCACGCTGGTGTTGCAGAAAGCCGTAGATTGCAACACTCGACTACACGACCTTCGCAGCGACTTGTCGGCCGATGACGTGAAGGATGCCAGGGGTCTTGAAGCCGAGTACTTCATCCTCCGTGCTGCATTGGTAAGCATTCCCTAACAACCTGTGGACGGCGCAAGGCCGATATTTAGCCTCTGTTCGACTAATCTTGACCATCTAGGCGTGGAAGGAAAACCGGCTAGATGTCGCCGAACACATGTACAACAACGGGAAGCTAACCCCTGAATTTCTGGACCCCTATCAAGTTGAGAAGCTGGCAGATGTCTTATACGAGATTGGCAAAGATTTGTCTGGGAAGAGCGATTTCTCGATGGCTGCCAAATGGCTCAACCGAGCACACGACGTTGTCAACAGCCAGGGACTGGAACTTTTGAGCCGCGAAGCTATCGAGTTGCGGACGGCCATATTGCAAACCCTAGTCACGGCTCTATTGGGTCTGGGAACGACTGGCGGCTTCGAAACTGCAGACAATCTTGTCAACGTCATCGAGTCAGAGATGGGCAATGAGCTGGTAGTTTCGCTCCTGAGACTTGAGATACTGCAGAAGAGCCCTGCGGAGGTCTTTGACAGTGATTCTTATGCTGATGTCCTACGACGTATGATCAAGTCCTTCAACTTCACCGAATCGACCTTCAAGCTCGTCGTCCATCACATCCGGAAGTTGCATGACAAGACTCCAGGCCTTGGGTGCAAGGTGATCGATGAGTTCATCAGAGCTCTTCGCAATGCCGATACAGACGAGTGGATAGAAAGACTCGTCATCATCCGTATGTGGATGACGACCAACCAACGTGACTCGGTCGACACTATACAATCAGCGGAGGATGTCCTCACCCAAGTGGACAGGCACCTCAGTGCCGATGCCGCTATTGCTGCGCAGACAGTAAGTGGGAACACCACTCTCCTCTGTTTAGTTATACTGACAGCAGGCACTCTTTCAGCTGATCTGGAAAAGGCTCGAATCGGGTTATTCCCTAGGGCAGTTCGAGTTGGCCGAGAAATGGTGCCATCTGGCCCTTCATGCCGCTTTCCGGAACTGTGGACCAGGTAATATAGCAAAACTGGAAAGGTACCGGCGGTCTTATCGCAATATATCACCGCTCGCGCTGACTATTTTTGCGAAGGAAAGTCCTTCTCTGCGCCATTGCGAGAAATGAGATGGACGGGGCTCGGTCAATATTCCATTCTATGGCCGAGAGCACACAACGGGAACCGAAAACCATGTACTTGATGTATAAAGTCGCAACCCGGACTGGCGATCGTTCTTTGGCTACCCGATGCCTCGAAAGTGTCAGCATGGCCACTGAGCAACAGGATTATCTTTATGCCTGCGTTGTCGACTCGCAGCAGGCCGGAGATAAGGTCTGTGCTGTAGAGGCTCTGAGGAAGCTGCTTGAGAAGCACGAGTACAAGTCGCCGAGCCCTGTACACCTTCCAGCACTCCTTCGATGCACCATTAGGCTTCTGAAGTCGGTTTTAGACAGTGACGATGGTCGATGCGGAGAGATGGACGGTGTTCAATACCTCTGCGAGCTATTTGATGCTGGTAAGGAGCTCCATCAGGAATGCAGTCCTAATAGAACTCTCTCAGCTAATGTGCTTGAACAAAGCTGTCACGGCGATAGAACGAGAGCCACGAGATGCCAACGGCAACAAGCTTTTCAGCATTGATGAGCTTGACTGGTTTGCCAGGAATGCCTATAACCTTGGCTTGAAACACCTCGACAGCTGGGATCTACGCCACTCCATCCATATCTTGACGGCTTGCACGAGCATTATCAAGCTGTTCCCTTCGGATGTCACCTCTCAAGTTGCCCAAGATATGTCTTTCAAGCTCATATTCAGCAATTTCATCATTGCGTCGGCATTGGTAGCACAGGCACGAACGCAGGACAATGTTGAGAAGCAGTTACAAGACTATCTGCTGATGCGGAAGCATATTGCTGCCTTTGAAGCGGAACTGCCCGGTCGATTGGATTCTCTGGAAGGGAAAGCTCGGGAAGACCTCCTCAGCAAGCTGGCGACGCTGCTAACATTTGACCTCGAGGGCGCCATCTGCCTCAAGAAATGGGAAGATCTGGGCGAGATTATCCGAAAGACGGTCCAATGTAAGAGCGTTACAGCATTCCAAGGAATGGGGGATTGTCTTTTGAGATCAAGTGTGCCAGGTCGAGGTAGCTGCCTCATGTTCAAAAGCTCCTTCCTTGTATTCTGCTAATCGAATCGTCCGTCCAGAACTTTACGCCACGATGAGGATCATCATCAACGAAATATGGACTCTGGAGAATTTCACGGTAGAGAAGTTGGCCAAGTATATGCGCTGCCTATTCCAGGCTACATTGCCACTCGACGATGGTCTTGCGCTGGGGCTGATGGACGAGTTTTGCGAGTGGACTTGCGAGGCATCCAAGGTGCGCCCTCTCGGCCAGGTAGGGTCTCTATGGTAATTCGAGTTGGGCTAATCTCGTCGATAGACGATGAACCAGATGCCGGCGGAAGAGCTGGAGTGGCTGGCAACAACAGCGTTCAATCATGCTGTTGACTGCTACGCGGCAAGGCAAGACGAGCAGTCCAAGCAGTGGGCAAGTAAAGCACTGAATCTGGCACACTACTGCAACGACGGTGGAGCCCTCGAGGGAATCCTTCACGAGAAGCACCTGTCACTGCGCTTCGATGCCAAGTAAGTGTAGATGGCGGGGGTTCTGTGTGAGGTGTTGGGGCAGGTGACGATTTGCTTCAAGGCAACGAGCTACTCATGGAACAGTCGAACAGACTACGGTAGAAGCGCATGTATGGCACTGAATCATCCAACCAAACGGAAAGCCAATGTCGCTCCAATTTCCCTAGCAACACTACCAAATTGCTAGATAACCAGATTGTATCCCCAACACCAAGTCATCGCCCGTCATAAAATGCCATGCATGAGTGATTGAATCAGATAGCAATAAAGAAACTATCCTCCCCCTCCTTGGGGCGGACCCTCGACCTCTCCATGATGGGATCCACGCACGCGAGCCTGATCCTCTCGGGAGTAGCGGGGCTCTCTAGTCGGAGCAGGCCGGGGTCGTCATTGTCGTCGTTGTCATCATCATCATCATCATCATCATCATCGCCCACGACACCCGGGGCTGGCGGCAGCGGTCGTACGGCGACGCCGTACTGGCGCCTCGCCGCGACGAGTGCGTCCCGGATGGCGAAGAACACGGCGCTGCCCATGAACAGGGGCGGCTCGCCGACGCCGCGGCTGCGCTGGATGGTGCGGAGGTCGGCCCACTCGACGTCGCGGAGCAGGGAGACGTTGAACGTCTGCGGTATGTCCCTGAACCCGGGGATCTTGTACGTCCCGGGCCCGCGCGTGGCCAGGCTCCCGGCGGCGGGGCCCCCGCGCAGCCAGAGGCTCTCCTCGGTGGTGAAGAGGCCGACCCCCTGGACGAAGGCGCCCTGGATCTGGCCGTAGTCTACGGCCGGGTTGATGCTGCGGCCGACGTCCATCTTGACGTCGGCGCGAAGGCAGGTCCAGGTGCCCGTCAGGGCGTCGAGCTCGGCCTCGGCGGCGGCGACGCCCTGGGTGAAGTAGAAGAACATCTTGCCCGCGTTGGCGGCCCAGTCGTAGCCGATCTCGGGCGTGCGGTAGAAGCCCTGCGCCGACAGGTTGACGCGGTCGAGGTAGGCGGCGCGCGCGACGTCGGCCATCGGGGCGGAGGCGCCGAGGCGCTCGCGGTAGGGGCGCAGGCGGCTGTTGAGCTGGGTGCAGGCGTTGTGGACGGCGTAGCCGTTGAGGTCGGACGAGGCGGAGGCGGCCGTGGCGGACGTGTTGGCGACCGTGTTGGTGGCCGTCTCGGAGATGAAGACGTCGTCCAGGGGCACGCCGAGCGCCTGCGCAGCCACCATGGCCATCTTGGTGTGCAGGCCCTGGCCCATCTCGGTTCCGCCGTGGGCGACGAGGACGGACCCGTCCTGGTAGATGTGCACGAGCGCGCCGGCCTGGTTGAACCACAGCGCCGTGAACGAGATGCCGAACTTTGTGGGGATCAGCGCCAGCCCGCGCTTGCGCCACCTATGCGTGGCGTTGAACTTGGTTATTCGCGCGCGCCGGGCCTCGTAGTCGGATTCGGCGAGCACCTGTTTGTACATGAGCGGCACGTGCCAGTCCGTCAGGGGCTGGTTGAAGTGCGTGAGTTCCCCAGGCTCGTAGAGGTTGATCTCGCGGAACCTCTCGACCGACATGCCCAGGCGGTCGGCGACCTCGGTCATGTACGTCTCGGCGATGAACATGCCCTGGGGTCCGCCGAAGCCCCGGAAGGCCGTGTTGGACATGGTGTTCGTCTTACAGATCCGGCCGCGCACGTGTATGTTGGGGATCATGTAGCAGCCATCCGAGTGCGAGAGTGATCTCTCGCAGACCGCGGCGCTCAGGTCCCAGCTCCAGCCACCGTTGGTGAAGATGTCGAGGTCCAGCGCCTGGATCTTCCCGTCCCTGTTGACCCCGACCTTCCACTTTCCGAGGAAGGGGTGTCTCTGCCCGGTGGTGACCATGTCCTCTTCTCTGGTCAGCATACACCGTACCGGCCGACGAGTCTTCTGGGCAGCCAGGGCCAGGATCGAGCTGAGTTGCACGGATCTCGTCTCCTTCCCTCCGAAGCCTCCTCCTAGGCGTTTTACTCTCACAACGACCTTGTTTGCCTTGACATCGCATACCTGCGCGGCATACGCTTGTCTATGAAGAGGGTCAGTGAACGATTTTCTCAACAGATTAATGGAGTTACAGGGCCGACTCACGCCTCGTTCGGATTCTGAGTGCTCGAGAAAATCTCAATCTCCCCATCTTCAGGTTTTGGGACGACGAGACAGGCGTTGGTCTCGAGGTAGAAATGCTCCTGGCCCCCCATCCTAGCCGTGCCCGTGAAGACATAATCCGATTTCGCGAACGCGCCCTCCGGGTCGCCTTTCTTTATATGGCGCTGGAAATTGAAGAAGCTCTCCTTCTTGATGGCTTCTTCTATGCTGAAGATGGCGGGCAGTTCTTCGTATTCAATCTTGACAGCCCTTGCTGCCTCGGCGGCCCTGGCTGCTGACGTCGCGAGGACCAGTGCGATCGGCTGCCCTGCCGTGTAGATCATGTCCTCGGCCAAGAACATCTCCTCGTGGTGCGGTGCCCCCCACCGGTTGGCCCGCGGACTGGGCATGTCGTCCTTGTCGACTACGTCAACAACGCCCGGAATGTCCAGCGCGGCCGAGTAGTCGACCGACTTGATCTTAGCGTGGGCTTTTGTAGACAATACTAGACAGCCGTACAGCTCATTCTTCAACGAGGGGATATCATCCGTGTACTGCGCCTCCCCGGTGCTCTGCTTCAGAGCTGCAAGGTGCGGGTTTGACTTGCCCACGATCTCCTGTTCGTAAGCCGCCGTCGCCTCTCTGTCTTCGTACCCCCCCGATATCCTTCTCTCGAGTTCCGGGGCGGCTTCGTCATCGGCATTCTCGGGATGTCCCAATAAGATCATGACCTCATGGTAGAACCGGTAGAAGAAGCCGAGCGCCAACGACTTCCTGTACGACGCCATGCCACCGGGCACGCCAAAGGTCAGGTTGAAATCCTCCTCCAGGGCGTCCATTGAGCCTTCCAGGGTTTCGAGCTCGGCAAATCTCTTGCCCTCCAGAAACGCGTTCGCCGTCTTGGCCGCAACCGTGGTGGGGGCCATCCCGCCATACACAAGGTTCGCCTTCTCGACGACCCCCTCGTCGCTCAGGCGGACCTTTAGCGCCGCGGTGACTATGGCGATGTCGTCGTCCTTCCGCTTCGCCTGCTTGTAGGTCCTGAAGAACTCCCCCTTCTCCCGGGTGACCGGGATGCGGATCGACGCGACGACCGCCTCGGGGGGGAGGGCTGTCTGTCGGTAGCCCGTGAAGAACTGCGACATGGGGATCTCAACCTCGCTGCCCAACGATTTCGCAACAAGGATCGAGTCGGAAGCCATGAAGACGGGATTCAGATCCGAGATTGGCGATGCTGTCACGAGATTGCCGGCTGGCGTGCCCACGTTTCTGATCTGCCTACCGGCGAAATACTTCAGCTGCTTCAAGATGGCGTTGAATACCTGCCCCCTGGCTTCGCCGTAGTGCTGGACGGCATCCGAGCTGATGCTCTCGAGGTCTGTCAGTATGACATTCCCGCCGACCTCGACGTTATCCTCCTTGAAAGAATATGTTCTCAGCTCCGGGATGTCCCCGACGTAGACGGAGACAGGATACTGCATCGCCTTGAACTTGATCTCGATCTGCGTCTCCGTGCTCCCGCCGATGATCTTCGCGCTCGGGTAGACGCTCTTGATCTCCAGCAGCTGGTCGAGCGTCACGGGCCGGTACCACCTCTTCCGCTTGTTGCCGAACGAAAGGGGCTTGAATTCGTACTTCTTCAGGGCCGAGGGGAAGATGAGCTCCGTGCTGGGATCATACTCTATAAAATCTGGGGGAGTAAACCTCTTCTTGATGGCCTCACTACCATCCACCTCGCCATTACCGTCCTTGCAGCATCCGCCCCCGTCCCCGTTCTCCATGCAGCAGCCACTACCGCCATTTGCCGTGCTTTTCCCACATGCCTTTCGCGTACTAAACGTCTGCGCAGCATCCAGGATGGAGCGATAGCCCGTACATCGACACAGGTTCCCGTCAAAGGCCTCCTCGACGTCGTGCTCGGTCGGGTTCTGGTTGTTCCGCAGCAGGGCATACAGGCTCATGACTATGCCGGGGGTGCAGAAGCCGCACTGGCTGCCGTTGCCCCTCGCGACCCGTTCCTGGGCCGGGTGCGGCTTCTTGACGTTGCCGATACCCTCGATGGTGATGACATGCTTGCCGTCGACGCTGGCGAGGGGCGCGAGGCAGGCGTTGACGCTCGCGTGGTAGATCTGCTTGGTGGTCGGGTTGTACTGGGAGACGACGACGGTGCAGGCGCCACATCCGCCCTCGCCGCAGCCACTGGGTAGGGAAAGCCTAGTTAGCTAATGTGTAGCCCCGACGGGGAGCTCGTCGAACATATGAGAGCAGTGCCGCACAGCTTGGTCCCGGTCAAACCGATCCCCCGGAGGTACTCGAGCAGCGTGACCTCGGGATCGATTTCGTCCAAAACGACACGTGTGCCGTTCAGATAGAAGCGGATCGTGTCGTCAAAAGTCGTCGTGAGGGTCGTCCCCACGGTGTCGTTGGGATCCCTCTCTGGGGAGATGGCGATCGGTGCCATGTCACTCGATCTCTTGGAAGCTTCAAGTTTTATGCATCAGGAAGCTAGGAGTTAGGGGTTCGTCCACAGGACTTCTACTGAAAATGCGAGATGCCAGGCGGGGGGCGGGAATGCAAGGGGTTATTATCTGAGTCGGCTGGTGCCACGCCAGCTCCGGCCGCTGGTGTGGCGATAAACCCTTGGACCTCTCCGGTCAGTTCCCGGGCAAGCTCCCTCCTAGCCTATACCTTGGCTTTCCTAGTTCCCTATGATAAATAACCTCTCGATATAGTATCGGGATGACACGTATGGCGACGGATCTGAACAAATCAAAGTGCTGGAGTGTGTGAGTTTTGTGGCTCAACTTTGGTAATGGAAGTGTTGCTCTTATCTACTCGCATACACCTACAGTACCTGTGACATACAGGTTTCGGCCGGCTCCGCGTTGTCTCTGACGGCTTTCACCGCATTGCGTCGGGCGGGGATGCCTATTCTCAGTGACAAGCATGTGCTGCCGCCCTAGCAAGAGTGCGGGGTTATGACATGACGGTGTTAGCGGTCAAGATCTACCTAGATCTTACCCAGGAGCTGCAAACCCCAGCTCTTTGGGTGGCAATTCGTACCTATTTAGAGCAGCCAATGGTACCCCATAGTTGCAGGGCTGAAGTATCTGCTATTCGGGGTTTTGACCAAGCAGACCGCTATAAATCAGAGAGAGTAGCATCCGCGGGTGCGAAGGTCGGATGGTTCGATTCATATCTGTTCTACTGTCTACCCAATGTCTCCCAAGTCAACGCATCTACTCAACGGATGTACTTCTTCAGTCCTCGCAGCCGTTCCTTGGCCGTCTCCAGCACGTCGTCCGGCTTGCAGACGGCGAAGCGGAGATAGTCCTCGACAATCGACGCGTTCGCATCCGTGTAGAACTCGGTGGGCGGGATGGAGGCAACCCCGACCTCCTGGATCAAGAACCAGGCGAGCTTGAAGTCCCTCGGCCGCTCGGCTACGTGAGGCGGGAAGGGGTAGTCCTTGGGCAATTCGACCTTGCTGAGGTTCACCATCACAAAGTACCCGCCTTCGGGCTCCGAGTAGGGGACCCCAAGCTCCTTCCAGACCTCGTTGAAGCGGTCCATCTTGCCCTTCATATCCCTGATGGACTCGTCCCAGAAGCCCTCTGACTCGGCTTGCTCGAATCCAACGGCGCAGGCTTCCTGCAAAGGAGAAACCGATGAGTAACAAATGCGCGTGTGCGCCGCCGAGACATATTGAACAAGCTCCGCCGGTCCCATGACCCAACCTGACGGATCCATTAGCAAGGTCAGTGACTTAAAGCAAGGGTAGGATGGCTATTCACCAACTCGCCAACCGGTGGCATAAAAGTTCTTGCCGGCAGATCCGACCGTCAGGGTAAGCTTCTCGACCTCGGGCGAGAGAGTAGCAATTCGAGTGAAGGGGACGTAGTACAGGCGGTCATAGACCTCATCGGACAAGATGATGATCTCATGCTTGAGGCAGATGTCGGCGATCTTCTGCAGTTCTTCTCGTGAGAAGACTTTGCCAACAGGGTTGTCTGTAGGGCTCTTATTAGTACAGCACTGAGCAGTGAATTTAGGCGGGGCCATACGAGGAGTGTTGAGCACCATCATCTTCGTCTTGGGCGTGACAGCTCTCTCGAGTTCTTCAAAGTCAATAGTCCAGTCCCCTGCGGATGTGGTTTCTACTCCTCCGTTCTCTGGCGGGTGCATTGGCACGTAAACGATCTTCCCGCCCGGCATCTCGATGTTGCTGATGTATCTTTGCAGCGTGAGCACTCAACTGGGTCCAGTTTGGCAGGGGCGAGCAATTCTCACTGATCGAAAAATGGTTCAAAGATGATGACTTCGTCTCCTGGCTCAATGAAAGCCATGAAGGCACTGAGCATACCTGGCGCGGCGCGAAAAGGTCAGCCATATGGGCGCCCCTTGGATATTCACAACAATTCGAAACTAACCTTCATTGGCACCGGTCGTAATAGTTATTTCTGTCTCCGGATCCAGTTTTCGACCCCAATAAGGAGAGTACGCATCGGCAATGGCCTTCTTGAGCCTCGGACGGCCCTTGGTGGGACTGTATTGATTACATTCGACCCTATCCAAGGCAGCCTTGGCAGCGTTGAGGATGAACTCGGGGGGGTTGTATCCGAAGAAACCCTGACCCATGTTCACGATTGGTTGCTTTGGCGATGCTGCCGCAGCCTCGTTGATGATGGTCCTGTTCAAGTGTCAATGACCTGGGCGATAGCCATATACGGGTTTGCTTACCAGACATCCTGTCTCCGCCCGGAAACGCGGGCAGCTGGCTGCAACTTGCCATTCAGCGCCATGGCTAAGTGGAGGCGGCGAACTGAGGCCTTTGTAACTGTTGGCGGCCTAAGGATTGGCAAACGGATGAAGGACTGAGTGAAGGACATCACATTGAGACGTCGTAATTGACACTACCTCTGGTAGATCGTCCGCAATCGGGGCAGGCCCAGTATGTGCAGTCCTCTTATTGCGCGATTCTCACTAGAGCTCTCGAATCCTCGGCATTGGTGAGGGTATGCCCCACTTGGGAAGAGTATGCAACAAAGCGTAAGGGAAGCTACATCACACTTACACGGGAATGATCCTTGCGGTACCTAATAAACTTCCATGGGATGTAACTGGAATTCTTACAAACTTCGGGCAGATCTCCATGCCAGAATCTCTTGTATTGGACACTAGTTCGTACACCTCACTCACCGTAGGCTGGAACGGTGATTACACAGGCCCTGCAACGGACGGGAGCGATCGCCTATCTAATCTTGAGAACGGGAGGCAAATCACCCAATGAAAGAAGGAGGCCTCGCTCATTGACTGGGATAACTCTGGGGCAAAGGTACCTATTGTGGCTTGGCAGCATGGGCCACATAACAGCCACACCGTTTCCCCTGCCATTTGATAATTAATGCCGATAAGTTCCTTCCTGTTGCCACAGAGCCTCGTCGCAGAGGCCTCAGTGTCATGCGTAGAGGTACCTAGCTGTGGTGTCTGGGTGCCTAGCCTACCTTACATAAGCGAACTGTCCACAGAGACGTGATGGTGGTGTCGTGCAGGAAGAGGGCAAACGATCACTGGTTTGACGGTTGATGCGAAGTCTGGTCCCTGGCAGACTGGTTTGCATTCGTTCCCCAATGAAGGGCGCTGCTGAAGAGCGCCCTGCAGCAAAGGCCTCCAAGTGGCCCCTGTCCTATGGATCCTCCTCGATAGCGGGTTGATCCGATGCACAGGAAGGGCCGGGATCGCGCTGTCTCATTTGGCTTCTTCGACATCTTCTACACCATCCACGACCACACCACTTCTGACCTCTCCTCTCATGCACTCTCATCTTAAAATAGTGTCATGTCCCATCCTTCGAGCGCAAGATGGGATTGCAGCTACGCTGACCTTTGGAGTCCTCTCAACTTGAACCCGGAAGTATGGACCAGGATATCGGGCATTGCCCCAAATGTTGCACAGCATGACCCCCGGCTCTGAGACAGGTGTGCTGCGCATTCACTCTCTCGTGGTCTAGCTTTTGGGCCACACCAGCAACCAACCGACAAAGAAAAATCGTCCTAGGGTACCTATACACTAGACCCGGACTCGGCTCGAGGCAACCAAATACATTTTTTTGGGCTTCGTACTCGCCGTTCTTTGTTCTATATTTGCTCCTATCCAGTCAAGCTAGGTCTATATCGCGAAGGTCCAGTTGGGCTTCAATGACTTCTCCTTCTGTTTCCCCTTACCTTCCACACCCTCACCTCACCTCACTGCTCTCTGTTGCTTGAACCAACCCCGGCTCTGCCATACAGCAACCCTCATTGATGTCAACCTAGCAGGATGCCATGCTGATGAGCCTCGTGCCCTTGGTGACATTTGGTATACCTCACCCACCCAAGTCACCTTGTCCCACACCACACCTTGTTATCTTTGTGGGTGTTCCTGACGCGTGAGGGTCTTTATTCCTTTCTTCACCTAGGACCTCCCCTCTTAAGCGCGTCCTCCCGTCCCCCCCCCCCAGTTACCTTCCATCCGCTCCTCCACCTTGTCTCCTACAAGTTGCTACTCATATACCCCGGAATAGTTCCGAGATAGCCTCACCGTCCAAGCATTGACCAACGTCTTCTTTTTGGGGGGTTTCGGTACGTCGTACCGTCTCCCTTTAAAACCTCCCCGCCTCCCTCTCGTTCCCCGACTTGCGCTTGACCCTATAGCCTGTCATACCGTCACTATCAAGCAGTAGGCTTTTTCAAGGTCTCTCCTCTTGCGTTGTCATTCATGTCACTATATTGCTGCCTCAACACGGCCGACGACTAAGCAAATCTTTCGAGGACTTCAGTGGGGAACGGGTTGAGCACCCCCGAACCCCCCAAGACAGACCGCCGTAAAGGCATGCCAGGGACTCGCATCTGCATCGAGACAGATCGCTGTGGAAACCCACGGTGGATTGTTCGCCGGCACTCTCACTCTCACCATCACCACCGAGCCGATGAGCGAGATCACATCACGAACGAGGAGCTAGCGAACATGCGCGAGAGGGAGCGAGCCCTCCGCGAGGCGAACGAGGCCCTCACCCGGGAAAACCACGCCCTCAAGGCCAGCCTCCGTGCCGCCGAGCAGGACCTCTCAGAGCATCGCACCTGGGTTGCCCAGCTGCAGCACCAGGTGCGGCAACTTCAAACCGAAAACGCCGACTTGCGTCGGTGTCTGGGCGAGCACAACGGCGGCGAGGATCGCCATCGGCGGGAACTTTGGGAACTCAGGAACAAGAACACCCGCCTTGAGAACGAAAACGAGGGTCTGAAGGCTCGCATACACGACCTCAAACGCCAACTACGCGAGTCAGTGGACGATCGAGTCCGCAGACTGACACAGAATGTCAACACTTTGACCCGCGAAGTCAACGACTGGCGGCGACGATTTGGGGACCTAGAACGCCGCCACCGGCGTCTACGTGAAAACCTTGACAACTACATCACCTCCAACGAGTGTCTCGCCAACGAGAACGCCGAGCTTCGTCGGACAATCGCCACCTACGAGCGCATCCTTCGTCGACACCGACTTATCGCATAGACGAAGTGTTGACCTAGGAATCATGCCTAGGAACTCATCGCCTATTACCCTTCTCTATGTTCCCCTCTTTTCCTTCTGAACACTATTTCGAGGGCAGGACGTTTTATCGAACGCCGCCCATGGGGCTAGCGGCAGCTCTAGGGGAGTGTATGACACATTAAACATGAGAGTGGTTTTAGCGAGGCAGGTGGAGAGGAATCATTCGGCACTGATTTTCAAATCGGGCGAGTTCAGAAAGGAACGGGCAAGCACTTGGAATCAATCATGTTAGGGCTAGGACATTCCTTTTTCTTTTCCTTTTCCTTTTCTTTTTCTTTATACTATTCTCCTTTTCCTTTTGTTCTCTCCAATCAATAAATGCATTCTTCAGCGACATGGGCGGATTTCATCTGGCAAGCACTATTTGGCAGGGGTATCAGATTCCTTGGTTGGACTCTTACACGATGGTTGGGCGTTGGACTTGGTTTGTGGTTTGGCTGCAATAGGGAAAGTGCAGCACCAATGCCATCAAGGGCTCCCTTCAAATCCCATAGAAACAAATAGGAACACCCAAAAACTTCTGGTGTAGGCATGGGACCCCAGACTCGTGATAAGAGCCCACCCTAATTGTTCGCCAACTCTGGCAAGCTTGACCAAACAACGCAGGCGGCAAAGCCCGTGTGGGCAATATAGTCATGTGAGAATGAGGTCAACTACTCAGCTGTGATAGGCTGCTGACCAACTTTTTACCCTTTCCAAGACAATCCTCTGGGCTGATCTTCAAGCACTGGGCGAAGTTTAACTTTTCTCTCAACTGACATTTCAAGGGGATGTGGTTGCGGTTGCCGGGTTGAATTCGAAGGTGAGTCCAAGGTGAGGCAGACCTGGGCACTGACTCACCTTGGCCATGACCTTGGCCATCCAGGTTCATCATTTCCCAAGTCCGTTTTCCCTTATTGCCGGTTCATGTGCCTAGGTTAAATTACCTAAGCATCCTTCCATTACAGGTACCTAATTTCCATCCGTACGTCACCGTACCTAGAGGCAGATATGGAGTAGGTGCGCAGAGAGTGCGCAGATGCGGAGTCGGAGACGGTCGTCCTAGGCAGTCTCCCTTGCTACGGCCGGTTGTATCTAGAAAATATTCCAATCTACCTAGATTGCGTCCTAATCCAGCGAGGATACAGCAGGTGGTGCCACATTCTGCGCAGATGTTCTGTTGGTCTTTTGTCAAATAGGGAAATGCGCACATGCGCCGAGAAGGAGGCGTCGGGGTGACTCCAACTTCCTCAGCGCCCTTACACCTCCACACGACGCATTTGCGCAATTGTGTGGTCCCCAGCAGCCTCAACCACTCCCCCGCGTTGCGGCCAAGGATGACACGCGTTGCGTCACCCCAAGACGCCTCCGGCAACGGGAGGCAGGGGAGGTCGACATCTGCGCATCGAAGGCCAACGATGTCAACCAACAGTCAACAGACAACTCCACAAATATTGGCGGTAGTCGGAAAGAGGAATCACTCGACTGGGTTATCAAGAAAGCCAAGGTCATCATGGGACGCGTGGGGAGTTTATCTAATCAACTAATGCATCTTGTGGGAGATGCATCCAAGTATTGTACATACGTATGTACATGTACGGATCACACCTTGCTTCTCACCATGGCAGCCTTACAAGGAAAATAGGCAAACGCTCCCCCACCCCCCCTAGCTGCAGCTCAAGGGCCAAGCGACCAGTTGGAACCTGGCGACAAACTTGGCGATCATTGCCGTCCAGCAAAGGGCGCAAAATACTTGAACTGGAAGCAGCCGGAATGTCGAAGAACAAAGAAGAGCTGCATCCAATGCATAAGGAATGCGATCAGTTGCCCTAGTGACTCACGTTTTGTTGCTGCAAGAAAAACCAGTCCTTGCGCATGTAGCTGAAACGGAACCACCACCTGCCGGCCTCAACTGCGGCCACTGCGGCACTGCAGCGAATGACAGGCGCCATGCGTGCCTAGTAGCTAGGCAATTGGCTGAAGTGGGCGGCGGGAGAGGGGACGGCCGGACGGGATGGAGGATGCCTTGGGAGACATGGTGTGACGACCCCAGTAAATACCTAGGTTCCCGGTGTCGTGGTTCGCCAGCCCTCTGGCGACCGCCCCCCCAAGAAAACTGCGAGGCGCAATTACAGTTGCGACGCGGAGCAGCGCGTAACCTCCACTTACAAAGCGGCAAAGCACGGGCCACACTCTGGCGCTGCACAGTAATTATAAGAAAAGAAAAGCTGCCTTACCGGAGTGCCAAGCAGGGAGGGCCCCCTGCTCACCCAACCCAATGAGCAAACCTCCGAGTCTCTGGCCGGTGTGGTGAGATTTTGGTGTGCAGGGTTCCTCGGCGTGAGTTGCCTAGAAGTGACTCGAAAGCGCAGCATCCAAGAGGCCAACCAGCAGCCGCAGCCGCAGTACTGGTACCTCGACAAGTTGACACACCTTCTTTCTCATGGCTCCAGGCCTCCCTCAAGTCTGTCCCTCCATTCCATTCCACTTGACTGACCTAGGAGGCTAGGACTTCTCTGGAGGCAGCCATGGCGCAGCCAGTCTCCAGGCCCAGATGAATAAATAGATATAAGGTACGGCCAGGTAAGGTCTTCTTCCATCCATTCAAACCAATCCATCAAACTATCCATCCCTTTATTTCGCTTGGTCATACCATTTGTTCCTTTTTTGGTGCCTTTTTCTTCTTCCTGTGCACTCGGATTCCAAAACACTCAACCGACATTCCAACCTAAGGGCCGGCTTTTTCCTCTTATACCCTATCCCCCTGGCCTGTCTCGGTTGGGCTCCAACACGGCAGAGATAGTCTTAAATTGTCTCTTGAAGCCCAACTCAAAGGGGTAAGGGAGCTTGTCCCCCCGGCCCACAGCCTTGCGTCCCTGTCGCTGGGCCAATTCGCCCAATTCGCCCAATTTTTGGACCCCCTTCAATTCACCTTGCCCTCTTATATATTTTTGTTCGGGCACATCTGCAGCATCCTCCCACGCTGCCTGTCAAATCAGCACCAAACACATCTCTCTGCTGCTCTAGGCCCCCCCCCGCTCCCCCATCATCAACCCGGACTTGAACATGTCGTCTAAGAACCACGTCAAGTTCCGGAAGGACTCCTCTCCTACGAGTGGGTCATCCACCGCCAGCAGCCATCGCCGGAGCGACTCTGGAGTTGGTTCGTTGAGCGACCACGGCAGCCGCACCGCTTACTCCGATCGAGCCTTTACACCTTCCGACTACGAGCCGCAGCGGTACAACATCTCCGCCCTACAAGATGCTCTCGGCGCCGCGCATGAGTCGCGCGACCGGTGGAAGGCAAAGGCCCAGGACCTCGACAACGACCTCAAAGACACTCGCAAAGACTTGAAGGAGATCGAAGCCAGATGGAGCGCCCTCGTCGACCGGAACGAGCTCATCGAAGGGGAGAAGAAGAAGCTCCACAGCGAGAAGAAATCACTCGCTGAGGAGAACGCCTCCCTCCGCGACCAGATCGCGACCCTCCAGGCAGCCCTCGAGAAGGCGGAAAAGAAGAGCAAGAGGCAGCAGGCCGACTCGCCCCCCTCCATGAGCGGCGCCATTCCCGCCGAGGCCCCCAAACTCCGCCGCAGTCCCAGCAAGCGCGAGAAGGAGAAGGCCAACGAGGCGGAGCAGGCGCAGAAGGAGAAGGCGAGGCTATCGAGACGCTTTGAGCGCAGCGACGAGAGCAGCGACGGCAACAGCACCAGCACTGCCAAGTCGCACCGGTCGCGACGCGCGAGCTACGTTGAACCACTCGGACCGCCTGCCGCAAGGCCGACGATCGGCCAGGTCCCGCCATCCCCGACACGACACTATTCCCACTACACAACCTCGTCGCAATATCCGCCGCAGTACCCAAACATCCGCGAGCCCGCCGTCTCCAATCTCCCAAGGTCAATTCATCCGAAGGTCTCGTATGTCTACGAAGAACCGAAGGCCTGGGAAGGTTCAAGGAGATGAGCGAGTGACAACCAACAAGCCCTGGGATTTATTGGGCAACTTTTTTTTTTTTGGTCCCTCGGCTCCCCCACATGCACCTTCAACGGTTCGTCCCGCAGCGAGTTGCGCTACCTACACCCTACCCTACACCCCACATTCTACCAACCGCAAAAATATGGGACAAAGAAAAAGGAAACGTAGATGATACCCCCCTGATTGGTTCAACAAATGGCTTCTGCGGCAATACCTTAGATTTTTCTTCGCGATCACCTCGCAATCCGCTTTCTGCTTTCTCGTTCCCCGTTCCCCTCATCACCACCCCCTCTTAAATCAACCCTACACAAACGTTTTGGGAATCTGGGTATTTTTTTCTCGCCTCCGGGGTCAATGTGAGGTCGCCCTCCACACACCCCTGAGTCCCCAGGTGGCCGGCCTGCCATACCTGACCCTTCTTCAAAAGACATCAAAACAAAAAGGCACATGAAAAAGAACAAGAAAAAAGGGGTGGAGCTGCCCTGAGCCCTCGCAGGGGGGCTGATGGGGAGGTGTAACTTGTTAGATAGATCTCTCTTCTTGCCTGTACAACGCGCGGGCAGCTTTTGTACGTTTTGGGATCGGATGGAGTACGATGAGGATGGGATGGGATGGGATGATGGCATGGGCTGATTAGACGATAGACATTTCCTCTTTTTCTTACTCGCTCCACGGCAACGGGATCCTGTATGTATGTATGTCATGTACTTACAACGCTATCATGTTCTTTTTTCGCTTGGCTCTTGCCGTTGGCTTGCCATTTAGTGGTGTCAATCACCCCCAAAAAGGAGGACGTGGGAATAGATAGAAGGGGCAATCAATTAGGGCTATCTCGGTCGGCCATGTATGCCTTCACCGCAACTACCGCTCTATCTGATTCGTGATCATACCCCCTCATCCCACACCCATCATCACCATATGGTATGCCCTCTTCCCATTCGATCTAGGACGAAGAAATGGCGGAAGCTAGGTGCTAGGCGACCCAATACCACGCGCATCGCCTTCCAATGCAAATGCCGTCTCCGAAACGGACGCCTCTAGGCAGGCGTGCGGGGATCAGGCTCAGGCAGCAATCCTCACCCCGCATCTGCTCGAGAACCAGGCTGTCGACTGTTCCCCCACCCACTTCGTGTGGGTGTTTTGAGTGTCTGTAAACCGGACCCGGGGACTTAGCCATATCGATGGCTGCTCCCGCACTTGACTGGCGGATCATATGAGTCTCAACCAGGCGGTGATATGGGCCGGTATTCCGACCACCATGCCCAGGACAAACAAGCCAAAAAGAAGAGGATAGGAGAAAATTTAATCAGACCGTCCCTTGGCCCACCGGAGTCCCGGGCGACTTCTGTCGCATGTGGCAAGTAGTGTAGAGCAAGTCGAAAACGATGGAATGAACGCAAGAGAAGGCAAGGCACCAGGGGGGGATGACAGAGAAAGAAAGAGCCAGAGGACACCTCCCCTACTGCATTCCGTTCCGCTCTGTCCCCCATCCCCGTCAGGCGCCGATACCTCATCTCTCAACGCCTCGCGCCTCAAGAAGCCGCAGCAGGAGCAGACGCTGCAGCCGCGGCGCCACCACCACCGCCCTTGCCGGCATTCCTTCCCCCACCGCCACCGCCACCACCAGCTCCACCACCATCCTTACCCGCACCACCATCCCTATCTCGGTCCCTCCCTCGGCCGCCCCTCCGTCTCCCGCCGCGCTTCTCCGTCGTCGTCGGCGTCGGCGTCGTCGCAGCACCAGCGCCGGGAGCCGCAGCCGCAGCCGCGCCCTTCTCCTTGTCGGCCGAAGGACCGGCCGGGGCAGCACCAGCACCAACCGAGCCGGCGCTCGCCTCGCCCTTTGCACTCCCGCCGGTAGCGGCGGCAGCAGCAGCAGCACCGGAGCCACCGCCTCCTTTCGCGCTACCGCTACCGCCTCCTCCCCCCGCCCTCCTCGCGGCAGCCTCCTTCTCCCTCCGCTCCAGCACCTGCACGGCGGCCTGCGCGACGGTCACGGGGCTGGCGGCGATGGCGCGCGCGAGCCCCTCGGGGTCGGCGAAGTCGACGTACGCGAAGCCCTTGCGCCGGTCGATCTCGGCAAAAGCCACGGCGCCGAAGGCCTGCATGGCCTCCTTGAGGAGCGCCTCGGTCACGCCCTGCGACGGGTTGGCGTGCTTGACGAACGCGCGCGTCGAGCCCGGCGCGGGGGCCGGCGCGGGGCCGGCGCCGCCGCCGCCGCCGGTGGTGGTGCTGGTGTTGGTACTTGTGGCCCTGTTGCTGCCCTTCTTGGAGGCCGGAGGTGGTTGGGGGTTTTTGGAGGAGGAGGCCTTGGGTCCCGTGGGGGGTGTCGGCGTGGGAGTTGCCGCTGACCTGGCAGGCGTGGCTGCTGCCGATGCTGATGCTGACGGGGTCGACGGTCGGGCGGATTGTGACGTCGATGGGGTGTCATCTTTCTTTCTGAGGAGCACAACTGGCGTCTTTGCGGGGGTCGGTCCTGCAGAATCGGTAGTAGACCTCTCTCCTCTTCCCTTGGCTGAATCTTCCCCAGTGCCTCGCTTCTTACCCCGTGACCTGCCGGATGTTGGTTGTTGAACCTGTGCCTTTGGAGCAGTAGGCGTCGTCGGTTGAGATGTTGATGATACGGTAGGAGATGCCAGGGCCTGCGTCGAAGAAGAGGCAGCCTCCTTGTCGGCAGCACCAGCAGTCACCTTTGCTTCTGCCTCGGCCTTGGCGGCTTCCTGGCGTGCCTTCCGGTGGGCGTTGCCGGGACTCAGACCGAGGTCTCTCTGCAAGATCCGCGCGGCAGCTGCGATCCCGGCTCTCCGGCTCTTAGGCAGGTCTTGTGTCGCGCTCTGCGCCTTGCTCGCCACGGTGTTCGCAGCCTCAGCCGCAGCATCCATAGCCGCCTTCTTTGTGAGGATCTTAACGTTATCCTTGGGCTTGTCCGATGACTTGTCGCCCTTGCCCTTCTTCTTCGACTCCTCCGGGCTGGATGACGAGCCCTTGGCCTTGCCACCCTGTGATTCCTGTCGCGAGTGCTTGGCGCTCTTAGCTGCCGCGGCTTCTTTCGCCCTGTTTGCCTTCTTCTCCTTAAGATATTCAATCAGTGGTGTCGTGGTAGCCTTCTCGGGCTTTGCGTTCTCGTCGGTGCTCTGCTCGGCTTCCCCGCCTTTCTGGGCATCGGGATTCGCGAGGCTCTCGAGGAAGGCCATAAACTCGGGATCCTGGTCGATAGTGCCCTGCCGGCCATCTGAGCGACGTTTCCCGCTCGGAATCTTCTTGTAGATGCAATACTCTACGACGGGCGGTCCTACGAGGGCGGGGTTGTTGTAAGTCTCTTTGGCATCTTCCCAGACGGCGGTACGGACAGCCTCGGAAAGTGCCAAGAGGTCGTCTTTCCTCAGGACATGGAGGTAGGCACGCGATGGCAGGGCTGGTTTAGCTGGATCCTTAGACACCTTCCCGTGATGGTAGGAAAACCAGCCAACCTTGCCACGGCCGCTTCCCCAGGTATCTCCCAAGATGTTGACAAACTCCTCCTCGGTCATTCCCGGTGGGAGTCTCCGAACCAAAACCTTCTCACCCTCTGCAGGTGCCTTTGTCTTGGTCGGTTTTGTGGTGGCATCGCCAGCCGCCGGGCTGGACACGGCAGAGCCGGCGCCATTGGCCTTACGCGATAACAACTGGGGAGGGGCAGCCATCGCGAGGCTTTGAGGGTTGGAATCAGTTCGGTGTAGGTGGTTGTATATCTGCCACGTCGAAGTTGTACGTGATCTATGTTCCTCGGAAATCAAGGGTGGTCAGTCATCGAATGCTGGGCATCCCGAGGCGTGCGAGGAAGGTGGGGCCAGCAGAGGTCATTTATCGTGAACAAAAACGTGGTGAAGAGGGTGAATCGTCCACTGTAAGAGAAGACAATTATGCCAGCGGAAAAGAGTAGGTATACGGCCTGTATGCAAAGTTTGAGGAGTCCAGGAGGTTGGAATTAGGGGTGATGTCAGCCTTGTCTAGAGACCGGGCTTGCAGAATATCGACGCGGAAACTTTTGTTCAGCAACCCCACGATTAGAGTGGTCCGTGCTTAGTGCTGCAGGACTAGAGTAAATAAAGTTCCACCATGGGTTCGACTTTAGCATATGCCAATTGTCAGCCCCTGACATTCCATAATCTAGATAGCGCTTTGAAGATGAGTAGGTAGTTCTCTATCCTCAGAATGACCATGTCGATAGAATCAGGTGCGGGAACCACGTCACTGGGCCAAATAGGTTTCAAATATCTCCCAACATCGGCACCCTTACCCCCCTATACTGGCCATACCATGGGGAACAAATAACCCATCGTTATCCCACCCCCATTCTTATTAACCCCTTAAAGCTCTCTACTCGGCGCTCCCACGCCTCCCCGCCCCGACCACCACGGCCGTCCTCTCCTTCAACTACTTGGCCCTCCTCTCCAGGTCCCCAGCCAGGTTTGCGGCGTACTGGGAAGAGCGCTTGCATTAGTTTGCAAGAGGGAACTTGGCTAGTTGGCTCTATGCTAGCCAGCAGAGTCTCGAAGTCGGGCGAAAGGACTATTAATCTCATCGATGGGGACCGTCGCGATGAGGAGCATGAGGATATTCCCTAGGTTGCCCGGTCATGAGCGGCTAACAGCGCCCAAGTCTACTTCAATGAAGAGAATATGAAGAGACCCATATAGCATATGCGAGCAACCCCATGACTTCCAGCGACTTCACAGAGTCAGCATTTGGTCTGCCAGGAGGAACAAAGCTCTCTCGTTGAAGTACTGGCTAATAGTCAAACACCGAGACACATAGGCTGCTGCACGTACGGCAGCACCTTCCAGCCGGGCCCCCTCTATCGGAAAGCAACGGCTACCGGGGACCTTGACTTTCCCTGACCCGGTATCCAGGCGGCACCTTCGTCGCCACGTACAGGCAAGGACGGAATCGGCCTGCGGGAGAAGTGGCCCTCGCGCCCCGAACTGGGCTGGCTCGGCATGACGCCCAACTCATTTGCGACCGACGAGTTCTTGCACGGGCTCTATCCGTCATCGGCGAGGGCCGGGAGAAGCAACGGCGCCAGGGACACGAAGTAGGTGAACCGGCGCCGGAAGAACGGACCTGAAGCAATACGGGTGAAATACAGGATTCTCGGTCATTGCTGAGTAACCGGCCCGAGTACGAAGTCGGTCAACTCCGAAGGGAAAGAAGAGGTATGACCATGTTGAGTGCGGGCTACTGCATGATGATGCAGGTTTACATGTGGTGACGAGATTAGTGGTTGGGTCACTTGGGTGCCACTAGATCATTCGACTTGTCGAATGTTCCACAGCCAATATTAGAAGGTAAAAGAGACAATGGAACAATGAGATGGCGAACAAAGGGACGAGGGCGTTCTTTGTGCGGTGGCCAAGTGCTCGACTTCGAGGCCCCGAAAATAGAAACAATGCGGAACAGACCAACCTCCACGAAAGTAGACAATAGGACTCGACGGGAATGGAAGCCTCGGTGATTGTTGCCAATCCCAATCCCATGAATGAGAATGTTTGTCTCATCAAAGCAATGCACCTAGACCGCATATGTGCAGACGCGCATGCACAAGTGTAAAGGGGAAACCAGACAAACAATACCAGGGTAAAGTGGGGGGATGGGGGTCTTGCGCCTAGCAGGTCTTGTATGCCACTCGTGTTCTAGTGCCCCCACTGCTTGTCAAAAGAGACGTTAAAGAGGGAATACGGACTACAACTTCAAAGGAGTGCACATCTTACAACCTTTCTCAAGAGAACCAAAAGAAGCGAGGGGGAAGTGATATAAACCTCAATCAAAATCAAAAGTGAATTTCTGGGCTCTTAACCAATCTCACTTCAACCGTTTCCACCCCTAAGCTCCTTACGTGGCACCATAACTACCTAAACTAGAAGGACCGAGCTAAGAACCCCAGCAGCAGCAAAAAGGAAAGTCACAGCTATGTCAGCAGGGAACCCCCCATACCCGTCAACCTCATCCCCCGCCGCCGCCGCATTCCGGAGTCCGACGCCGTCGTCAACCCACCAGACCTCCTTCCCGATGAACCCGTCCCGGCACCACCACCACCCTCACCACCCTCACCACCATCCCCACCACGCTCATGGCGGCGGCGGCAGCAGCAGCAGTGCTGCCGGGAGCAGCAGCGCCGACGTCTTCACCCCCGAGATGCGGGACCGCCAGGCCCGTGGCAAGGACCCCTATCGTTCGGGCGATGCCTCGGACGCCAGCGACGTGAGCACCACCCGGGATTCCAGGACCGGCTCCAAGATGAGACTTGGCGGGTGAGTTTTCCTCCCCCCCCCTTCTCTCTATCATCCAACACATTCCTTCCTCTGCCGTGCTTCCTGAAGAGTTCAATCTGATTAATATATCTCACTTTCCCTCTCTCATTCCAATGTTTTAACACACGATTGAAGACTCACAATACTAACATGACAAAATCCCACAGAGGCGAGAAAGACGACTTTGGCAAGATCGAGCGCCGAGAAAAAGCCGTGGCCTTCCTGGACAACCCGGAGCTGCTCATGATGTATGCGCAGAGCACCGGAGACGTAAGTTAATCGCCTCCCCCCTTTTCCGCTTCAGACCGCAACCTACTCAACCTTCTTTTCCCCTGTCCCTCGACACCTCACCTAATTTTGCAAATCAATGAGCAATCAACCCATTCACCCATTGTTGTCATAACCCCCCCTTTTTCGAACTCCAACCCCCCTGTGACGGCCCCATAGCACACTCTCAAACTAACAGACAGAAACAGAGCATACCCTCCGCCCGCCTACACTTCATGAAGATGATGTGCGGCTACGACGACGAGTTCCTCGAGGAGGACAGCCACGCCCGCGGCCACGCCCACGCCCACAACAGCCACGGCCGGAGACCGCCCTCGCGCCCAGCCCGGGACACGGACAAGCGGAGGGGCGGCGACCGCGCCGCCGGGCGATGATGATGCGCGCGGCGCCCGCCGCCGGCCGCCCCCACGCCCGGACCCCGCCCCCGCCCCCACCCCCGGCCCCGGGTCTGCGTGCGGCGGGGGGCCCGCGGGGGCGGGGGGCCCCCCCCCCCCCCCCCCCCCCCCCCCCCCCACAACCGTCCTCCAGTCGCCGGCGCTATATTCGCCATCGGGGCTCTCTCTGTCTTCTTTGCTAAATGAGATTCATTCTCAATTTTTTTCTTTGGTTTTGCAAGGGTTGGCGTTGTCTGTCTGTCTTGTCTGTCTCTAGCTCGTTAATCCATTTGGCCCTTCCCAACGCCGTGTGTGTATTCGGGGTGGTCTTACGCTCTTTTTTTTTTTTTTTTTTTTGCTCCGTACCTGACCCGTGTTCTATTTCCTTGGGCATCTTTCATGCAGAGCAAGAGCAAGCAAAGCTCCTACGGCGTTTCAATGGTGAGAGGGGGTTTTCTTGTTTTGAAGTGGGCGGTGGGGAGGGGGAGGAACGTGGTTCTCATTGACCTGCGTGTTACCTCGTTATGGATCCATGCAGACCCGGCGCAGAAGAGCTACCTGGACAGGAAGCCGTTGTTTTTCATCTTTTCCATTTTATGCTACTCTGAAGGGTTGCATTACTTCTCACTCGATTTACTTAAGTGAATGAGACGGGAATGACGTCCCAGACCGGGCCTCTCTGGTTCCGCTTTCACGCTATAATCCATGGCAGAGGAGGCGTACACACGGAACAAACAATGAACATAGATGAGGGACGGAGTCGGCAAAGCCATGTGATACTCTATAAGAAAGCTAAGGCCTACTATATCTTGGTCGGGTTTCCTGCCGTCCTATATACCCGTCAACCCCGAATGTGTGCCTGCCTACTACCAGTCCCCCTCCGGTAGCCCAGTTATCCTAATCCCCCACTCATGAATAAACACTAAGCATTGTTGACTTGATGATGCTATTCTAAGCGCAAGAGCCGGCCAGCCAACGAAAATAGACCCCACCGTTAAACGCCCCATCAGACAGACGCCAGAACTCCAGCCCGATGCTAGTAGTTACGGGGGTTGGGTTGTCCCGTCGTCCCGCTGATTTCCCGAATCATTCCTAGTTTACCCCTGGATACGTATCGAAACAGGTATAAATGCATATAATCAAGCCCGACCCGACCCGACCGGACTCTACAACCCCTTCACGCGTATCTCGCGCTCAACGTCCTAACAGGCTGCCATGGCATATCTCCCTGTTGGTGCTGCCCCGGCGCCGGCGGCTGGTACGGGGGCGGAGCCCCAAACGGACCCAGATTCGGCCTCGAGCGCCCCCCAGGCCTAGCCCCCACCATGACCGGCGGCGGCGGCGCGATCCCGCCGCCGGGACCGCCGCCCCAGGCACCACCGTAAGCGGTCCACCCGGGAGGCGGGGCTGGCGGGTGGGGCCGTCCGCGCCTGCCCCCCCGGCCCTTCTTCTTCCCGCCGCGGCGGAAGGCGCTGACGCAGCAGCTGAGGATGGCGAGCAGGATCAGGCCGCCGACGACGACGACGACGGGGATGAAGATGGGCTTGTTCTCCTTGATCCAGCCCAGTATCTCGTCCGACAGGTTCGAGCCCTTGCATACGCCGTTGGAGCACTTGCCGCCGCCCTGGCAGGTGGTCCCGTCGAGGAAGTTCTGCTGCATCGTGAGGCACGTGCTGGGCCCGAACTCGGGCGACGCGCACGAGAGCTGGCAGCCCTGCGACGAGCAGGCGTACGTGTCGTTGCTCGACGTCCGGCCGCCCATGAGCGTCTTGCACTGCAGGTCGCGCGACGTGCACTGGCCCGATGAGCACTTGAGGCTGGCGCCCTTGTCTCCGCACGACTGCCCGTCGGGGGCAGTAACGTCCGACGGGCACAGCGCCGAGGTGCCCGTGCACGTCTCCTGCGGGTCGCAGACGCCAGTGCTGGGCCGGCAGATGGTTCCGTTGTTAGCGAACCGGCACTCGGTCGTGCAGCACTCCTCGTTCGCCGGGTCGCAGACGCTGTTGGCGGTGAACTTGCACGTCTTGGCGTCGCAGCATGTGTTGCCAGTGCACCCGTTATCCCCACCGCAGTCGCAGTCCTCGCCGCTCTCGACGATGCCGTTGCCGCACTGGCTGCCGGTGATGGTCCTGACGTCGCGGTTGTTGGTCAGGCAGCTAGCCTTGACGCTGTTGCGACCGATGGCGCTGCAGATGTTCCCGATGCTACACGGCGAGAACTTTGTGATGCCGTTACCCGTCGAAGGGTTCATGATGAACTGCCCGGTGGCATCGCACGAGTTCTTGGACAGCGGACAGCATTGCTGCTTGGTCACGGTCCCGTCGCTGCAGGTGTCGGCTGTGCAATCGTGCACCGCTCCGAACGTGTGGCCCGTCTCGTGTGCGATGACCTGCCATTCGGTCGACGTCATCACTACTACATTGGTCGCCGCGATGGTCTCATTGTTGTCCTTGGCCGAGGCTGTCTGGGAGCCCTGCACACACACCTGGCCAAGCCAGGCCAGTCCCACAGCGGCGTCCGTGTTACAAGTGCTCAGCAGGGTCCAGAAAGCATTCGTGTCGCTGAACTGCCCCCTCCACTGGGAGAAGAGGTTGAGCCGATCCGTAATCGTAGTCCCGCCGCCGCAGCCCACATTCCAGGGGACCTGGGACGTTGCCGTCGTCGGGCACTCTGCGTTACTGATGGTCAGGTTCTGGATGCCGAGAGAGATGTTGAAGGAGCTCTCGTAGACTTGGGAGGCCAAGTTGATCTGCTTGATGATGTGCGTCCTCACAGACGCCGACGAGTTGAACTTCGCCGTATATGTGCAATCCGTCGCAACGCCAATCAAGGCCACCTTCCTCGTCGTCGGACAGCCTGCTGTGGACCCGATCGTCGAAACCAGGTTGACTCCGGCACCGTTACCGCCCGTGGTCCCGTCAATCTGCCGCCCGAACAGCGACCTAGCGCTCATCGACCGGAGGCTGCTCGTCTCCGCCGTACCGAACCCCCCATCAGGCCCGCGGTACACTGGGTGCTCATCATCGCGGTTGAAGCGGAGCACGTCCGACGAGCACGACGGCCCCGCTGCCACATTTCGTTTTAACTCGTCGCGATCCATCCCCATGATATCCGAATCCCGCCAGACAACCATGGATTCGTCCGGCAAGTCCTCGACGTCCGGATCCCCACCTACCCTCGTCTGCCTGAAATCTGCGCTCGTGTGAATATGATGGTCGTCTCCGTGCACCCTGAAGGCGCCCTCGAAGACGGGCGATGCCCCATCCCGATGAACAGTTATCCTCGCCCAGCCCGCGCTCGTCCATTCCGAACGGCCCTCGTCTCGCACAAATGCGTCGCCGCGATAGACCCTGTGCTCGGAGCGATCTATCGGCTCCGAGCGGACCGATCCGTCCGGGTCTATGTACTGGACGAAGGCATTCTCGGCGATGACGTCGTGGTTCGGGCTCACGCTGAGCCTGACCTCCTGGCCCCGGCCGTGGATGTGGAAGGTGAGGTCGAAGGATGAGAGAGGGTGGACCCGGTGGGACGGCGTGTGGATGACGGCATCGTCGATGCGGTTAACGTGCGAGAGAGCGCGGCGTTCGATCGAGTGCGCTGGTAGCAGGTCAGCAAGCAGCCGGGGAATCCGAGGCGGGGAGTAATGTCGAGGAACCATCGGCCATGCCCATGGTTTCATTGCAGGAGTCCCGATATCGTGTAACGTACCTATCACGAATTGAAAGAGAAGGACGAAGCCAGATAGAGCGGCCACAAGGGCCCTCGGGGTGTACATAGTTCAAGCAACGAAGCACTCCGAACGTCCGTTGTCCATGGGATTGGTGTCGTTTTCAATGGTGTAATTGAGGATATTCACCCAAGTTTCAGGGCCGTTTTCCCTTTGAAATTCTCCGAGGTGACGTCTCTAGAATTAAGCCACGGAGGAGGGAATGAAAGAGGGAAATGGAGGGCAGATTAAAAGGAATGGTAGTGGACCGGATGGCAGTGCAAAATGAAGGCGATGTGCTTGTTGGTGTGTCAGGAGCAACTCTCTGGGTCTGGGGGTAGCGGGCTGGGGATTCATTGTCTGCCCGGCTTGTAGGGAGATCCTTAGCACTGTGTGGGTGTTGAGCGAGACGCAGTTGCCGGCAGGGACGGGCTTGGTTTGCAACCTAAACCGTTTTGAAGGCCTGCAGTGCTGTTAGCAACGACTTTCGACGCAGTCCTAATCTTGCATGTAGCGAGGTACCATCGAAACACTGCACCAAAGCGTCGTTTGCCGCCCCACAGTCGGTGCTGCTTCGACCCCTGGCGCTTCTTGGATTTATTTATATCCGTACATTCGAGTCCTTTGACAGTTTCAGGCCTTCAGCACGCACACTTGGCGAATGAGCGAGGACAAAGAAGGGGATGCGCATATGGCCGGCCATCATTAAGATTTCCGTCCCAGTAGCTCTCGGGATTAGAATAACAAGAGGATGGGATTCTACCAAATCCGGACTGTTGTTGGGGAACTCGGTAGGTATAGAACCCGCATTTAGGCAGCTTGCCCGCGACCACCAGATGGACTATGCTGCCATCCTTGTCCCCCTCAAACGGCAGGGCCTTCTCTACGCAGTAGGTTCTTGGTCTTTCCGTCCACTGCCAAGACGCCGCACAGTGTACCAAACAGTTCTACTTGTTGGTCAGCCCGGCGGACTTGATGTGAGGCCGGATACCCGGGCGGGAAACTTAAGCTTAACGCCACCATTGGAGTTCGCAGGGCCGCGTACTCAGGAGGCGGAGTATCTTGGCATGCAAAATCAGAAGCCCGATAAGCCCTTCTTCTTCTCTCTTTTTCTTCAGTGTACACAGATGATGGCTCCTCACCAAACTCGACAACACGCCTACAACAAAACTAACTCGTAGAGGCTGCGTTTGGCCGGACCCTGATTTGAGGCGCAGCGGTCTTGTGGTGGTCAAATGCAGGATCTTAGAGTGTGGGGGGCTCATTCTTGGAATCGCGCTTGTTAAAACTTGTTTCATTGCACCCAGGCGTCCGTCGTACAGGTCTGCGGTTACCCTTCGGCCATCTTCTATGTGCTTGACATAGATTACTACCCAAGTCGCCCCTCGCTGCTCCTGCTCAGGTACCTCTAGGTTCAAGCTTAGCCAAAGACCTGTTTTGTTACCCATGGATCGTTCAGAAGCTCCCTCGGTGTCGCGCGGTCTTCAGGAGCCCACTGAAGCATCTTACCCATCAGCTGTAAGAATAGCTCCTTATCCATGCCTTCCAAGTTTGTCTCCAATTTCCCTAGAGATACCGGTGGTAAGGGCTTAATGCCAGCTTGCCATTCGCCTTCATATCAATGAAGTTAGCCATAGCCAATCGTCGGCGCAAGGCCCTCCTGCACCGTTGGCTCGAGGCCGTAGGGGCTACTCACCAGACTCTGAGAAGAACTTTGACCTTAGTTTACCTCGATTGAGAAACTCCGGGGTTGGTGGTCCTAGGAGCGCAATCATCTCGGCAAGGTGAGCCCTCCCACGGTAGACTCCAAGCTCGAGATCTGTGCCGCGGAACGAAAGGCCGCCTTCGAAGATATCCCAGATCTCGTACATCATTAGCCAACGGAAATCAAGGGATGGAATCGGGGATTACCGTGCATCCGACATTCCAAATGTCAATCTTGCAACTCCATGGGATCTCAAGGATAACCTCTGAGCATCGATACTGGTCTGTCTGGACGTCATTGTCGTGGAGTATGTCTCCGAAAAACGCACCCCCAAAGTCGCACAATACTGGTGGCCCAATATCCTTGGGTTTCTGACCTGCCGGGAGACGTAGATGAACCTTCCGTCGACTTCCTTTCGGGGGCTGGGGCTATCCATTTCGGCTTGTTCGAATTCTACAAGAGCCGAATCGTCCTCAAAGCCAAACACGATGTTGTCTGACTTGATGTCTAGGTGTTCTTGTGTAAGCGCTTGTGCTGGTGTGGAAAAACCATGGAGAGACGTAAACTTGCCTGTGTGGACAATGCGACATTCGTTGTGGAGGTAGTCCAAAGCCTGGAATAGACGATATAGAACTATGCCAAGGACTGGCTTCGGGAGTCTTCCTACCGGGTTGCGGGCAAGAAATGTCCGAACGTTCTCCCAGAGAGGAGGATGAACGAGGCATTGGTGTTCGCCATCTGGGCCTGATAGCTGGAAGAAGTCCAGCAATGGCCGCACCGCGTCTCGCCCAGGATGGCTTCGCGATCCACTGCTGATACGCTGATACACGTTCCGTTCATGATCTACCCGAGCACCCAAGGCTGCCGATCGGATGAAGACCTTCACGGCAACATGACGATGTTGACTGCAACATCAGCAATGGTTCAAGCCCTGTCTGGCCAATGGGGCCCGTGAGTGCATACGTAAGATCCCTCGCCAGCCAAACTGTGGATGTGGTGCCGTAACCTAGTTTCCCAACGACCTGGTAGCGGGAAGCAAGGACTTCGCCGATGTGAACAGGGTAAAACCGTTCTGCAAGGTAGTCTGGAAGCGTCTCTTCCTCAATCTTCTGACTCTCTGGCAGCAGCTGACAGCGAAGGCTTGAAAACGTTCTGGCGGGTGACGGAGCCCGACGGGAGACGCTCGATGCCCAGCGGAAGAGTGATGCCATAGTTTGCTGGATATAGCGAGGTTGACAAGGTGAGGGAACCAGATCAACAGGTGGGCGATGGTTGGCTGCCCTGGCATGAAACCCGCCGAAGACGCTGAAAATGGCGGCAAGCGCCAGCCCAATTCAGCAGCCACAACAGCACTTTCTCGGTTTAATGTAAACTTGCTCTCACTTTGTTGGTGACGACAGCACATCATGGCTTGGAAATAGGCGTGGGCAATACTAGGCAAATCATGCCTCGGAACTGGCCGGACAATTGTCTCAGGACTCCAGTCCTACCTCCGGGCGGACAAATACGGCCTGCAATCCACTGCGTTACTTGAGAGAGCATAATAGGTAGGTATTGAACGTCAAACTCTTAGCCAGTCAATCGTGATCATGTCAGACGAGCTCCCCTCGCCAGGGTCGTAAATTTGGGCAAAACACCATAGACCCTCAGCCTGAACCTCGTGTCTCGCAAACAATGACCATGGTATATAATCCCCTAAAAGCGCGCCGGGCCCCTTACTTCTTCCTGGCCTCGTGAACAACCGCAATAATCTTTTCGACGACCGAGGGGTCCGAGAGCTACAAACAGAAAACCGGATTAGTAAAAGGGGCAAGAGGAAGCAGAAAGATATGCAACGGCGTGCTCCTTACGGTCGTGATGTCGCCCAGCTGGTCCTCCTCGCCAGCCAAGATCTTCCGGAGGATGCGCCGCATGATCTTGCCGCTGCGCGTCTTGGGCAGGTCCGGCACGATGTAGACGGCCTTGGGCGCCGCGAACGGGCCGATGCTCTTGCGGACCTGGACGATAAACTCCTTGCGGAGCGCCTCGGTGGGCTCGTTCCCGTCCTTGATTGACACGAACGCGTTGACCGCCTGGCCCGAGAGCTCGTCCGCGACGCCGACGACGGCCGACTCGGCGACCGCCGAGTGCTCGATCAGGGCCGCCTCGATCTCGGCCGTCGACAGGCGGTGGCCGCTCACGTTGACGACGTCGTCAACACGGCCGCGAATCCAGTAGAAACCCTCGTGATCGCGCCCGGCACCGTCGCCAGTGAACTGCATTTTCGTTAGTTCTCGCGGCCAGCAGCCTAGAAGATCGGGGGGAACCATGGTTGAAACATACGTAATAGCCCTTGTAGACGTTGAGGTATGTCTCCATATATCGCTTATGAGCGCCCCAAACAGTCCGGCACATGCTAGGCCAGGGCTGCTTGAATGCGAGAACGCCCTCGACGTCGTTGCCGTGGAGTTCCTCTCCCGTGACGGGGTCGATGATCGCGGGCTCGATGCCGAAGAAGGGAAGCGACGCGCTACCAGGCTTCGTCGGGGTCACCGTAGCAAGCGGTGTGATGACGTGAGATCCGGTCTCCGTTTGCCAGTAGGTCTGCACTTCATTAGCATAGGCGACCGGGAGGGCGGGCTACGGTCTTCTTGCGGCTCTTTCGAGACTTACATCGATAATCTGCGCCTCCTCCTTGCCGACGATCTCGAAGTACCACTTCCAGACCTCGGCAGCGATGGGTTCACCGACAGTACCAAGGACTCTCAATTTCCCCATGTTGTTCTTCACGTACTGATCGCCGGCACGCTTGAGCAACCGCAGCGCGGTGGGCGCAACGTAGAAGTGGGTAATATCGTGCTTCGCGATGATGTCCCAGTATCTCGAGAAGTTGGGGTACGCTGGCGTGCCCTCAAAGACAACGGTCGAGACGCCGAGGAGTAGCGGCGCATAGACGACGTACGTATGCCCGGTAATCCAGCCAACGTCTCCGCCGCAGAAGAACCGATCATTGCCATGGATATCGAAGACGTACTTGCCGCTCAGAGCAGCACCGATCAGATAGCCGCCAGTGGTGTGCATGACGCCCTTGGGCTTGCCGGTGGAGCCCGAGGTGTAGAGAAGGAAGAGGGGGTCTTCGGAGTTGACGGGCTCGGGGGCGATGTAAGAGGGCCACACCTCGACCTCCTCGTGCCACCAGAAATCGCGTCCCTTGGTCATGGGGACGTCGGCGCCGGTACGCTTGAACACCAGGACGTTCTTGACGTCGGGGCACTGCTTCAGGGCGTCATCGACGATCTTCTTGGTCCCGATCAACTTGCCACCGCGCTTGCCCTCGTCTGTTGTGATTACGACCTTGGAATTGGCATCGATGACACGGTCGCGGAGCGAGTCGGAAGAGAAGCCGGCAAAGACGACCGAGTGGACGGCTCCGATTCGGGAGCAAGCAAGGAAGGCAATAAGAGCTTCCGGAATCATGGGCAGATAGATAGCAACGGTATCACCCTTACGGACGCCCATGTTCTTCAAGACATAGGCTACCTTGGAGACCTCGCGGAGGAGCTCGCCGTAGGTCACGGTGCGGCCATCATCGGGCTCATCGGCCTCGTAGATGATGGCGACCTTGTCGGGGTTCTTGAAGGCATGGCGATCGACGCAGTTGTAGGAAGCGTTAAGCCGGCCCTCGAGGAACCAGGCAGTGTCGCCATTGTCCAGACTCCCACTGCGGACGGTCTGGAAGTCCCTCTCCCAGGTAAGAAGCTCGCGAGCCTGCCTCGCCCAGAACTTGTCGGGCTCCGTGATGGACTCCTTGTACAGCTGCTGGTACTCCTCCAGGCCTGCAGAACGACGGTGCGAACTCCGATTAGCGGGCGCCAGAGGTGGTGTTTGCGGATTTACAGGGGTTTCTTACCACTCAAGTGAGGCTTGCTGGGATGCTCTGTCGCATCAGGTTAGCTCGATCTAGCTAGGTTTCTGCCGCGGAGACTCCCTCCCCCCCACACCGATTACGGCGGTTTCACGCGCGAAATAATATTGCACCTACTTTCAAGCATCTTCGCAGGAGGGTCTGTTGGTCCGGTTGCCGCCGGTTAGCTTTGCCACGGTAATTACGGCTCTCGATAGCCTCAATTGGGTCAGTCGGTGTCCTTACGGAAAGTGTCGACCTCATGGGCCTCGGCCACGACAGGGGCCTTTGGAGCTTCAGAAGCCATGGTTTTGGCGGGGTCGGCGGGGTACAGCAAGGTTCGTGATGACAGCTGGGCTCGGCGACAGCCAGGTTTCGCACAGAGAGCAATCAGATGGCTGTTGGTGAGCCTACGAAGGAACGCTACCCTTGCAGTCGAGCAGCGAGGCAGAGTGAATTAGGCAGAGTGAATTAGGTTGGCAAGTGATGCGGGTTTGAGCGGGGTTAAGTAAGCTCCAAGAGAGCTGACCGTGCAAGAGAGGAGGGAAGAATGGATAGGCAGAAGAACGGATGAGATGGGAACCCCGGTACTTTTGTATTGTGGCAAATGGCAAAACTGAAACTGGCTGCAACCCGCGTAGTATGGGGAAATTGTATTTCGCCTGGGGGTTAGGACTCGAGGGTCGCTCTCGAAGGTGAAGTAGTGCACCAACAAATACTTAAGCCATTATTCCGGAGCTCTGCCTAGGTAGGGAGCTACTAGGAGCTGCACCACGGCAACTGGCATTGGAAGCCATGGAAGTTCCCATCCGGCCCGGGGTTGTACCGTGACATAGAGGCTGTGCGATCCTTCCGCCCGACCTCCAACAATGGAACAAGAGCAGCTCTCCGTCCATCGAGCCGGCCCTTATCGGTTTTTGGCTCGATTATCATTGGACATGGCATGTTCTGGGTTGATCCTTTCTCCAAACCCCACACTCCACCTTTTCCTCGAACGTACCATCGTAGGTACCCTCGACCTTTGCCCTCTTGCTTCGATTCACGGCCGACCCGGCCTGCCCAGGTAGGGAAGAAAAGCCGTCTGCAGGTGAAATTCCGACTTGGCCATAGTGTCTCTGCTAGATAGGGCACCAAACTGCATTGGGAGCGTTGGCAGTTTGTGGCGCTCGCAGCAGCCCTGCAGAGTGCAGACAGAAGCATGCGCCAATATCAGCGGCTCTTTGGCAAAATCGGATGTATCGAGTTGGGGGGCCAACCGGCCGAATTAAGCTGAGGCAGGACTGTCAGCAGTCGAGGCGAAAGTCAATCTAATAACTGTGGTAATTATTTGGTTTGCTTGGCCCGACGACGGACTGCAAGAGTAAGCCCTTCTTGTTCCTGCTTTTCCCCTATATATCCGCGGACTTTTTCGTAGAAGTGGAATCGTGCTGTCGTGCTACCCGTGATCGTAGCAACCGGTGGAGGGGAACGCCGCTCATCTCATTGCAGCCGCAAATGACCCCGCATTTGGCAGGTTGGCCGACAGTCAAGCCGACCCCAACCAGAATTTTGAGGGAGATCAGCACGTCACCCAAGCGAAATGTCGTTTCGGTCCCCAATTCTGATTTGTCCCCATGTCACACCCGCCAGCCTCTTCGGGAGACTTAAAACGTTGGGCCTAGTCTCAAGCGTGTGGCGACTCAAGCCTCATGGGACCAAGAAGTGAAGCTTTCTGCTGTGTGCTCTAGACGTATTCGGGTTAGAACTCGGCATACGATTGCGTCAACCAACCTTTATACTGGGAGTTCGAGGTATGTAGGTACCCAATCCTGAAGATCGCCTCGGGTCCCGTGAGCCTGGACTGGTATTAATTGTCATGATGTATGTATCCGTAGAGTGTCGATCCTAGCAGGAAGACAGGGGACCCTTCCACATCATCCATCCATCATGGTCGGCGATTAAAGACCCAGGGCTCAGTGTGCCCCAAGATCATTACCTGATTAGGTATCATGATCGAGGTGGTCTCATCAAAAAAAGCCCACACCCCAAGTAAGTACACGCAGCAGCCAGAGTATGTACATAGGTACGTATCTATCACGATGTAATGCTGTGGAAGGCGGATACCCCCGCTGAATCGAGACCCCCATGACGAGAGCCAATTGCAAACGGTATGACTGCTTCTGCTTTCCCTTCCACCCGGCCAGGGCGACCAAAGAATCGCACAGTATCATTGCCTGCCGAGCCCAGCGCTTGGGTTCTCTCCTAGAGCACAAGTTCCACTCTGGGCGGACGGAAGCAGCATCTTGGAACGGGATCCTGTCGGGATCCTTACGTCCCTGCTCCTCCTGTGCGCAGCGCCTCAGCCCATGGGAGCCCCAAAAAAATCACGCTTCCATCGGTCTCGCGCCCCGTAATGGTTGCCAGACCGTGCAGAATCCGAAGGGCGGGGAGAAGCCTGCTGACCGGACATCGATACTGCCGACATCGTTACTGTGGGAATTTCAACCTACCTAGAGTCGTATCCAATGATCCATAGTGGATGGCTTGGCGGGTGCATGGTTTTCGGCTTGTCGCATTTGTGATCCCGATTCCAGGAATGAGTGAGCTGCTGTGCAACCTTACAATGTTTGGCCGCCCAGCAGTGAGGTTGATCGGTACCTGCAGTGGTTCCCGGATGTGAGCGGGATGTATGCTCTGTTCTGGATATCTGCCACAAGGCTCCCCAGATTTCTTCTGGAGGGAAAAGAGGTTGCGGTCGACAAGGGAAGCACGTGTCAATGCCTGGTGTTTATGTTTAGCATTCGGTGCAGGGTAGGTATAGAGTACGGATTGTATTGGGCATTCAACAGGGGATGAATTCCCAGCCGGCTACATCCCGCCCCAAAATCCAACGCTTCCGGTTAAACGCCAGCAAGATCCTCTGAACCACGGGCCGGCCCCTTTTCTTCTTGTTTTGTATTTCATCTTCTTTCACATGTCCATGCTCATCAAATACATCTCAAAAATCCTCATAAACTTGGCCACAAACGCCTCGAGGTGGAAGATGACCTTGGTCCCCGTCCTGATCCTGTGTTCGTAGAAGGCCGACCAAGCGATGACGTCCGCCTTGAGCGCGTCGTCGATGAGCGGGATGAGCTTGAACGTCAGGGTCTTGAGGATCGTCGTCGCAGGGATGCAGTGCGTCAGCAGGTCGTAGAGCTTCGACCGCACCTGCATGATGCGCGCGGGCGTGTGCTCCTCCATGATCTCCTTGGCGATCTGTCCGATCAGCGCTTCCCAGTCCGGGGGAGGGATCGCTGTCGCATCTGTCACTTTCTCACTGCGGGCACCCCTGCTGTCAGTGTCTCGTGTCCCGCGTGCAGGGGAGGGAAGGAGTGGGGAGACTTGGGCTGGCCCGGACTGACTTCTGTGCGTGTACTGCCTCGTACATCAGCAGTGCCTTTCGAAGGTTCCGCCCACTCTCCTCCGCTATCCTTTGATGTAGACCTTTGACCACCGGCCAGCCTTCCCGTTTCGCGGACGATGCAAGGACGTCACAGATCTCCTGGTGTGTCGGTGCCGCCACCCGGACGAGAAGCGTACGAGAGCGAATGGGAGCGATTATGTTAGCTGTAGAGTTGGCGAGTAGTATTAGTCGCAAGTTTGGCGAGTATTTCTCCATGGTCCGACGCAGCGCAGCCTGCGCATCTCGGGTGAGGTGGTCGGCCTCGTTGATGACGACCACCTTGAACTTCTGCTTGGCCAGCTGGTCGACTTGTTGTGTCTGCGCAACCTCCTTGAGGAGGTCTTGGATGACCACTCTATCGTAGTTTCCGACATCTGAGGGTGTTATCTCGAGATGGTAGACTGAGGCTACGATGTTGAACTCCAGTTTCCGATTGCTTGTCGTCTGGAAGACTCGGGCGTCGATCTTGATCTTCTCCACGCCGGGCCCGTATAGCTCCTTCAGCGTCGCAACGATTCGGGTCTTCTTGCCGGCGCCGGATGGCCCGTAGACCAAGAGATGGGGGAAGTCACCGCTTTGTGCCTGCGACCGATTAGCCTAGGTAGCCTTCGAGTTATTGGGAGCGCGCAAGGGACGCATACCAACGACCGTAGCCTTTCTGACAGCTCCTCATGATATGTGAGGGTGTCGAGGGATCTTGGGCGATGCTTGTCGACTATTAACGCCATTTTTGGTCCAGTTGCTGGGAATGAGATGGACAATGAGCAATCGATGGTGCGATGTCCGAACAGCGCTTTCGAGGTTAGTGGGACGCGTTTGGAAGACGCGTTTCGAAGGTGAGCACACAAATCAATTAAGCAGTTGGACCGTGCACACCACCCCTTGTTCTGTCATGGCATGCAGTGCGGCGCTACTAGCGCCTACGCAGTATCTAAGCTCTGGAACAGGACGGTAGACCGTAAAGCTAACATTATGCTTCAGGATAACTAGGCGAGTATATGTAAGGTCAAGATATCGTGTTGTCGGGGCCCCAAGCTTATAGTTCCTGGCAAAGAACAACCCCTATTCAGTCCCCCATAACAACACAATATCTTGGGAAAGACGCCTATGGAGGCTTTCCAGAGACCGGAGTTGGTGTCACCGAGAATTCCTCTAGCTTACATATTCTACAACAAACCAGACCTCCTCTGCCTTATGACGGGGGAGCCACGGAGTCTGGAGTTGATGGTATCGCGGGCGAGCTGACAGTCGCCTCAACTGTTGGCAGTTGCCTCCTTGGCCTCTTCAACTCCTCCAATGTGACACCATCTAGCTTCGTAATACCAACGACGGCCGGATCTCCCTTTTTCACGAACTCGTACTGGCCTATGGGCGGGTATTAGCTCCCACACCTTGCAATAGTAGTTTGTATGACTTGCCTGGCAACTTATTCCCTGCGAGCCGGAAGGCGTCCCGGGCAACCTGCTCGTGCAGTGCGCCCCTGACCTCGAAGAGTACTTGATTGACGGCGATTCTTGACGCCCAGTGGTCGAAGGATCCCTTTCCTTTGCCCATTCGCACCTAAGGCTGTGTGAGTAGACGCTGGCAAAAGCAGTGGTAGACGCAACTCACCTCGTTTCCGCTGACGAAAACCCCTATATTACACGACACCCTCTTGTATAGTCGGTAGCGCTGGCCGCGCAGCCTCTGTTTGATCGTGTCCTCGGCAACCTTCAATTGCTTCGCGCTGATCCTTCGGTGATGATCCCACATACGCAACCCGTAATCGCCCCATATAACGGTTGTACCTTTCGATGAGCCACCTGTCGGCACCCTGGGCCGCCCCTTCATCATCTTCTGCTTCCGGTTCATCCGTGGCTCCAGCCACGAGGGCCTCGGAGAGGTCGACGAGAATGGTCGCGCATTTGGTCGAGCTGAGGGTGTTGTTATTCTCGGGAGAGAGGTGGTCGACCCAAGGAGGAGCGCAGGCCGTGAAAGGGCCGTCGAGGATATCCTCAGACCCTGGAATGCACTGAGGAGTGCCATCGAAGCGTTTTGCTTCATTTCGATTGAATTGCTGGACTTACACCACGGCCGGCGAGGAGTTTCCCATCATTCTCGATAGCCAATCTCCAGAAAAACCTGAGCTTGGAGCTTCACGCGGCAAAACCTCGGCTAAACCACGACCCTGGAACAGTGACGCTCGAACCACTTTCCCCCCCGTCACGCCCCAGCGCGAGTTGCCGCGTCAAATGTCAAATGAATGTCGGTGGGCGCGCCTGGACTTTTCGAGCCGTTTGACACCACCCAAGCGTGCTGAACCACGCCACCCCCCTGAGCTTCCATACTTCGATACTCCAGTAGATTCGCAGCGTCAAGGTTGCATCTTCATTTGTTCGAACGATCGATGGTTCTAGGGCGATCAAGCCTGTCTCGAGTCTGCCTTTCTATCCGCGTCCTCTCCACGCGTATCCCGAGTCCATTTACTTGCCATGCCGGATATCAGGTCGTTCTTCGGCCCCAGAAATGGTGCCGCGCCCGCGAAACCAGCACCCAAGAAGGTCGATGTCTCGCACAAGAAGGCCCGAAGCAGTGAGCAGATGCTGTCTAATCGTTACCGGTTGGGCATTTCTAACGGATTACGAATTAGAAGGGCGTAAAGTCATTGATGATAGCGAGGATGAAGCTCCCGTAGAGTAGGCACCGAGTTACCCCAAGTATTAGATCGCTCTCTGACAGCCCTACAGGACGAAGAAGCCGGAAACTAGATCGACTCCCAAGAAGAAGGCAACGTAAGGACGCCTCGACAACCCCTCGTCGTATGGTATTAACTGAGCATCCGTCTAGGGGGCCGGAGCCTATCAATGGTGTTGCTATTTCGACAAGCGATTATTTTGCGTCCAGCAAGTCGAAGGCACCCAGTACTCAGGTCACACCAAAGGCCGCCGCGAAATCACAATTCAGACCCGGAGTTGAGGTTCGTGTAAGCCCGCGCACGAAACAGCCCGCCCCCAAGCCAGCGGCTGCACCTGCTCCACCGCCCGGGGCTCGTCAAGATGGTCCCAAGAAACGATCGACGACCACATATGCAAAGCATGATGATGACGAGGATGATGCTTTCATGGACGACGATGCAGATGCGGGAGATGACATCTTCACAGCCGATGTGAAGGCCGTGAACAAGAGGAAGAATGACGACTACGTCGATGAAGATAGTGATGAGGACTTGCTCCCGAAACCAAAGAGGGTTGCCTCGCGTGGCAGGGGCAGGGCAGCGGTAAAGGTCGAGCCGAAAGCTTCGCCCGCCGGCAAGAAACGCAAGTCTGTCGAGAAGGACGCCAGCGACGAGGACGAGTCGGAGGAAGCGGCGCCGCGGAAGAGAGTAGCCCCTGCCAAACCTCGAGCCTCGAGGGCCAAGAAGGAAGCGGAGCCCGAGAGCACCGACATACAGGAGATCCTCGATAACATACCGACAGTTGAGGCACCCGATGCGCCACCCAAGGACCCCAATGCCAAGTTCGATTGGAGAAAGGCTGCAGCCGGAGGAGGAAACTCCGGGCCACCTCTAAGTGCCGGTGCTGCCGATATCCCAGATGGAGCGGAGGACTGCCTTGTGGGGAAGACGTTTGTGTTCACTGGCCTCCTCAAAACCATCAGCAGAGACGAAGGCCAAGCTCTAGTAAAGCGATATGGAGGCAAAGTAACGGGGGCACCCAGCAGCAAAACGGACTTCGTGGTCCTCGGAGACGACGCAGGGCCGAGCAAGCTCAGGAAGATCAAGGAGCATGGCATCAAGACCATTGACGAGGAAGGGTTATTCTACCTGATCCGCACCATGCCCGCACACGGTGGTTCAGGGAAGGGTGCCGAGAAGGCGAAGCAGAAGCTGGAGGAAGCTCAGAAGAAGATCCGGGAGCAGGCAGAGGAGATGGAGAGAGAAGAGAAGGCGAAGAGACTGGAGGCTGAGAAGGTGAAGAAGGCCGCCGCTGCTCGAGGCGTCGCCCCTACCCCTGCATCCCAGCCGTTGGCACAGCTCTGGACGACCAAATACGCCCCGTCCCAGTTGAGCCACATCTGCGGAAACAAGGCCGCCGTCGAGAAGATTCAAACCTGGCTGAAGAACTGGCAGAAGTCGAAACAGTACGACTTCCAGAAACGCGGGGCTGATGGCTCGGGTGGCGCCCGTGCCATCATGATATCCGGTCCGCCGGGCATTGGCAAGACTACTGCCGCACATCTGGCAGCCAAACTGGAAGGCTACGACGCCCTGGAGACCAACGCCAGCGACAGCCGAAGCAAGAAGCTGGTCGAGAACGGCATCGGCGACGTTTTGAACAACACATCGCTGCTAGGCTTCTTCGCCGGCGACGGCAAGAAGATCGACGCGACCAAAAAGAAGTTGGTCCTGATCATGGATGAGGTGGATGGCATGTCGGCTGGAGATCGCGGTGGTGTCGGAGCGCTTGCCAAATTCTGCAAGAAGACGGAGGTGCCGCTGATCTTGATATGCAACGATCGCAGGCTGCCCAAGATGAAGCCTTTCGATTTCGTCACGTTCGACGTCAAGTTTCAGCGCCCAACAGTCGACCAGATCCGCTCGCGAATCATGACAATCTGCCACAGAGAGGGCCTGAAGCTGCCTCCCCCGGTTGTCGATGCCCTCATCGAGGGCAGCAACAGGGATATCAGGCAGATCATTAACATGATCTCGACGGCCAAGCTGGACCAGACGTCGATGGACTTTGACAAGAGCAAGGCCATGTCAAAGGCTTGGGAGAAACACATCGTCCTCAAGCCATGGGACATCTCTCAGAAGATGCTAGGTGGCGGCCTCTTCAGCCCAGCAAGCAAAGCCACCCTCAACGACAAGATTGAGCTATATTTCAACGACCACGAGTTCAGCTACTTGATGATCCAGGAGAACTATCTGCGTACGAAGCCGGCCCAGCTGACCGGCAAGGGTTACAACGCCAGGGAGGCGAATCTCAAGTACCTCGAGCTGGTCGACCAGGCGGCGGAGAGCATCAGCGACGGCGACCTGGTCGACCGGATGATCCACGGGCCGCAGCAGCATTGGAGCCTCATGCCTACCCATGCCGTCTTCAGTACCGTGAGACCGTCGAGCTTCGTTGCAGGCCAGCTGCTCGGGTCCAACTTCACGTCGTGGCTTGGCAACAATAGCAAGACGTCTAAACTCGGGCGCTTCGTTCGCGAGATCCAGTCCCACATGCGGCTCAGGTCGTCGGGGGACCATAACGAGATCCGCCAGCAGTATCTGCCTACCCTGTGGTACCGGCTCGTCAAGCGCCTCGAGGTCGAGGGCAGGGACGCGGCGGAGGAGGTAATCGAGCTCATGGATAGCTATTATCTCACTCGCGATGACTTTGATGCCATCAAGGAACTGGGCGTTGGTCCGCATGCGGAGGAGAAGATCAACATCGAGACTCAGACCAAAGCCGCCTTTACAAGACTGTGAGTTATATATATATATATCAGTATAATGACGGCGTCACTCTTGACTCGTGCTAACGATCCTACCTAGCTACAACTCCATGTCGCACCCGGTGCCGTTCATGAGGGCCAGCAACGTCACCACCACGGCGAAGAAGGCCACCAAGGAAGCACCCGACCTCGAGGAAGCCATCGAAGAAGAGGATGATGCCGAGGCCGTCGACGCGGTCGAGGTCGATGAGGACGAGGACCTCGATCTCAAGCGCGACAAGTACATCAAGCAGCCAAAGGCCAAGGGGGGAAAGAAGACGGCTAAGAAGGCCACGAAGGCTGATGATGATGACGGTGGTGATGGTGGAAAGGGGGCGAAGGGTAAAACAAAGACAAAAGGCGCTGGAGCCAGGGGCAAAGCCAAGAAATGAGTTCTAGATGGAGGAGGTATGCATGATTTTCTCAGTTGGTGTGGCATTATTACTCTGAGCTGCTTGTCGTCGGTCAGTGTTCCCAAGGAGCCACGGGTCCTGAATGGTAGACATATACATGTAAGGCCATTACTATAGCTAGGTAGATTACTATGACGAAGTAATTTTGGACTGGCCAGAGACTCTCACAAGGCTGGTGTGCGGTTGCCCCCTTGGATGATGTATCAAGATCCTACTCCTCAGGGTTAGGTCTTGCAAGGCGCAACACCATTTTCCCTCAGGTTAAATATTGAAGATGCGTTCTGTGCGTGTGACCCCTAAGCCTTCTTGTTTGATCTTGGTCCGTGTTGGTTTCTGTGGGGGGTGGTAGAGGCTTCCTTTGTTTACCTAGGTACCTCAGATCTCACCCTCACCTGGTACACCCCCTCCTCTTTCACCCCACCGTTCACGAAGTTCACCCACCGAGTCCACACAGGACAAGTCTTTCCATGAATATCATATTTCCCCTTATCCCCGACCTCGAATATCCCTGACTTCTTCCTATAAGCACGACTAAGCACGACTAAGCCGCCACCATGACCCTTTTGAGGCGGCTTAAGGTTCGCCGCAGGGCATCCCGGCTCTGGGAAAGGATGAAATCACCTGTGGAGCTCAAAAGCGTGAGCCCGGCGCCCGTGAGCTTGAAGACTATAGGCTCGACGCTGGTGGGCTCTGATCCTGCGAGTAAAGATAGTGAGAACCCCCCTTCGAGATCACAGGCTAGCATTTTCCCGAGATCTCAGTTCTGACTACTTGTGAACTGGGTTTTAGCTCCAAAGAAGGACCTCCTCCTGCCCTTGGTTATCGATGGCCGTCAGCTCGCTGTCATGGCGGAGGAGGGGAAGTGGTGCAGCAGTTGTGGTAAGCTCTCGGCACCTCCATCCAGCATAAGGTGAACGGTCTCAATCAGGGGGGGGGGGGGGGGGGGGGGGGGGGGGGGGGGGGGGGGGGGGGGGGGGGGGGGGGGGGGC